ACCGATCGGCACACCATACACGCGATCCGCTGGCTCTACAGCCGGCGGATCGCTTGTATGGTAACAGGCATCACTGCCTGTTTTCAAATACCGGCCATTTCCCGCTCGCGCGCGCCGCCTAAAGACGCCCGCTCAGATCTAGAGACCTCTCGGCTGGCTGTTTTTTTTACAACGGCCGGCCCTGAGGTGGTTAATCATCTGAAATACTTTTAACCAGAACCTATCCAGTTTCGAGCATGTCCACCAGGTATGAACTGCATCTCCCCTAGAATCACATCCTCGAAAACAGAGATCTGAGTGTGTCGGGTTAGAGTAGACCAACCTGGAGGGCACTAAGTACCATCTAGTTAAAGTTTTAAATGCAGTTTCCAGAGAGTTTACATTAATGGAGCACGTAGCTGTTGATTTCCACATTTGTAGCCATTCTTTCGGTTGTTTAACAACTCCAAGTTCTTTTTCCCATTTCTGTGTATATTTATGGTCACTCTGCTTTAATAACCTATTTAGCTGGGAATATACTGTAGTATCAATATTAGTTTAGGGGCCGTCCATTTCTAACAGATATTTTCAAAAACCGTTAATTCCGCTATATCTGAAGCTTCCAAAAACATTGATATAGCCCAGTGCCTAAGTTGTAAATATCTTAAATATTCTGTGTCTGTGGCTTGCATGTTGTTCTGAAAGCAAGACCATGTGCCGATCCTACCATCTACCATTAACTGGTGTAGGCATGTCACCCCTTGGTTTTTCCACCAGCCGAAGGCATTTGGCACTTCCATTCCCGGTGGAAACAGGGGATTACCTATGATTGGAAGTAGCGGTGCATAAGGTGATTGCAGACCACTGCAGTATTTTATATTGTCCCAGATCTTAAAGGAGAACTATGGGGTTAAGTCTTTTCCCCATAGTTCTCCTTAGGGTAACAGGAGGACACACTAGCCTCCTCCTGTCACCCTAGGCTCAGTATATCGCGAGCTGTAGCTCGCGGTATACTGAGACGCTGCAGTATACCGCGAGCTGCTGCTCGCGGTATACTGAGACGCTGAACCGGATCCCGACAATTGTGCCGGGATCCGCCCAGCTGCGTGACTGACAGCTGGCTCTGCCTATCTAGAGTCAGAGCCAGCTGTACCCGCCCCCTCCCCCGTCCGATCCACCAGTCAGCGCTGGCGGATCGGAGGGGGGAATCCAGCCCCTCCCCTGTCACGGCAGAGAGCCGTGACAGGATCAGGAGGTGAGCGAAGGCCGGTATGTGTTTGCTCACCTCCCGATCTACTGAGCCGACCTGTGACAGTCTCATTGTCACAGGTCGGCTAGAACTATGAGGTGAGTGAAAAGCACTCACCTCATAGTTCTCCTTTTTAAGCATATGTTTCAGAAATGGACTCATATCTTTTGGACATAGTCGGGCCGGCAACCAAAGAATAGCCTTCAGTGACACAGGAAAACAGATATGTTCTTCTAGATCTACCGAGATTGGGCGATATAGAGTCATATAAAAGTTTCCTAGAGGGACCAATTGTGCAGCTTGGTAGTATTTATAAAAATTTGGAAGGCCCAGCCCCCCCTGTCTCCTATGTATAGTGCTTTTAGTTTCTAGTACGTTTATTGTTCCATACAAAAGAAAAAACTTTGTTGTGGAACGAGTGAATGATATATTTTGGAATACAGACTGGGATAGTTTGAAGTAAATATAATACTTTAGGTAAGATTGACATTTTGACTGCGTCAATTCTACCTATTCATGAGAGTTTATGTCTCATCCAAGTCATTAATAATTCCTGTAGGCAAACTGCAAGGGTTAATACATTTTCCTGGAGGTCTTTTTTAAAGTGTTTTTCCATTATATGTTATGTGTTCCTATTCACACAGCAGGCTTTTGCAAGCGTCTCTCTCATTTTCAAAGTGACCGCAAACTACCTTTTCCCATATAAAGACTAGCAACAATCTGAGCTTCCTCTCATTAATATACAATCTTTTTAGATCCTTAACCCTTTGTTAGGGCCGATAGTGATATTGAGATTTGCCCTCATAGTGCAGACAGGGTTTATTATGTTAACATTAACCTCCTCACTGCCCTTGCACTCTTGAAGTATACTTCAGTACAGAAATTTCAGAATAGAGCATGTATTATGTAAACAGCATTTTTTTATGCTGTGTGAATGAGAACATGTACCAAATATAAAATAGATGTTGTCTAAATTTGGCTGCAAAAATACATTTTAAGTGCCATGTTTTAGATCTCCTTGTATTGTTCTGCATATCTCTAGACTTGAAAAGTGGATGCTAGTGATGGCCTGGGGTCTAGAAAAGTTGCAAGTTTTTGCACTAGCACTGAAACTGAGCACTACACCACTTTGTGTGTTTTTTATTATAGGTTATCTTACTACGACTAACAGGTACTCACAGGCAACATAAGGTGCCTACATGTTAGAGCTATTTTCACCTTAGGTACTTGCAGTTCTAGTGTTTGCTTGCATAGCATTTGTAGGTCACTGACTGTTTTTTACTTGCTGCCTATAACTGATCTTAAACCGTGTGTGTGTGATATATATATATATATATCTCTATATAGCAATATTTTGTTAATTGCATTTTATAGAGTGCATTCAGCTGTGGAAATAAACATATTATACTTTATGTATTTTTACATTAAAGTTTTGTCCTTGCTTTTGTTTTTCAGGAACTGCCCAACTCAGTTTTCTTGGTCATGGAGGTAATATTTTTTGATGTTTCATATTCAGACATAATGAGATTAACTCATTATTATGGTTTATTGAGGTTTTAGCTGTACGTGTGAAATATAAATGACTGAAGAAAAGGCAATATAAAAGAAAGAGATGAATTTAATGTTCACCTGTGAGAAACCTAAATATACTGGGGGCACTGAGTGTTTCTTGCACTAACCTTTACATGTGCATGCTTCAGCTCCTCAAGTGGCTGCATCCCAGGGTGCAATAACAAGCATGTTTTAACAGTTCCTGATAGTGTAAAGCTCTTGCCCACCCTCTTCATTCACCTGCATGTTTCTGTTGGCCTTCCTAGCCAAAAGGAATGAGCGGTAGAGGGAAAACTAGCACTTAGCACTAATTTCCTAATATAGTGTCTGGGCTTATGGGGTACTTGGGTTGCTCATGTAATGCTATTTACAATTACTAGTGATTGCGCTTAATCTCAAAGTGTAGCTAGCCCAGGGATTTAAAAATCTGCTAACACTACAAAATTGTGTAACAAAGAATGAACAGATAAACCAGTGTAGTACTTATACATATTTTCTAAAACAATAAATCAATCTACATAATCATCAAATAATAAGTGCATATCATATGAAGTCCATAAATATTCATCTCTACAAAATAAATATATGCAGTATATAATAACAAGATGCTCTGATTCCAGTGAACCACACACCATGCTCAATGTATACTGTATAGAACACAGATGATCCCTGGTAAATCCTACCACCCTTTTAACACGTGCCTCTCGCCTCAAAGGATTGACCTAGTGACCATTTTAGGGGGGAAAAAACCTAGTAACCATTCTTCAGGGAGAAAAACCTGGATGGTGTATTTGTCTCATGTTCCATCAAGTGGTCAGTGTATAACTCATAGAGTGAAATAAACGTACAATCCATAGTGCTCCCCATTTAAAACATTATTTATGAAAAGACCAAAAGCACAGAATACTCACTTGTGTAAATGTGCGCAGGGAGAGAAGGAGCAGGTGAGAAAAATCAGTCTGTATAAAACGTTCATTACTCTGGTATCTCTTCTTTTTCCATCCTGTGTAACATCACCTGAACTCCACCCAATGCATTGTGTCTTATCGACTTCCTCAGGAGTTTGGAATTCAGTGACCGCATCTCTTTTTATCTACGGAAATTATGGTGTCAAGCTCTTGCCCACCCTCTTCATCCACCTACATGTTTCTCTTGGCCTTGCTAGCCAAAAAGAATGAGCGGTAGAGGGGAAACCAGCACTTAGCACTACATGGAAGTGTCAAAATGTGTCTAATAAAGTGCTGTCAGCTACCATCAGTGGAATCTCTCCTCCTCTTCTGCAGCGGTCGAAGGTCCCGAAAATCATCACGCTGCAGAAGAGAGGGAGAGAGGCTCTAGTAATTGGTCTAAGAACAAGCCCACTTAGGGCATCTGGTGAGGATAACTTTTTTTTTTTTAGCAGCCATTTAATGAGCCGTTAACCCTTGCAGTGCAGGGATAGTCCCACGGCAAGTGTTCTCTTTTTTTAAAGGTGTTTTTAAAATTACTTGGCTGAACTAACATAATTTATCATGTGACTGAGCTTCATGTCAAAATAAAGTTAAAACCCTACCGGGTTCCTGAAGTGCAGAGAAAAGCCATTTCAGAAGAGCAATATAAAATGTTAGCCCTTGCGATCATAGAGGAATCTAACCGCAAGCAGCCAAGACAGTCAGTGCTCATTCCTGAGCTGGATGGCAGCCTGAGGGTCAGCAACAACTTCTCAGCTTCTTGGGACTTCCCAGTTGCTTTTACCGCGCTATGTTGCTAAGTGGCCATACGAACTCTGTGGCGACCTCTCAGCTGATGATTGGTCGCGTATTTGGACCACCACCCCTAGGAGTTCATGTAATGTGTTCGCTCTGGAAACTAATTATAAATTATTAATGCGCTGGTTCCATCGAGGATTGCCAAAGTGCTCCCATCCAACCCATCTACTTGTTTCAGAAGGTGTCACGCGGAGAGGGAATTTTCTCATATCTGGTGGAAATGTCCTGTAGTTTCTCAGTTTTGGTCTCAAATCTTTCATATAATCAAGGCTCTGATGCTGCAACATATCTTTACCGCGGCTAAACATGTGATTGTGCGTTTCTGGAGGGCCCCTGCCCTTTCTTTTCAACAATTCCTCGATAATATGTCCCACACCATGTTTTCTGACAAACTATGCGCCCGCCAGGAAGATATGCTTTCTAGGTTTGAGGCTATATGGGCTCCCTGGATAGAGCATTTTTTCCCTTCTGGTTTCCAGCAGACCTCTCTATCTATTTTGTGAGATGTTCATAGGGAAAATTGGTGAGAATGGATCTCATTTCTTTTTCTCTTTTTCATTCCTGTGCTTTATTCCCCCCCCCCCCTTTTTTTTTTTCTTTCTTTTCTTTTTTTTCTTTCCCTCTCTACCTGCCTTGGGATAATTCCTGTTCTTGCTAACTCTGCCACGTGGACCATTCTTCCTTTTTAGGTTTATATTTTTTCGGTTCCTCATCAGTTTATTATACTTATTTGTACATTTGTTTTTTCTGACGGTGGCCTTTGTGTATTTTGACCTAAAGTCCTCGATGATGTACAAGCCCAATATGTCTGATCTGTTCACTACTGCTTGTCTATATTTACAGAGTTGTTATTTGTTTCTGATTGAATCCTTTCTCCTGATATTTTTTTATGTAAGCACTTCCTAACCTTTAAAAAGTTAATAAAAATTATTGCATGAAAAAAACTAAGCCCTGCAGAGAAGAATTACTCAATAGTGGAAAGGGAAGGTCTGACTATAACATAGGCACTAGAGTCATTGAGGTTTTACCTTTTGCGCAAACAGTTCCTGTTGACTACAGACCATTCTCTAATATAGTGGATGGCTTGGAAAGCTAAATATTTTTGTTTGGGCAGCGACATGGTCCCTTCAAGCTGTTTTGGCTATAAGCTATATCAAATAAGCATTGTTTTTGAATATTTTCAGTAGTCTTATCTATATAATTTCTGTACCTGTTTTTATTTCTCTGTATATCTAGTGTGCTATGTTTATAGGGCAGCAGATTAGCTAACTTCCTGTACATAAGCAGTAAGAGAAGTCTGAAAACATATTTACCAAACAGTGCATTATTCTTGGCTAGGAAATCATTTAAATGTTGTGCAAGCCTAATAAATCTGTTTTAACATTTGTTTTTCTCAACAGTACTGCAATGGAGGAGATTTAGCAGATTATTTACAAGGTAACAGGTTCCTCTTTTTCTAAAATACTTTATGATGTGTCTGATTTTTGCTAGGTTTAAATCTCTACCTCTGTTGTAATTCAGTCTAGAAGGCCCTTACTGCAGACTTGAAGCGGTAACAGGAGCCTGTTGTTTTCCCAGATTAATTGTCTTGGCTGCCGTTAGCTTTTGTCATTTTGCCATACTTGAGAATATAAGCTTTAATTGAATTTTAAGGCTACAGTGCATAGCCAGCTTTTGCTTGCTAAAATTTCATGTACACATACTCTGTAGGTTTCTAGTGATCAATAATCTACGCAGCTAGGTTAATTTCCAGTTAAAAAGACTTCATCATCATGCTTTTATCAAATTTGCATCTGAAAGTAGCAATACCTTCATATGTGACAAAAGGATGATTTCAATGGACAATTTCTTTACTATGTTCATATTTTTAGTTTTGCAATCTGTATATCCACAAGGGTTGCAGACAGTTGGCTTCCCTTTTGGTGACATTCAATTGTCACTACTATGGAATTTTGTGGCGCAAACCGAGAGATTGCTACTACTGTTGCCATGGTACTGGATTACATGCCGGTTTGTGTGTGCGTCAGCACATTGATTCTTTCTGCTGACCTCCACGTCACTATTGTGTTCTGTAGTGACATGGGGGTCAACAGGAGGAACCGCTCAGCGCAGTGGAGAACCAGCTGATCTACACTACCTTAAGTGTAAATTCCTGCAGAAGACTTAGGAAGAAAATGTATCAGGATAGGAGTGGATGGCAGCAAAGCTAGGTATATGTTTTCTTCTTTACAGGTACCGTATTTATAGGCATTTTTTTAGTATCAAGTCAGGGTCATTTTAAGAATGTCAGAAAAGTCAAACGACCTTATTTGCATACTTGTTATGGGTTAGTGACTCAAAGTATTAAAGCAAAAGGATCAACAGGAAACCAACCAAATGTATTTTCAGGAGAGGTCAGCAACTGTAGCCTTTATGTTCCTCAAATGACAGGTTTTCTAAACGTTCATAAGTCTACCACCTCTATTTATCGCAATGATTAAAGGTGGTTGTAATGCAGAGAGACCATCTGAGAGGGCTAAGAATGCATGTGTTCTTGTGCAAGGTGGAATGCACCTATTGCTGACCTACACTTGTGTGTTACAGCCTGAACTTGTCATAGAGTAAGATGCAGGTCATAGACACATAGTAATCCAACTGCTTTTACAGCAACAGCACCAGATGGGAATTGATGCGGTATCACTGCATTCCAAAGTCCCTCTTTGTGTCTGCAGCTTTCAGAACCCTTTCCCTGCTTTACATTGGCTAAACATTTGCATGCAACAGCTGAGATGATGTCAGATCCCACTGCCAACTGTGGTCAGGGTAGCCTTGTTTCAAGGGTCTGGTCACACCAAAATCAGTCCTAAAATGCAAGTCAATGGAGGTCCATTTAATTGTAATTTCATCAACCCCCTGCCGTTCTGTTTTTTTGTGGGTTTTTTTGCCAACCTTTATTTTCATTGACATGTCCAGAGTGAACAAACCTTTTATGGGTTTTTTTTTGTTTTGTTTTGTTTTTTACTTCCGTAACATATTCTGTTACGTTGCGCTTATAAAAAGTAGAGCATGCTCTACTGGTCCCATTCACACCCATTCTTTTTTTTTTTTTCCTTTTTGGGGTTACCTTCCATTGGCATCTGTTGAAAAACTGATCACAATGGATGGTGTTAATGGGGCCTCAAACAATGCTGAAATGAGCTGAGCATCGCCAAGTTTCAGGTGGATCGGGACTAGTTCTAGTCTGAACAAAACTGCCTAAGATACCAATATAAACATTTCTAATTTTAAATGCATAAGGCTACTCTCACTCTTGCCTCCTGCGTTTGTTTTATTTAAATGCAGAGAAATTGATCTGGGAAGTATAAACATACGCTATGCTTCCCAGATCACTTTCTCCTGAATTTAAATGTACCTGCTGGTGTGAATGAGGCTTTATTGCTGTATGTACACATTCTGTAAAAGCAACTATGTATTTTTTTTTCTTAAAGTCTGGACAAAATGCAGACCTGACTATTCTGGCAGCGAGAGACAACACATTGCGATGCGTATTTACCCAAACAGCTGTACATCATCTTTGTAATAACATTAAAGGCTAATTCCAAACTTCAGAATTTCATTGTGTAACCACAATCACATAATATTACCTGGATGCAAAGTTCCACTTAATCCTGCTGGTCAGCCAATATGGTCTGGCTGTATTCTTGTTGATTCTGCCAGCAGCAGATTGTAAATCTGCACCATGCCAGTTTTATTAAAAGCTCGCTCAGCAGAAGCCAAGAGAAAATCTCCAGCATTTAAAATTGTGCTTCACCACAAGTGTTTTGGAAAGAGTGCTGTTTTTTCTGTATTGTTGGAATCTGTATTCCTCCGGCTGGGCCTTTGTCTTACACACCTTTTGAAATATGTAACATTAACCCTTTAAAAACAATGTTGTATACATTTTCTAAGCATTATAAATATACACTGGCTGCTTACCAGTGGTTAAAGAGAAATATAGGCACCCAGTTTGACATGGGTCTGGTGTAAAATAATGGAATTGCCTAAGAATATATTAAAATAAAGACCCTAATATGGAGTATGCCTACTGCACCAAAACACACCAAAAAGATGCATTTACCCATTTGTGTTACACAGCATGCTATAATGCATGGTAATGCATTACCATGTGTTGTGGTGCAGTGCAAAGCACATTTATTGGCAAGGTTTTCCAATGCTTGTAATGCACGTTACCGCAGTATGATTGTGTGAACAGAGCCTCAGTGGCACCTGTTTTTTTCACCTAGCAGATGAACCTGATCATTTATACAAGTTCATATTCCTTCCTAATGACTTTAATGTGATGCCTTGATGTATCAATACAGATCATTGTTTAACAGTTGCCAACCAACACTGTGGATGGAAGGCCTGATCTGGTTCTCTCCAAACTTAAACCTGCCTGGGTGAGAGATTACCTGTCAGACCATATTTATTTTTCCCCTCGCCCATAGTTTGCAACTAGGACAACTTCTTAAAGCAGAACTAAACTTGGTTAACTAGAAATTGCCAGCAATAATTTACCTGTCTGCTAGCAAATTTTTGTTATCTGTTCAATACCTGTGGTAAATATGTAGTACAGTGAACAGTCCTAACCCATTGGTCTCATCTGTAAAATGCTGAGATAATGTAAGTCCTGTGCACACGTATAGGAGTTACATCATCTGTGGCCAAAACAAGGAGATGCCAGACCTGGAAGAAGATGGCAGCAGCGGCACCAAAGTAGAGTCCAGGAGCTTTGGACCTTTCATTGCTGGAGGAGTTTCTGCAGTTGGGAAAAATAAGATCTTCTTGTGGGAGTTATGTGCTATGTAGTGTATAGGTTGTCAACAACCCATAAATGAATAAATAAACCCACAACTTCATTCACTTTCTTATGATTCCTGAGGTTTATTTCCACCTGGAGTGTTTAAATGAAGGTGTTAATGAAGTTGTTAAAAATGTTTTGTGTTTGCATTATGTAGTCATGATTTTCATGTAATGGAATAACCGCTTAGAGTCCTGGATGTGAGACGTTGCTGTAATAAGGTTTTTGAGCCAAGAGGTTGTCCTTGTATGACTCCACGGCACAGGGCTTGGAGCTAACAGCAGCAGCAGTGTCAAGCTAATGCTGCATGAAAGAAGTCAACAATTGTGGAAGCAGATTCATAATCCTCTCCTCAGGGAGAACCAAATTAGAGTAATGCCAGTGTATGGGAGGAAAGGAGAAAGGCATGCACTGCGTGAAGATACCTTCCCTCTTGCAACTGACATGATTCTGATAACGTTGTCCAAGTATTGTTGGTACCTGTGAACCAAGCAAAACCACTAAGATGTCTCAATTTTAATTCATTTGAAAATGTGTTGTAGTAAACTAATAACAAATTTATGAAGCATAGTAGACAATGGTTTCTTAAAAGTACAGACATTAAATGGCAGTCGGATTGTGGCTGCACATATGAAAGCACTCAACATAGGCATTATCAGTTGGATTGGCTAATCATAAAGTGCATGTTTAGTCCAGTGGAAGAGAAGGCAATACACTGTTGGAGACCTCCGGTAGTGGCTTATCTCAGCAAATAACAATAGTGATTACAGCTTTTTTTTATTTTTTAGCTTAGATGATCCAACCCAACCAATTAATTATTCTCCCTAAAAGGCTTGTCCAAGGTTTATCTGGCAAAGTTGGGGCGTTGTAGTAGACAAATAATTATTGCTAGATCCAGTAAAGGTTACATAGGTACCTTTTTAGTAAACATCACAACACTTTAAATTGATTCCTTAGATCCTTGTATATCACATTCTGTGGATATATTTCTATCCAGGGTCATAGTATTACACATCTGGGCCCTGGTGTAAGATATGAGCCAGAGCTCCTTTGTTTCAACCCTGTACCCACTGCAGAAGACTTGACATCAGCTAGAACTCTTTATGCAGCGTATATGCAAACAATATTATCTGCTGTACCTGAAACCCCAAACCTCATAAACCTATCTTTATAAGAGAACGAACAACTGCAGGTTTACCTCTATGATGCCAGCAGCCTCTTCTCACCTCATCTCACTCATCTTCCCTCCCCTCCCCTCTCCTAAGCTTAGCAGAGTTTAGATTACATGTTTTTTTAGTGCTGTGTCACACTCTAACATTTTCTGCCATGAGATTGAAATAATCACTATATAGGCATTCTGATTGTAAGAGGAGACAAAAAGGGTTTTTCCACTGAAAAATGTTGTGGTGCCTGGATGCAACATCTGCAAGATTGAATAGTCAGATTTTCTAGCAAGTTTAAAAGCACATTGCAAGTGAATAAAAATAATTTATGGAAAGGGAAAACCTCTGCAAGCAAGCAGAGAATATTACATCTTTCTGTGGTTTTACGTGCAATTGTTTTTTTAGGTGGTGACAGGGTCTTTTTAACTTCCCCTACCGCCTGGCAACATGATGTTCAGGCAGAGTCTGCCAATTAGGGGCTTTGTGTAAACTTGCATCCTCTCTTTTGACAGACACCACTTGACTAATTTGAGGCTTTGGTTATGTGACCTACTGTTTTTTCAATTTTTGCGTAAAAAAAGCACAATGACATGTAGGTTGATTAGTAAGCAGAGTCTGTTTTAAATGTAATGTACGTTTTTGTATTTAGTGTATTTACATTGACCAGCACTTAAATATGCATCCTGAAATGAATTTGTTTTTCACTGCATGCAAATATTTCACCTATTTCTAGCAAACAACTGCCGCTCTTGTCTCTCTTTTTTTTTACATGAAGGCTAGTCTTTACTGCTTTGCTGAAAAAGCCTGTTCACAGCTTTCAATAGCTCAAGCTCAAAGTTCAGATGAATACAGATGAATAATTCAGAGGAGTGGCTCTCCCACTCCGTGTGACCCTTCTAACTCTGCTGTGTACTGCTTCATACAAACTTTTAATTAAAACATTAGCCAGCAGAGATTAACCACAGCAGACACTTTGAATCTGTCAGGTTCTCAATCTGTTGTATATAGACCATCCTATGAATTCTATAAACGCACCATTAGGTTTTAATTCCTGCTGACATATATTATCCTGATGCCTGTCCCTGTGATTGCTGTAATTGCCTGATATCTGGAAAGTTTGTCAGCAACCTTTACAAAATACATACAGTAGTTAATACTATTAATTTATGCTAGATTTCCCTATTTGTCTTTATGACTGCAAGTAGTTGACAGATTGCATTAGGATTTATTCAGTGATTTTGTGGATTAGTTTCCTAAAGTGACAGAAGATGGCAAATCATCAATTCAGTGTACTTTATAAGGATATATTTGCAGTTTACAGTCAGCTCCTCTAAAGAATGAATATGGTTCTACATAAGAACATGGCTTTGTTGTAGCGATGCATAAATGACAAGGTAATATTGGGCGGGAAACGTGTGTCTATCTTAATAAGAAACCTGAGACTGGATGGTATAGCGGTTTTGATTTTATTATTGCTATTTACATTAGTGTTTTGTTAATGGAACGGTTTTAAAATTGCATCTATTTATCTGTAGCACGCATGCTTAGTTATTTAGTGGACTTTGTAAGTTCTAAAGGATGGGTTGTGTTTCTTAGCTGAAAAAGTACACCCCATTCCTGTTACTTTCTTCATTTAGCCATCAGGTTGGTGTTTACAATATTAGCTGAAACTAGCTGGTTTTGGATGATATGTAGTGTGCTTGGAATCTGGAAGTAGAAAATGAATAGACGTTTTGCAGTGTTTTAGTTTTTCAGTTTGCTTTTATTGATTGTTTATGCACATACAGGGGCAAATGTTCATTGTACCTGCTGGATTTTCCTACAGTAGAATTGATTGAATCTAGCGTCCACAGTGCTAGTTCCTCCTAAGGACCTCATAGTAAACTGTGGTTTAATAATGCCTTAAATTAGTTTTTTTTGTAATTAATGTATTGTACTACACCTAGTTGTGGACTTGTACTTGCTGGTGATTGCTGGTGTACAAGTCAAAAAAAGTTGGAATACAAAATAATCTTAATGTTTGTGTAAATCAGTGTGCTGCAATCAGGAGAGTCATGGCTGCAGCCTGGTGCCGGATAAGGTGCACAAAGTAATCACCTCCATCTTGGACACATAGCCAGATCTTCTCTGTGTTTAACACTCTTTTTCTGTGCTATAAACATTTCCTTTCTTTAAGGTCTTTGTAGTAGGGTAAATATGACATCTGAACAAAACCCTGGAGATTGGAAGCAAATGCACTTAAACATCCACCACCCAAACCCTGGGGATAGGCAGCAGATGCACTTAAAAATCCAACACTTTGGGAGTATAAATGGTCTGTCCAGCATGTCCAGGATAGGAATTTTTTATGGTCCTCGGCTCCATCTAGTAGTGGAAATATTATGTGAATGGGATTCAGATATATGCTGGGTCGAACTTTAATACATCACCCCCAAATGTTGGAGTTTCTCTTGTTCCTAATGAAGGTAGGTGTTCTCAGACTCTAGGCAGGACGGACTTTAATTTGAAAATGATTTAACCACATCTAATAAATATGGTCAGAGTGTCACAGGTTTGTGTTTCTGTGGTGAGAGAAGACCCAGCTCAAAATAGGCGTTGTGTAGCAAATACACTGTTCACCTACACCATCATTGATCTCTTTCTCTACCCCACTGTATGGCATCTTCATTGTACCTTTTGGTAAAGAGCGATATCTGTTAATTACCAGAAGATTACTAATTAGCAGAGTCATAAATATTTCTTTTTCAATGCAGCTAAAGGAACTTTGAGTGAAGACACCATTCGAGTCTTTCTGCAACAGATCGCCGCTGCTATGAAGGTGTTACACAGCAAGGGCATCATCCACAGGGACCTAAAGCCACAGAATATTCTTCTCTCTTACGCTACTCGGAAGAAGCTCAATTTCAGTGGCATCCGGATAAAAATTGGTAAATGACTGGTTAGAACATGAGCGTGTTTTCCTAATGCGTATAAATGAGTGTAATATTTTCAGCAATAATATAGATTATAGATGCCAAAGGTTACTTCTGGAGGTGGAAAAAAATTAGGAGTAGTATGTATTAAAATGATCGTAATTATATATTTACATTTTCCAAATTTGTCTGACATCCATTCAGGTGTCATTGCTTCTCAGCATGTCTTAGAAGCTAGCTTAAAACTTTTATTTTGCGTACCCCACCCCTTTTATTTATTATACCACAAAACAGACCTTATTGTGGTCCTGGCTCCGTTACCCCATGCAGTATATGGATTTGGTTTTCTCCTGGTATTATTGCTCCAGTGCATAGTAGCAACTCTACATGTGTTTTTTCATACATTTTCACGTTAAACATTTTTTAATTTGGCCAATGAACGTTGCTAGGGGTGGCGGCTTGTTATTATGCACATGTTAAATGTTTTTTTTTTATGTTGTGTCACTGAAGTCTATGGGGCCAAACATGCACCAAAAGCAGCTCCTGCACCTTTTTCAAAGTCGCCCTGTAGCACAACTCATAGGTGCGAATGAACCCTCTAAAAAATAATAGGATTCCTTGTCTCGTGCATTGTAGCTTGAATGCCAAATCGCTTTTTTTTTTAGGGGGTCCAGACGTACTTGGTCTAGTATTCAAGCTACAATGCACGAGACAAGGAATCCTATTATTTTTTTAGGGGGTCCAGACGTACTTGGTCTAGTATTCAAGCTACAATGCACGAGACAAGGAATCCTATTATTTTTTTAGGGGGTCCAGACGTACTTGGTCTAGTATTCAAGCTACAATGCACGAGACAAGGAATCCTATTATTTTTTTAGGGGGTCCAGACGTACTTGGTCTAGTATTCAAGCTACAATGCACGAGACAAGGAATCCTATTATTTTTTTAGGGGGTCCAGACGTACTTGGTCTAGTATTCAAGCTACAATGCACGAGACAAGGAATCCTATTATTTTTTTAGGGGGTCCAGACGTACTTGGTCTAGTATTCAAGCTACAATGCACGAGACAAGGAATCCTATTATTTTTTTAGGGGGTCCAGACGTACTTGGTCTAGTATTCAAGCTACAATGCACGAGACAAGGAATCCTATTATTTTTTTAGGGGGTCCAGACGTACTTGGTCTAGTATTCAAGCTACAATGCACGAGACAAGGAATCCTATTATTTTTTAGGGGGTACAGATGTACTTGGTCTAGTATAAAAACAATGCCCTTTTATGTCTAGGTGAGGATAAACTAGAGCTTCAACCATTGTATATTTATTTCTCTGTTTTTTATTTAGAATGTTGATCACCTTTTTTTTTTGCCCCTCCAATTTTAGCGGACTTTGGCTTTGCTCGGTATCTGCAGAGTAACATGATGGCTGCTACGTTATGTGGTTCTCCAATGTACATGGTAAGCTACTTTTTATATGTGTATTGGGTAGACACTTGTATAGATAGTATTTGGTTTATTGATTTCACAAACCATTATATAAGCTATAACAACTGAGGTGTGCTTGAGCATTTACAACAACAGATGCTTTTTCTTTTTATAAGAATATTTAAATTAGTGGAATAAAAAAATTGACCTTTAAAGTGATATTAAACCATTTGTAATCTATTTCAAATGCTGATTAAATCACTTGCATTGGATGCGGCTCCCTGATGTTTAAAAGTTTGTTTCCTGCAGATTTAGTTGGACCTTTGAGCACTGGTCCAGATTTCCTGCTTTAGGGTAGCTCCTTTCCCTTGCAATGTTCTATGGAGACACCCTTGTGTGTGCTAGTAAGCCAAGTGTGTCTCCACAAACAAGGCAAGACACTTCCCTGCTCCTCCTTCATCCCTTCCTCCTTTCCCAAGCTGGTAGATGGACAGTTGCTGGAGACTGTTCTGTCCCTTGTACTGGACAGGATGTTCAGAAAACCTGAGCTGAGAGAGTTGGAGCTGTTTGGAAACATGAAGACTGCAAGCGTTTTGGGCAAAAATGTAAAGAAATACTTTGCCGGGCAATGAATATTTGTTTGATCTGGATTCAATATTGAAAAAAGGTTTGAGAATTTAATCCTACTTTAAGTTCTAGTTTGTCCCAACCCCTGTCAGTTTCTCATGTGCTGGACAGCTTGGTCTGCATGTAAATGTAGAGAAAAATATAAAGAGTAGCTTTTATATTAACTAGTTACATACTTTTAATCCAACAGGATAGTTTTACATATTTTTGTTCAGGTAATGTGACAACCAAACTACAGGGTGTATTTGCCATATTCATTTATCTCCGGTGATGGAAAACAAAGACAATGGATCTCGACCTGTGCTTTTAAAAATCCTAAAAATGGGCATAAAAAGTACAAGTACAGTTACTAAAATAAACGTCGTTGGTTTAAAGAAATATAAATGACAAGGGTCAATCAAAAAGTAATGCCTCCATGTCTGTATCTGACATCTATTTTTTGGGTGTGTTTGCGTGTTTTTTGGTTGTGTTCTCTCCATTTACATCAATGTGTCATGCTCTGCTCACAAAATGGATAGACGTCACCAGCACACTGTTGGTGTGCTGGTGACATCTATCCATTTTGTACTGAGTGGCGGCGCCGCCCGCAGTCACTGCGAGCACCCCCCTTCATCCAATTTAGTTTTTTTCCCCGGTAAGGAGGCGATAAGGTATCTTTTTCATTTGCTCTGCTCAAAAAAACGTACTACTTGGTGCACACGCGTAAACACGTGCAAAAAACGTGCATCAAATAACGCTGTGGATGGAGCCTAGGGGCGAGCCCAACTCCAGTGCTGGCTTTGCAACTCAGAACCTGTTTTTTTAAAATTATTTCTTACTTTCCAACAGCCTGTTATCGGTTCTTTACTGTGTTGTTGCCAATCTGTTGCTTTTTGGTCGATTTTACAGTCCACTTGCATTCAAAATTTTGATAAACACTCTCCTGGTCATCGGAACGTCCATGCCCGCTGAAGTGTCTGCTCCAGATATCATTTTTCATTTACTTTCTCCTATGCAGTATATATTCATTAAATGCTTTGTGTTTAGTATTAGTGCCACTTGCTGTCATATGGTCCTTTGCCAGTGCAGCTATTGATAGTTTGCACTGTATACCATGGTCATATTACATATTTCACAAGTTGCACTTTGCTGTAGATCTTTGCTTCCTTGCTGCTTTTGGAATTCTCTTCCTCCAGTATACACATCATCATAAGATGTTTACAGCAACACTTTACATGTCTGTTAAAAAAAATCAAAGCAACTGGACTTGCTAAATTGCAGAAATTCATTCTGATTTGAGAAAGCTAGTCGGATGACCAGCAAAACTTCTTCAAGAAAAATATAGCAAGTCCGGTTTCTTCGATTTATTTTTTTACAGATATGTTATGTCCTGGATGAATGAGAACCTTCACAGACAACACTTTCTGTCTGAAACAAAATATGGTGTTTTTTGGGGAATAACATTGCACTGGCTGCTGAAGTTTAGACATCATGCCATATGTGGGTATATCTTCTGTTTAAATACCAACATAGTGATCTGTTTGGTTTTCAGGCTCCAGAGGTTATCATGTCACAACACTATGATGCAAAAGCAGATCTTTGGAGCATAGGAACCGTCATTTATCAGTGCCTAGTTGGCAAGCCACCATTCCAGGTAACCATTAATTCACTTGTGTATTTGCATTTGCTGTCTTGTTTATTTCCTGTACTGGTCACAGTTTATTCAAGGAAGTTTTGTGTGGGTTCTCTGACGTGTTCTTTGTACCAAGAATTAATCTGTAATGCTAAAGTAGATAAAGCTCTTCTCCGGGTTTGATAGTGGGAATTATTTTCTATTCATAGGGCTTAAATGTCAAATCTTTTTAGCATGAAAAAGACCAGAGCTTATGAAAACATGCAGTCTAGATACACATTTACCTAAGTTGTGTTATATGAAGAGAGGCCTAACATTGTGTTATAAAAATATTCCATTAGATGTTATAATCACTAGGCTTTGTCAGATTCCACAACTGCCAATAATAGTATCTATTGATAGGGGAAACTTACCATTTGCATGTTAATCTAGAGTTTCTTTGCAGACAGCTGTAGTTATACTGTCGCTGGTCAGTACTGTGGATTTTCTTCTTTCATTAGGATTGCAGTAATCACCAGCTTGTCTTTATTGTCTTTATATCACTGATTTCGTAGCCAGTGCAGTGTGGTTGACCAAAATGGGGTAGGAAATATGGTAATATGTGTGGGTAGGGGGTTCCCTTCTGTACAGCTAGATGTATTTGTTATGCTATAATTTATGGACAGCTTTCCATGTAATTCACATTTCTATGCTTAGGGAAGCGGAAACAATTGACAGTACACATGTAGTCCGTCATGAAAACCAGAAGGGGGCCTGCTGCCAAATATATAAGTATTTGACTTTGTAGAAGGTGGTACCATCTCTGCTGTGGACCCTTCTACTGCTTTATGTGTTAGTCCACCACTGACAGATTATATAATTACATGCTTACTCATGGTTCGCATTATGTTGTCAGATACCCATGACCTTACTCAGCGTAGAGTTATCTTAGTACAAAGTTAATATGTAGTTAACCCAATCACAGCTTTACTTGTGCTTGTTGGCCAAAAGAACTTCTAAATATATAGCTAGTTTACATAATTTTTCCTGATATTTTATCTGTTTTCCTAACAACAGGCAAACAGTCCTCAGGATCTGCGATTGTTCTATGAGAAGAATAAGAACCTTGTTCCAAGGTACATTTCCTGCATGCACTCAAACATCCTATACGTTGTGAGCTATGGTTGTGCCCTTAGGTGTTGCTCTAGTATAATAATAGTGAGTGTTCTTTAAGGATATTAGTGCTCTCACGCACCAAAATATGAGCCCTGTGTGTGTTAGAACAGGTGTATCATGGTCGTAGCACACTTCTTACATTCATGTGTTTTTGGAGGTATTTATAGCCCATCTTTGTGCTTGCACCCTCTTGCTAAGCAGACTTTACTCGGATCATAAACAATCATATGCTTGTTTAAATTCTTACAGCATTCCCGGGGAAACCTCTCCATATCTGTCTGACTTGTTGCTGGGACTACTTCAGAGAAGCCAAAAAGACAGGCTTGACTTTGGTAGGTTTTTAATTGTTACAGATACAATTTATTCAGTATTCAATCCTTGTGTTTAGGCCCCCGTAACCCCATCACCACCACCCCACCCCCCCTTCCTTATGCACTAATACTCACCTCTCCAGCACTGCCTTTATCACTCTCTCGCAGGCAGCACTACAAAGAGTAGTGACATTGCAACCTTGGTCATGTGACAGTGCTCAGGCTTAGAGATTAGCTGATACACCCGAGCACATGGGAGGGGGTCATATGATCTCCTACATATGGAAGCACCGGGTATTGTTGCCAGCTTGGATGGAAGGAGAGGCGATGGGAGAACACTGGCAAAGCCAGTATGAATGGCTCAGAAGGGCCCCGTTGTAAAGGCACTGTCACTTTGCCTTAATTAGGCAAGTCACTATCTAGATTGTGTCATTTATCACATGGTTAATGTGTTTTGCTGATTTACCTGTACTTTTATGCAATCCCTACTAAAAGTTGGTTTTAAAAGATAAAGGATACAGTTAATGTATTATTCATGTTTTTCATGTTATTGCTAAACCTGATTAAAGACAGCCTGTGCCACTGGCAATATGGAGGCTGCTGTTACTGACCTGTTTCTGAAAATGCTAGTTCCTAGGCTGTCATGCCAGATAATCTGATTTTGCAGGTGACCTATTCTAGGTCATTAACCTAGTATTAAAGCCATGAAATAAGTGATACAGCCAGCAAATGAGCATTTTTAGAATCAGAGGCCTGCAATGGGAGCACTGTGTTTCTCTTTGCACAGATTTCCTTTAATGCTTCTTCCTAATAGTTGTCTTTTTCTTGCTAGTGGTCTGCAAGCAGCTTAAATCCAACATATCATTAAAAGACAGGTTCACTTAAGAAAAAAACCCAGCTCACCTTCCTTAGCAACACTAACCTATACTAAACTAAAGCCCCCCAGTCCAGGTGCTTGCATACCACTCTATGACATTGTTAGCCTCCTCTGGTGTTTACATCCTCAAACTTCTTGGTATATTGGTCCATACAAGTCTGTTCTGTAGGGTGTTGGTTTATAGGCAAGACCAGTTTTGGAGAAGATATCTGACCTAAGCACGGAAATACTGGGGAAGGATGGGGGGGGGGGGGGCTACAGTTGCCATAATGGTGAGATAAGCAAGCCCCTGGGGGGATTAATTTAGATTAGGTTGAGGGGCTAGGAATAAAAGGCCTGGTTTTATCTACGGTATTTATCGTTTTTTTTAACATGAGCCTGTGGTTAGGTATATAATTATTAAGAGGTATGCCTCCTTTTGTTTGCCAAGTGCTTTTCCAGCTATTAGCAAAAACACAGAGACTTCATTTTAACTGGTTTGTGAACACTTTCAGCTTACAATAGCCCAACACTGATCTGAATTATGCAATCAGGGATAGGATAGCCCTAAAGGTGCCCATACACCTTACGATTATCGGACGGTTTTCGTATGTGATCGACTTTTCGTCCGATAATTATATGTGTGCATTGCAGTGTCCGACCGACATTACTGTACAATCGTACGACTTTTGACGGTCAAGCATGTTTGAAAACTTTGCTAGATCGTACAATTTTCGTAAGGTTGCTGTGTCGTTTACATCCGTCAAAAGTCATACGATCTACACTGCGCTTGCGCTAATGAAAATACGGTAAATCAATTACCGCATTTCGTCCAGGTGCTTTTCGTTAATTACGGCTAAATTAATCTTGCAATCATTGGGGCAGGATGGGGCTGCCGTACGAAAATCGTACGACTATTCGATCATCGGACAAAAAGTTTTGTCCGATAATAGGAAGGTGTATGGGCACCTTTAGTGTATAGTTTAACATATTATGGTTTATCTAGATCACTGTCCATTTATACAGTCACACATGCACATGGTTTTTCTCAGTTGGTAGTAGCACAGTTGTCATTTTTATTATAAAGGATTTATATAGCGCCAACAGTTTGCGCAGCACTTTACAATATAAGGAAGACATTACAATACAATTCAAGACAAGATGGTAAGGAGGGCCCTGCCCCTGAGGGCTTACAGTTTAAAAGGGACATGAGGAGGTAGCTGTGTGGGGATGAGAATGTGATGGTTCAGTGGTTAGGTTGAGGTGGGATTTGACCTATTTATACTGACCAAAGCAGGTTGGTATTGCTCTGCAGTCCTCCAGATGTTCTTCTTGTATTATGTCTTTTCATTTACTTTAAATTGTGTGACAGCAAGCGCCAAAGCACAGCTATGACATCAGCAGTTGTATAAACATATTAACTTGTTAGCTTTGCCTAAGCAAAGAATTTATGGTACATCTGAAATAGGAACAGATTGGAAAAAATTCAAAAAACCCAGTCTTTCATTGTCATAATATGTGAATGTATTAGAAGCACAATGCCTTGTACTGTTTTCTATTTTCTGTGTAAAAATTGCTTCTCGAACAAACAAGCCAATTCCATTGAAATCAGCTGAATTGGTGATTTGACACAAAAGGGTGTAATCTATATAAGCTTTGTAGAGCAAGGTGTTATTGGTGCGCTGCCACATTTCCAAGGTTTAAATATAAAAAGCTTTTATCCTCGTGAGAACATTCTGTTCCCAAAGCTTGAATTGTCCTATCTGAAGACTCGGGGGCGTTGTAGGCTGATCAACACAGTTGGTGTTGCAATTCTCTCCTATGACAACAGAGCTGACAGCTAAGCAAGCAGCTATGCACACCTCGACTTGGCTTATTTTCATGGAGCTAATTATTAGTCAAATATTATGTTTACATGTCTGAAAATAGACTGATTTCACTCAAAAGAGAATTATACTCTCCAGACCCACAAAATGGTTTCCATAATTAACAGGATTTTTTAGTACAGGGCGCAAGAACCAAATGCAATGTGCAGTTCCCATAAGAACCAATCTGAATTAACCAAACAAATAAAAAAGAATCTCGCGCCAATACAGCTCGACTGTTGCATGCACTAATTAAATGAGTAAAACTAATAAATACTATAAATGGTGCCTCTCTATATATCTAAAATAAATCACAAAATAAGAACCAGCATTCCTCTTCAATTGTGCAGTAAAAGTGAAAGTTTATAAGAAACAGTATGGCACAAATAATTTAACCTGAAGTATGAACTTGAACCAATGTGAATATCCCACTGTGAAAGGAACGATCAAATATAAAGTACAAAAAACACTACTAAATCCCTTCTAGTGTCCTTTTAAATAGCAACTAAATCCATGCATAGATTCATAAAATAAGTGACAGGTTTCCACCACTCTTGTGTCCCTGTTATTATGCTTCTTCAATTCTCCACTTCACACGTGATCCTTTGCCCAAACAGGCTGCTCACCTTCATTTCAGACCTCTTACAAAGGTCTGAATGCGCACTGTGATAATCCATAATTTGCTCTGTTGCCCCTTTAGTTGGCAAGATAACCGATCCTCTTCTTATCCATAAGGATAAATAGAGAACATAGTGCATACCAGTAAGTAGATGATGAAATAATTTATTACATTCTACTCACATTGACAAGTAAAATTGCTTTAAAAACAAACAGCAGGGAAGACCGGAGCTTGGAATGTCTCATGATACAAGATAACCCGATCCAACTCAACCCGCTCAATCGCCACTCTCCCATGCTACTCCCACAGCAAGAATTAAGTCCAGCTTAAGCATGTGGTGAGTAGCTACTCTTCCAGCGAGTTCCACTGCGACTATTCGATTCCTCTATCCCACCCTGGTGTGCCCATAGAACTTAATGAAATGTAATTTGTGACATTTCAATAAAGTTCTAACAAAAAAAAAGAAACGGTGCAATGCGGCTCCATCGAGCACAATGGCACTGTAATGGCACAACTATACCAGCAGCTGTGTGGTTGAGCGTGACTGCTGGTGTGAACAAGCTCTTAATGCGTGTGGCTGAATATTTGGTTTGTGTTTTTTGTGCCATACAAAAGTTAAGTTATAGTTTAAGTACATGATAATGCCTGGTAAAATGCAGTTATTCCTTAAGTCCCCTTAATGTGTATTACTGGAGATAAAGTAGTGTCACTGCTCTTTGTGGTGATATGAAAAGCCTACGTTGTTTGTAAAAACAAACTAGTTTATGCTGTAGTTCAATGTAGAGATGTGTATGCTATTTTGTTTTTTGCACAGCCACAATGTTTTTTTTGTTTTGTTTTTTTATATAATTAATATATATATAATTTGTTTGAAATTGTTTTCCCCTGCACAAACCATACAGCATTTATATTGTTAGACATCATTTAATTATACCAGTATATACCCATGTAGACACATTTATTTATTTATTTTTTACATACACCTATTTTTTTTCCCATGTATGCCTATATGAATGGGGACACATCTTATAGTTGCATATATGAAATATGGATGACCTTTTAATCTGCCAGATGTTACAAAGGCTTCCTCTTGTCCAGAAATATTTATCATAGATACCTATTTATTTATTACTTATTGTGTTAAGAGAATAACCATATGATTCTAATGAACTATTTTTCTTGCTAAGATTGCAAAATGTTGTTCTTTATACTTCAAAGGCACTCATAAATCATGGTTTGGCTTTTATTACTGTGCAAAGCTTATGTTGTTGTTTTATAAAAAAAAAAAAAAGAGCATTCTAATTTGTAGAATTTATCTTCTGTAGAGGGATTCTTCAACCACCATTTCCTTGACCAAGTGTCCGCAGTCAAAAAATGTGAGTATATTCAAGACCCTGGGTTTTGTGGGGATAGAGGTGTTAGGCCTGCCAAATATGTCACCAGTTAAGTGGAAAGGTTTGCTGCTGCTAGTTGCTAATTGGATGTCATATGATACCCATTACAGAAAGCATTTTATCGTAGCTCATGGTAAGGGCTCGGGTCAGTTTCCACTTGCAGTAGAAATCAGCCAGAGAACCTCAAATAACCCTGGGAAGTCCTTAGTTACAATTTATTTTAAAATATTACTTGTAAGACTTTAAACTGCATATTTTTGTTGTTTTAATGGCATCTTTCTTAAGCACTAATGAATGTGACAGTAGAAGTGTCAGCTGTGAAGCTGACTTTTTTTCACTAGGTATCAATTACTACTACCGTATTAAAGCTATTTAAACTGCATGAAATCACCAGGAGGCCTTTGTGCATAGGCTTGGAGGATGCTGTGTGTCATTGAATTGAGTCAAGTATATTTATATCTGCTTTGGTGACTGTGTACAGCCAGTGAAATCAGGGCAACTGATATTTGTTCCTGGTCAGAGAATCGGCATGAGCCAGGCAACTGGCAACAGAAGTCAAAAGTGGCTGCATACAATGGTTTTCTTAAATGAGTGGACTATTTTTGTTACCTTTGCTTTTGATTAACTAAACTAACATAGAATCAAAATTGGAATAGTTGTCAGACCAAATCTTTGCATGTGTGCACTAGGTCAGAAATCATTTAAAGTGAGATTGAAGTCGAAAGGTTTTTAAGCTATTTCTAATGCTGATTAACCCCTTCGTGACCAGCGACGTACAATGTTCGTCACTGGCATCGGTGCTGTTTAAACAGACTCCCGCTGGGACTCAGTTTAAACTTGTAAAGCCGACTGCTGGCTTTACAGTAGAAGCGATTCTGGCGGCTCAGCTGCCGCCAGATCGCTTCTACGGACCGGTGAAGGGTCCCCTCCCAACGTCCGTTCGCCGATCCGCTACCCGTACTATGGGACTGGAGCAATGCAGATTACATCACTTCCGGTACTATAGCTGTCAGTGCTGGGCTCCTGAAGCCCAGCTATAACCTATTGAAGTGCGATTTGCACTTTAATAGCTTATTTCAAATGTAAAGGTGATACTAGTAGTCTTTTGTACCCCCAGCATCACCTTAAAGAGGACCTGTCACTGCCAATCTGCTATCACATGGGGGACTTGTAAGTCCCCTATGTGATAGCAATTAAAGTTAAAAAAAAAAAAGTTTTTAAAATTAATATCAAATAAAATAAATGTAAAAATAATTGTAAAAATGTTTTTAAAGTCCCCTGTCCCCGCGAGCATGCGCGTCTTCATGTAAATATGCGTCGGGTGCGCCTACGTATGAAAACGCCGATCGCGCTACATATGTATCGCCGCGCACGCTGGAGTGAGCGCAATAATTCTAGGGCCAGTATTTTCGGGTATCTCTAAATTGATGACCCATGGGGGCTTTTAAGGCGTCGTCTATGGACTTTTTGGGGTACTGAATTTTGTCGCAGTTTCCGGGACACACGCAATTTTTAACCTGAGCATGTTGGGTAACTATTTACTCGTTGTAACCTCATCTGTTATATTTTTTGAAAAAATTGTTTTTTTTTGTGTTTTGGGACATTTAAGTGCATTTTTCTCTAAATTCTGGGGTTTGATAAGGAGTTGCGCTAATATCGTGCAACATACAAATTTGCAACTGCCAACATTTTATTCTATAGGGTCTTGGCTTTCAGAAAATATATAATGGTTGGGGGTTTTAAGTAATTTTCAGTCCTAAAATGTGAAATATAACATGGGTGCAAAAAATTAAGAAGCGGCCTCAGTCATGAAGGGGTTAAATCACTTACAGTTGATTCTGCTCCTTGGTATTGAAAGGTTTAGTTTCCTGTAGAATCAGCTGGTTCCCTAAGCATTGGTCCTGATATCCTGTTTAAGGGTGGCTCCTTTCCCTTGCTAGGTTCCTATGGAGCCACCCTTGTGTGTGCTAGTAAGCTTTGTGTCTCCAAAAACACACAGGCACAACAAGGCAAGCAACTTCCCTGCTCCCTGCTCCTCTCTTCTCCAATCTAGTTGATGGACGGCTGCTGGAGACTGCTCTGTCCCTTGTGATCTTGTACTGGACAGGAAGTTCAGGGAAGCTGAGCTGAGAGAGTTGGAATCAGCTGTTTAGATACACTATGACTGTAAGTGTTTGGGCAAAAATGTAAAAGAAATATTTTGCTGGTCAATGTCTATTTGTTTGATCTGGATTCATTATTGAAACAAATAAAGCGTTTAGTACTACTTTAAAGTGAATGAATGGATCCTATTGCCCATATATAAGGCTCCGTAATGTCTCCCCAGCCTGTCCTGTCCCAGTGCCTACATACTCCGGGTCAAGTATATCAGGCAGCTCCTGTGGAAGCTCGCCTTCTTGTCGATTTGCCTCTCCTCCTGTGAGTATGAAGAATTGATGCTTTTTTGTTTCTTAGTGGGGGGGATGCTAAAGAGATTGTTTCATCAGCATATTGCAGATTGCTTTTATAAGCACAATCCTCACAATAGAATTTCTTTTGAATGAGACCTCCACCCAAAATTAGTTTATTTTGTTTGGAAGGTGATTGGACTCTATTATGTGGTTAGTTATTTAGTCACAAGTGCATTTTGAGTACAAAGTCCAGTTGGGTTTGCCTTGGCTTTAATATATATGCTTTTATGATGACAATAAAGAAAGTGTGGTTTTAAATTGTGCCTAGATAATAGTGGAGGTGGAATATTTAATGAGACGATTCTGGCAATTCCTTTTATAAGTAACCTGAGCAACTTGTACATTACAAACAACTGCTCTCCATGCTGAGAATGAGGACCGTGCAGTCGTTAAAGTGTAATTCGACCCTCATTTTTTTTTATGGCATAGAAGATTTCGAACATCTCTGAGATTCTTTATTTCATTTTGAGGGTCTCTGTTGGGTAGATATGTCCTTGTTCATGTCTCAGTGATCACCGTTCCTGGAACAGGAAGTGTGAGGAAACCGTACAAACCTGCTTGAGGAATGGTCCTAACCTTTCCCTAAACTATCCAAAAAATGTCCTGCTTTTTTATTTGCCTTTTAGTTTTCATTGGTTTGATTTGGATGTGTGAACAAATCATGTTTTGATTTTTTTTTTTTTTTTAGTCTCTGCCAGACATGCAACATATCCAAGAGGAACATCTTTCATCCCCACCTTTGGGTCCTCCAAATTATCTACAGATCTCCAAGGACTCTGCCAGCACAAGCAGCAAAAACTCATCATGTGACACAGATGACTTTGTCCTGGTTCCTCACAACCTCTCCTCTGACCACTCATGTAAGATTTTATTTTTGGGTCTTGAAGGCAAACCCCAGTCATACATAATATGTAGTATTAAAACCACAGAACCCCATGGTCTCTCTGTGTGTGTTCTAAAGTAGCCACTGCTCCAAGCTTGCTCCCATGATGGACTACAATCTCATGCTTCGTTCACTAAATTGTATTGAGACTGTAGTCCATCATAAATGTGAGCTTGGAGCGGTGTCTACGTTACAACACACACAGGGATCACGGAGAACAAACGTTGCCGCCCACCAGAAGGAAGGACAGTGTCTGCACCAATTCAGAAATGATTTGCAGATCTACAGCTGAGTTCATATCCTGAGTCCGATTTGATTTGTTGCAGCGTGTCATTGCACCAGTCACATAGACAATGCATTTTACACTACTTTTTTAATATTACCTTAGTGTCTCAAAAATCAATTGTTTTACATAAATTTATATGCACATTTATGAACACTTACAGGTGAAACTCGAATAATTAGAATATAATGCAAAAGTAATTGCAGTAAGTGCTGCAAAAGGGGCCCAAACCAAGTACTGAGTACATATGCATGCTTGTACTTTTCAGAGGTCCGATATTGTTCTATGTACAATCCTTGTTTTATTGATTGCATGTAATAATCTACTTTTTTGAGGTTGTGGATTTGGGGTTCTTGGGGTTTTCATGAGCTGTAAGCCATAATCATCACAATGATGACAAATCACGGCTTGAATTATCTTGCTTTGCATGTAATGAGTCTATCTCATATATTAGTTTCACCTTTTAAGTTGCATTAGTGAAATAAATGAACTTTGCACGATATTCTAATTATTCGAGTTTCACCTGTATTGTATTTAAGTCGTGCATTAGAGTCAATTAGGTTATCTCTAGTGAAATAACTATGTCCATTTCTTGCAGACGATATGCCTACAGGCACAGCTGGGCGCAGAGCATCTAGTGAGTTCTTGATGTGTGGCGGGTAAGTTATCATATGCTTCATTCTTTTGTCATGTAGAGTTGGAATATAGAAGTGCAATATTTTGTTGCGGTGTACAGAGAATGTTTAATAAGTCACGTCACTCTTTCCCTTGCTGTCATGAATCCACTAATATTACCCAGGGCAAATGTTATTAGAATGTAATGACGTTATCTGTATGACTTTGGACTGTAGAAATGCAGTAGCTGGTAAAAGAAACCAACTGGTCATAGACTAGCCATACAAACTTCAGGCAGAGTGCTTCTTATTTAGAAGATAATTTGCATGTTCGGTGATGTCATGTAGTATTACTATTTACTGTGCTCTGCAAACAGTGTAGGAAATATCAGGCGTAGTTCTGTACTTGTCTTACATGTTCTGCTTTTATGAAACCAGAATTGTCCATTTCATTGTTTTTTCTATTGTGCTTTATTAAAGGAAACCTGCTGAGAAAATATTTAGGCTTTTATTTCTGCACACTCATTTTAAAATGCTAGTTGCCTGGATATTATGCTGATCTTCAGAGTTACCGAGCTGAAGCAAGTATGCAGATCAGGAGTTTTGACCACACTTGCTGCACAGTTTGGGTCAATTACTTGAATTATTGAGGCCAAAGACCACCAGGCAGCTAGCATTTTCTGGAGAAGGTCAGCAGTGGCTGTATAGGCTGTAAGTGCAGGCTATATTTGCGTTACCCATATAGAAATTATGGCAGTGAGTTTTTAAAGGGTACATTTTATTTAAGTGCATTTACATTTAGTGGGCTTCCATATCCTCCCTAATTACCCCTGACAAGTGAAAAATGTACCTGTGTTCACTGTGTGGTCTGCTTGATGGTGCTTTATCTCTTCACTGTATGCTGCTGCTCCTACCGCTCATATGCACATTTATTTCAATGGGGGAGTTTGTACGATGTTGGCCCATATATATTGGTGTATATTCGTCAGGAACCCGGCACTGCTTTTATTTCATTGATAACGGAGAAGAAGAATATCAAATTAGCTGACAACGTTGAAAAAGTATTTGCTCCATTAGTTATACACTGCCTGGCTGTTTTCCAAACCTGCTAAAATTTGAGGTATCGGACATGGATATGTGTACTGGGACCTGAGCTCAGCTGAGTGGAATATATTCATTCGAGTAGAATGTATAGTTTATTTAAAATCCCATGACTTGTGATTGTAGGCAGTGATGCCTTGTAACCAGTAGTTACTGAATACTACTGGTTACAATACTGATGTCTGAGTATTTTACACAGGTTACAGGTTGGTCACCTGATTTGTATGTTGTCCACTTTACAGGCAGTCCCCTTTAAATACATCTGAGGGTTCCGGACAGGGGCAAAAACCCTCTTCCAGCTCTTCACGCTAGCATTAGCCTTGTGCTTTTGTGTTTTTAGCTCATTTTGGCTTTAATACATGGACAAGATGAGAAACAAACACTTCTGTAGTATGGTAGCAATCAGAATTATTCTTTGTATAGAAATCCAATTTTACTGTCAAACAGCCTGGATAAGCCAAGTGAGATTGTGTTCTGATACAAGGTTTCATAATGAAATGTAAATTATTCCAATTGTTTTATCTATGTAGAGGCATTGGTGGAACGCCCCACTTTTGTTTAGACTGCTAATGGATGACAGCTTAGCAAAAATGGGCAAACTACATATGGGCTCGGGTATTTAGGATTAGGCAGATAAAGAGTAGGTAAGCAACTCAGTATGCTTGTACTGAATGGCACCACCAGCAGCTCAGCTTCACTTGCTTTATGACAGAGTGAGCAGATTGGAAACAGGCCTCGCTGTCTATTACAGTGACCTATTTAAATAATTGATCCCCATGTTAATTTAAAGCTGCCCTTCAGCACAAACATTATACAGATTGTCAATTCTAAGTTCAAATGAATGTATAGGCAAGTTGGTAGTTTTTTTAGAAGTCTTTTTAATGTCTTAAGCGGTAAGAAAGTTATGCAACTGTACTATGCCTTAATTAAGAAAACAACTATTGGTGTTTTATATTTTTAAACACGAGCGGCTGCCTGCGGTCCTGTGCTTGCTAGGGACATCGGGCAGCCTGCTGGGGACCTCGCTTTGTAAAAGACCTGGCTGTCTTTTACAGAGCCAATCTGGCCAGCCTGGAACAGCCCTGGTAAGACCCACACCTGCCTGGGCAGCCATGGGAAGACCTGCACTTAGACCTGGTGACACTGCACAGCCCTAGTGAATCCTGCACGCAGCCCTTCATATTATTCTGCATTGCTGTATAATGTGTTGCTGGGATTTGTAGGTCTCTATAGCTGATGGTATTCTGCGTTGCTGTATAGTGTATTGCTTGTATTTATAGTCCCTCTACAGCTTGGCGTCAGTGACAGTGGTACCAGGGTTGCATCGGTTGCAGCTGTGACTGGGCCCTGGGCAATATAAAACACCAGTAACAAATGTTTCTGCGTATAGTTTTATGAATTGTATTCACTTGTTACATATGCAAGGTCTGCTCCCTGCTCTGCAGTGCTACAAAGTGGTTGGCCTTATTGCTTGTTCTCACAATGCAAGTTAAACCACTTGTCATCTGGCCTTTAAAATTAACTTGAAGCGTATTTCCACTTTTGCAGTCAAAATTGACAAATCCCTTCTATATGTTCCTTAATGTGCTCCTATTCACGCAGCATACCTAAAATATTTAAAAAAATATATTTCTTACCTTTTAGATAACACCATTTGCTTTGGAAGCTCCTTTAAATTTCACTAACCAGAAACTATAGAAAGGCTTAGGACAGACTCAGTTCCCCCTCATTGACATACAGTATCTTCAGGGCTTTAACCCTTTGTTAGGACAGGCAGTCCTGCTCATCTAGTTTGCAAGTGATACAAAATCAGCTAGCAAATATAGACAGAGTTAATCATTTGAAACAAAACTCCCCCCAAACCCCAGACAGTGCGCACTAAGCAGGATTATTCAGTCCTGGAATTAGAATTAGAACAAAGAACATCTAAAAAGGTAAGCTGCAACTTTTAATCTTTGTTAAGTTATGCTATGTGATTGGGAACAGGGCCGGCCTTAGGCCTTTAGGCGCCCTGTGCGCGAAAGCTTTACAGCGCCCCTCATTGGCCACACAGAACATGTAACAAATATAAAATTGGTGTTTATCTAAGTTTGGCTGCCAAAGTGGAAATACATTTTAACAATAGGAGACATCAACGGGCTCCTGATCATATCGCTGTGATAGTCAATCACATCGATTAACATGATTGGGAGCTCGTCCCAGGCTCTCAATTGAAAAACAGTGACCGAGAGCTGTCAGTGACAGCTCAGCCACTGTGCTGTGAGTGTGCTTCCAGCACAGAACAGTGGATGAATAGATGCGGCAGTCGGCAATAAAGCCCCGCATCTTGCTGCCACATATGTGTGAGCTGGTCGGGAAGTGGTTAAGAGTTGGCCAATTCATTAAAAACAAGGCACTCCCTGTCTGGCAGATATCTTATCCCAGCAGTTGTTAAGAAGGGAAGCTGAGTGAACTCAAACACAGTGCCAGCTCTAGTTGCTAATCTGATAATCATTGTATTTACTAGCTTAACAAAGTATGGAAGATCAATCATGTAATAATAATACCTTTCCCTTCAAACAGCAATCATTTGCCAAGGACTGATAGAAATTGCTTCCAATATTATTGCTCGGGGCACAACCAGCTTTTCTTTATATACGTGAGGCAGGGCTGTATTTACCAGAAGTCAAAAGTAGTTCAGACATGATGTCTTTGATGTAAAGGAGAGCTCTGATGTAAAGGGGGTGTTGATGTGATGTAGGATAAGGGTCTGATATGGATTTTGGAGGGATTACACAGTTTTTTACATTTATGCTTTTTACATTTTGGAGTGGGGTGCCTCAAGATTGTTACATGTAGTGGGGTGCCGTGACTGAAAAGAGGCTGGGGAAATGGACTCTGAGACCACATCCACAGAATAACCATTGATCTTACTTAACAGTTGCTACTCCACAGATCTCTTCATAGAGCCAGGTGCTTACAAAGTTTTGTGTGAGTTTGAGATAGCCCCATAAGGGCAGCTATCCCTTTATAAAGAACCTCTGTAGTTGAGGCATAATTGACCTTCATTAGGACAAGTTCTTAAGAACAAACTGCACCCTTTCCTCTCCAGACTTCCTTTCCCCGTGCTCCTGTCTCAGCATGTTATCACTAGATTTAATAATGGTCTCTATCCTGCAAGAGCTATAAAAAATGAAATTCCATGTCACGTATCATTCTCTTGTTACCAAAACAAGGCCATAATTCCTCTAGTAGAGTAAAGTAGAAAGATAAAGACCTGTCTCTATTGAAATCCTGACGTTGGGAGCTGTTTACCAAGTACTAAGTATTGTGGTCGTAATGTTACATAATGTGCCTTTATATGTAATGTGCTATGTTGTTTATATGCTTGTGTGAACTCCACTTGCACTTCCTGTTCTGGCTACAGTTGACTTTCCTAGAATTGCTTTGTTTTGAAATGTAGCTTGTGGAGGAGGCTATCGGGGAGGAGGGATTTAGTCCTGCTGGTTTCCAAGCTTAGTGTATGAAGGCACAGATTCTTTGCTTGCATGCCACTGAAAAGACACAACAGGGAAGGTTTTAGTAACCTAGAACAGCAACAATGAAACGTTAGTCCATTATTTCTGACAGCGAAGAACATTTTATACTTGTTTTGTTTGCTAGCTGCACAATGGTTCAGATAACCCAGAGACCAGTGCACAGAGATTTATTCCCTCTGTCGTTGCTTTTTGACTACAGGCAGAGCCAGCCTCAGGTGTCACCGCGCAGCGAGACTGCGCCTATTCCTGTCCCAACCCAACTACGGAACTACCAACGCATTGAGCAGAATCTCTCATCTACTGCTAGTCCAACATCTAATCCTCATGGCTCCCCCAGGTATGTCCCAAAAAGAAATGATAATTGTTATTAGTCAACACTATTAGTAGTATAATTACCAGTAAAATCATTAAACATTTTACTATCCTAGTTTTGTGTAACAATTGCTTATTTACTTGCTGTTTGCTAAGGTATCTTGGCTTTCAAAGGAATGTCACGATTACCTTCCTCTGTTAGTATTATTCCCTGAATTATATGTAAATTGCATCCTTCCTAAAATACAAGTACTGCTCCATGTATGGGGGGGAATGATTACCATGTATAAGTACATAAACGTCCCATTTAATGAGCTTGGTCCAAAGTTATTCACTTTAATCTCACTGCAAAGGACAAGGGGGCACTCTTTGTATCTGGAGCAAAAGAGGTTTAACCTTTGCATATGGAAAAGCTTCTTCACAGTAAAAGCTGTGAAAATGTGGAATTGGCTACTTCAGGAACCAGTTCTAGTCATATCAAGTTAATTGTTTTAAACAAAAGCTAGATGCTTTCCTAAGTGCCCAGAGTTTAACTAGATAATAACATTTATAAGTAATAATGGGAGGATCAGATTTTCCTTTGGGAATCGTAAAGGATTTTTTCCCCCTTATTTGAGCTAATTGGACCATGCTTTTTATGGGGGGTTTTTGCCCTGCTCTGGATCAGCTGTGGATATAGGGGTCTGTATTTGGAGATTTTTTACATTTTTTTTAAAAACATGTATTTATTTCTCTGCTGGTTGAACTTGATGGAATAGTGTCTTTTTTTTAACCTGACTTAAGGTTAGGTTCACAACAGATGCAGTGCGTTCCGGCCCAATTCTGACCAGAACGCACTGCATCACATTGCGGCCGGCTCACTTTTGTGGGGCAGGAGGGGGCGTGGCGGGCCATTGAAGTGAATGGCACGGTAGCCACACCCCCGCCCTGCAATGCGATCGGCCGCACAGGATCGCAAGGCACATTGTGCCTGCGGTCCGGTGCAATCAAAATGCTGCAAGCACTATTTTGATCGGACCGATTTAGGACAGAAATTGAGGTAAATGCCCCAAACGGACATGAGACAGCACACTGGCAGTGTTTTGGCTGGAGTTCTACTTTTAAATGAAACCTAGTATACACAGTTGTGTGAAAAGCTGTCCTTGTAATACGCAATTGTGCAAGTAGTCTACATAAAGTCTTCTACACATATTAGATTATCACTTATTAAAATGTATTTGATCCTACCTGTAAACTTTATTTAACACATGCATAGTAATATTCCCTTTTAATGTATTAGCAGTAGATTGAGAATTATAATAGTGACTCTTGTCTCAAGTGTTCAGAAATTTATTTGTCACGATTGTCACTGCTGTGCTTTTTGTTTATTGAATGCTCAAAATGTGTAAATCATATGTTACCGAACACAAGAAGTTATGGGTTTTATTATTTCCTCTTCTTTCTACAGCAGATCTGGTGCAGTCAGGCGCTCAAATACCAGCCCCATGGGCTTTCTCAAAGTCGGCTCTGGTTCTCCCAGCTCCACAGACATGGTGCAAGCCATTGGACGTCGCTTGTCCACTGGTTCTTCAAGACCTTATTCTCCATCACCATTAGGCAAGTGCTAACAGTTACGCTAAACATATGGAAATGAAATGCTAGAAGTTTCTGAGCAGATTAGTGTGGAAATAGATACTCAATAGCATTTGTGAGCTCTCCTCTAACTTTTTTGGGTCTTGATAGTATGGTTTATGTTGCCAGCTTTCTCCATATTGTGCTGTGCATAACAAAGAAGTGGATGGCAAGAATGATTGTACACAGTGACAGCAAGCCAGCGAGGTTACCGAATGACTTTTTTTTTTTTTGGTCACTTTTTTTTTAAGGAAATAAAGTGCACATGATTGGCCAGTGAAATATTAACTTATAAATAATATTAAATAAGACAGGATTTGTGTATTGGAAATGTATAATAGGCATTTAGATTGCTGTTATTATTGCCCATGCTCACATGCATGCTTACAAATATTTTATAATGTATAAGTAGCATTGTGTCTTACTTTTATGCTTTTGACCTTGATCTTGTACAGTTGGAACTATCCCAGAGCAGCTAGGACACTGTTGTTGTGGCCACCCTCAAGGACATGAGTCCAGAAGCCGAAGTTCTTCAGGAGGTATGTGCTAGTTTTACTCATCCGATCTTTATCCACTTCAGGATTTTGGACATATCTTCTATGCAACTGTTAAAACAAGCTGATTGTGTAAGCTTCTTTTTTTTGTTTAGGGCTTTAATGTAAAAGCGGTCTAGGCAGCTGTAAAGCCGCCCGCTCACTTTTACACGACTGGCAGGCTCAGCCAGCTGGCTCTGAGTTTCAGGACTGCCAAAAAAATTGACACCCAAACAACAACAGTAGTTCAGCAAAGCTTTGCTTTAATGCGTGCGAGCAGTATGGTAAACTCATTGAGAAAAGAGACAAAAATACAGTACTGAATAGTACATCAGGTTGAACAGATGCTCATGTCTCATACAAAGAACAAAGTCCAAATCCCATTCGCACTGCCACGGTCTCAAAACCACAAGGTATATGTGGTGCCAAGGTGACCACACGGATGGCGCCGTGCATAACACGAATAGTAAATAAAAGTAAATCACCGGCACACACTTGAAGGGTTTTTAAAGTATTGATATGTTTATTCAATACCCAATGTCACATACTGTCATACGGTTTATTCATACTGTCATACGGTAGCACCGTATGACAGTATGTGACATTGGGTATTGAATAAACATATCAATACTTTAAAAACCCTTCAAGTGTGTGCCGGTGATTTACTTTTATTTCATACAAAGAACAGTTAAATGCAATATTACTGTTTGGGCGATATGTTGCTAAGTACAGAGCTTGACCTTTATCATGCAATAAAACAGTCACTGTTGGGGAAAATGTGTTGGGACAAGGCGAACTGAACTAAATGTGACTTGCTCTGCCAGCCATCTAAACTGAGGCAAGGTAAATTAAGGCTGGCTAGCCTAAGAAGACCTTTGTAGGTAGTAAGGTTACAGCTTTACCTGAACAAACCTGTGATTGTGATCGGGTGAAGTGAGGCCAATGTGAAGACGCACTCTGTAGATGTGACTCAAATGTGAAGAGGAGCATTTATTGGATTACACTTAACTGCAATCAGTCTTCATTTTATTAATTACTTCTGTATAAAACTCTGCTCGTTTACTGAATAAATCATAAAGATTAGGTTTGATTTTGCTTCATTCTTTGATGTTAATGCAAATGAGGGAATTAAAGCACAATTGGACTGCTCTTCTTTTTTATTTTTGTAATGCAGTCAGGCTACATAAATCATAAAGAACGTGTCCGTGTTTTTAATTTTTTGAACTATTGTGCTTCAGGCTTTGTTAAAATGTGCAACATGCTGGAGAACTGGACCGATGCTGAACACAAAACACAGTGGTCCCACACTCCCCCTGTACTGTGTTACAGTCAACAACACTGCTCAGGGTGTATGAGCGCTGTTAATTGGAGCACTATGTAAGGGGGCATGTGTAACCGCTGGAGAGTCAGTTGATGCATATGTTGAGCATCGGGCTTTATGGATTCTAATATAACATCCCTTTGCATTATGTTTATTCTTTTTTCAGGGTCTCCAGTGCCACAGTCACAGTCCCCACAGTCTTTGTTAGGTGCAAGGCTGCAAAGTGCACCGACTCTGACTGACATTTACCAGAACAAACAGAAGTTACGAAAGCAGCACTCAGATCCTGTGTGTCCTTCCTATGCTGGACATGGCTTTAGCCATTCACCACAGCCAGCCCGGCCTGTCAGCCTTGGCGCTTCACCTACAAAGCACATGGGATCTTCTCCTAGGAGCTCAGAATGGTTGTATAAAACCCCACTGCCCACCATCATTGGATCTCCAACCAAGGTTTGTTCTGTGGCATGTATCATTGTAGTTTTTTTCTTTAGCACTAAAACCCCTTTATGTCTACCAGTACTAGTTATATATCCTGATTAGAAGTGCCTTTTCAGGATCTGGGTGTAAATTCTTACCAATTACTTTTTAAGTTTTTTCACAAGTGCACCTGTTCACTCATCAAAATCTATGGAAGTACACATGTACATATCCGTGGATGCAGTGTATATAGTGGTTTGGGTGTGTAGGTGCACATACTGTTGGTATGAACCTAGTCTACACTTGCTGTGACCAGGCTGTTTTTAACTGCAATGGTCACAGATAGGAGGCTGGGAACCAACAAAACATTGACTCATTGAGCTGCTGATCACTGTAATATGATAGTGATCAATTGGCAACAATGTTGTCTAAGTAATGTGAAAAACAATATTGTGCCGAGCTAATAATCATACATATCTAATAAAGTGAAAATTGTTACGTCAAAACACGTGACTTCGTCAGGGGTCTGGACCTACTGATGTCTTGAAGTCTATTTAACAGAAAAGCATGCTACCGTAAAGGCAGTAAACCAGGTGCACTTCCTTTACCATATATATGGAAATAGCACCACCAGCAGAGATCACACAAGCCAGAGCACAGAAGAAAGGGAAATAGATCAAATTACATAAAAGTTGTCTAAGTGCTGTTTTGTCTTAAAATTGCCTCCCTCTGTTCATTTTGGTCAAAGAGAGAGTATAGATGGGGTGTCATATAGTCCCTAAGCAATTTGTAGCTTATATAGGGAATGAAAGTGAGGGTAAATCTACAATTCTGAGTAGTCAACAGTCATCAGAACAGGAATAGAAGCGAAATCTTCCAGTGGGGACACATGTCCCTGTGACAGCTGTTTAAGAGTGGGTATCCCTCGCATTGGAATACAAAAAACAACAATATAGTAAGCGCACTACTCAGAGAGAGGGTCAATGTGTGATTAAAATGACTAGTGGAATGTGGCGTACAAGCTCCTCAAACAGGGAGGGGAACCCTGTGAACACAATAAAAACAAAATCAAAGAAGCGCTTCTGCCTTTTAAGTGTGAATCAGTAACACAGTAAAAACAGTAAATAAAAAACTGTGTGTTTAAGTGTTTCTGCCTACCAGTATACCTTGTGTGGCTGGATGGACAAAAATGAACAGTTGAAAAGGGGTGGCTCACTGTTGTAGGCGGATGGATGTCGCAGGGCTGTATCACTGCCGAGGGGGGAGCCTGTGTGCAATCTGCCTTTGCAGAAAAAAGAGGGCTGAGAGGGGACTGAGACCTGTACTGTGCCGTCGAAGGCAAGTGTGCCTGTAAAGGGTCACGGTTGGTGAGCTGTTTCTGAGACGTGTCACAAGTACTCAGCTGTCAAGGCTGAGCCTTGATGGCTACGTTAAGGTCAGGCGAGGGGACTGCTCAGCTGCGGTCCGACCCGCCGTGTATCGCTGTTGTGGAGCGGTATACTCGATACAGGGAGTGACGTCAGTGAAGGGCTGGACGTGGACGGTCAAATGGCTACGCGTTTCGAGGCCAACGCCTCTTTCTGAAGCCGGAGCAGGGAGTCAAGAACAGGCAGGAGTTTCAGGGGTTGCTTAAATTTGACAGGTGGGCGGAGCTACCCGCAATGGGTCCATTCAATTGGTGGAGACTCAAAGAGGGCTGCAGCTTAATGCTTGTGCCGATAAAATAGTTGCGCTGCTCGTGTCTATTATGCTGTTGGAATTTAGGAGCAGTTTAAGACGAAAGTTAAAAAGCAAATTAAAACATAACGTTTATTTCTGTCTTTGTTAAGATTAACACCTGGGAAATGGATTGGAAAGATATCCCCTCACTTCTTACTGAGTCTACAGGATAAGAAGTGAAGGGAAATGTCCCTAATGCGAGACAGATGGCTTAAAGGAAAATAAACTGACAGTGATTTTGCTGCTTCCCTACTCTAGCCAAAATTAAAAAAAGTTTTGGCTTTATGTATCTTTTTTTTTTTTTTTAATGAAAATACTTTTAATATCGCTCTCCATTAGATATGTATCAGATATTTGAGACAAAGTTGGATCAGCTGTCTCCCAGTCTGGTAATCCCATACGGTTAAAAAAAACCTCTCTGTTTTTTGTATGGGATTTTTGGATATATTTATCTAAATCGCAGGATGCGTTACAAAAGGCTTTACAGCAAAGTACAATGTAAAGTAATATGTGTTTCTTTATGGTCACCTTCACAGATATCAGTGAAGTGACCCTTTATATAATGGGTAGGTAAACCCAAGCCTTCCAGCTTTGGTGCAACTATAAATCCCATTAGGCATTGCAAGACTATGACGGCCAAAGACATGATTCCCAGAGGCAGGTACATGATAGGATTTGTAGTTGCACCACAGCTGGAGGTCCGGAGTTTGCCTACCCCTGCTTTATATTAATAATAAATAGAATAATTGCATTTTACCTTTTCCAGTCTTGAAAACTGTATTGATCATTGTGAGATCGTATTGGATACTCTGGAATTGTCTCATTAAAGGATAAGTGCACTTTTCCTTCCTGCCTAGTCACCCGACCTACAGTAACCCACCTCAGATGTATGCATGGCTTTGGCCTGCTGTGATGTTGAAAGCCTGTGGCCAGACTATTTATCAGATTTGTTACATTTTGAATTTAGTTCAGTCACGTGGCAATGTTCATGAACAGATTTTAAAATATATATATTTTACCCCAAATGAATTCAATTTTGAAAGACCCCAGCAGGAAATCCTTTTTTTATGTTGATATTTTATTCAGACAAGAATAACATTTGTACAACCAATAGGGCTATTCATAAAAGGGTGAAGAGTTTGGAGAAGGCAGGAGAAGTGAACAATCTAGGACAACATAGCTGAACTGGAAAGTGAGCTGAATTGGGGACATTTTTCCAAATCTGCTATGTTGTCCTAGATCACTTCTCCTGCCTGCTCCAAACTCTGCACCCTTTCGTGACTAACCCTGTAAATGTCCAGCTGAAAGCCACTGCAATTCCTCAATGCATTCTTGTTAACAGTGTTGGACCGAGTCAAGGACTCTGTACTTAATGACCGATAGTGCTGTGAAATTCCCCGGGGCTTTCTACAGTTGCATCTCTGCGCTTTGCAATGATTTCAAGAAAAAAGAATGTCGTCTCCAGACAATCTTATGTAGGAGAAGCCATTAGTTGCATTAGCTGTCGTGTTTTGTGAGCTGGGTAAATAAATCTCCTAGCGTTATATAAGTTGGGGACTTTACAAGTAGAATCCTTTGGCCAGGCTGTTACTTTCCACTCATTGTGACCTGAAAAGAAACACATTATGAACAGAACCTGCCGAGGGGAAAAAGTAGGGCTGCTGCTGATATGAACTAAACAGTTTCTGAACTGTTCTAGAAAGTACCCAGTGGAATCTGTTTGCTTTTTTTTACTTTACCTTGTAGAAACCAGACAGCATCTGTCATTTCTTGCAATGTTCTCAGTTCTCCGCTGACAAGACACTTCATATTTTTTATCTATTTTTGCTAAGCTGTGTGAACAGTTAATGCATTTCATTTTACTCTATTATTAGTATGAAATAGGCCTTTCATTATAGTCACAAAATACCAACCATAAGGTTTGCATCCTGGGACAAGCATCTCTCCCAATCTGCAGATAATCGCACCATGTATGATTACATGTGGAAAGATGTGGCCGCTGTCACCCGCCTGTCATTAACTTGAATGGGAACAGAGGATACATCTGAATGGGACACCTGGGATTCCTGAGGCGAGAATCCATAGGTTCTTACTACAAGAATCTCTGAACGCACATAAAAGCCCCTTTCCTCTTAATATAACTACATGATATCATTCTTCTATTCCCTGTGTATATTGTATAATACATTTGTAATAATTCCATTTACATAGAGTACAGACATAGAGATTAGTTTCTTGCTTTAAAGTGCAACTGAAGCCAAAACTTTTTTTTTATTTTGGAGAGAGTGGAGAAGGATTAGAACACCTGTCGGGTTTTAATTGCTGTCTATGTCCCTGTTAGGGAGATTCCCCCTCTCTGTTTGTCCTGGTGACGGTTATCACTAAAAGTGAAAGAAATCCCAAATTTTGGACTGTCATCAGAACATGGATAGAAGGGAAATCTTTCAATGGGGACACTAGTTCTGGTGACCCTACTGTCCACCAGGAATTTCCTTCACTTTAGAGGGATTTTCACTCATTTCCTGTTTTGGCTATCGGACAGGAAGTGAAGGGGACTGTTGCCAATGTGACACACATGGCAGTAAAAGGCTGACTAGGTTTAACCCCTTAATCTATCCAAAACCCCCCAAAAAATGTTTGGCTTCAGTTCTACTGTCTTACTGATGCTGTCGACACAGGCCCTAATAAAGTTGCAAGAGTGGCCCGCTTTTTTATTATGACCTGTATAAATGTATATGATGAATAGACAGAAAAAGGTTGGCATTGTCATTGACAATCAGTTGAAGTCTTATATTATTATTATTATACAAGATTTATATAGCGCTAACAGTTTGCACAGTGCTTTACAATATAAGGAAGACATTACAATCGCAATTCAAGACAAGATGGTAAGGAGGGCCTTGCCCGTGAGGGCTTACAATCTAAAAGGGAGGGAGAAGTGATACATGAGGAGGTAGCTGTGTGGGGATGAATTGTTGAGTGGTTAGTTTAAACATATTATGAGAGAAACATGTAGGCTACCCATCTTACATGATGTAATTAGGCCTTTAGGAAAAAGCATGTGGATAAGGGCTTCTGGGTTATCCTTATCTGCATGTCTGTTCAATGTTTGACTCAGAAAATATAGAAGACAGAGGGTAAAGATAACAGATAGACAATTAGCACTAATTTAGCAATCACAGTCCCGGTATTTCCTTCATTCTTTATAACATAGGGGTTAAAATCTGCGTCAGGCATTTATTAGTGTATGTGGTCCCTGTCGTAAGATTTTTCTCTCACTTCCTGTTGTGGTGGCACCAGTCATCTGGACAGAAAGTAAGGAAATGTTTGCAAAATACAAACAGCTTAAAAAAAATCTTACAGTGGTTCTAACTGTATCCAGCTCTATCCAAATCTACCTGGCTCAAGTTCTAATTTAACTATTTAGTTGATGTGCAACACTTTAGTAATAGAATAGTCACACATTACTTTATTAACAAAAAGTAATTAAATCATCAGTACCAGTGAATTTCTACCCAGTCTTGCAGATTTATCCCGTAGCACCTAATAGAATAATGTGTACAGCAGTGGCCTACTGCCAACATGGCCATCTGTGGATATACCCAGATATACCCAGTTGGTGGTGTATTATATAGAAAACTCCTGTAAATCTCTCTTTTAATGGTATTGCTTCTTTTTTTTTTTCCAGACAACTGCTCCATTCAAGATCCCTAAAACACAAGCTTCATCTAATCTGCTTGCTCTAGTTAGTCGTCAGGGACAGGCCAAAGACTTGTGCGATCCAAGAGAGTTCTCTCCTTTCCATTGCTTGCATGGCAATGAGAAATCCAACACTGCAGAACATGGAAAAACTCCTTTTGGAAGGTAAGTTTCCATGTTTACCTCTCCATATGTGTTTTCTACTGTTTGGCCTTGATAAATAGGTATGTTTCCATCCTAGATAGCTATGTAAATATATGGACACATGTATGAATCATTGTAGCTATCTTAAAAAGGACCTTTTATTTATTTCAACGTGTTCAAGGAACAGCATATAGCAGCCAATTACATTCAAATTTTATTTTTTAGCTTTCGTTTTCTAGCACTTCTACAGTTTTTTCCTACTGTTGCAGCACTAAATGCCTTTTTGCCTCTGCAGTGCCATATTCCTACCTCCACTGCAAAGTAGTATTCACAATGTTTTTTACACATTAAAGCTCAATTCTACTGGGCTATAGAAATCACCATTTAATACAGATGTGTGTTCCTTTAAAAATATTGAACTGTATTTGAACTTACAACTAACATAAGTAAATACAACTGTTTTTATATCAGCTTGCTGTCATTCCTTGCACAGCAGCACTAGGAGCCAGTCAGGAAGGTACTGCTCTAGGCCCGTGGTTCTCAACTGGTTGGTCGTGACCCAAAAGTCGGTCGCTACCCCCTGTTCAGAGGGTCGCGACCCCATGTTCATCGGGTCGCTGCAGGCCTTCCACTACACTAGGTGAGAGGCACCTCAGCCTCCCCCGTAGCGCAGCACTGTCAGTTCTCATGCCTAGCAGCCATTCAAAATATGCTGCCTGGCAGTGAGTGTCAGTTTGAGGTGGGTAGGGCTGGGGATATTGCTGCGAGGGAGTTCCAGCCATACGTTCATTACAGCTCCCTCGCGTGACCGGAGTGGCATCACATTGAGGCTCCCAGCACCTCTACAGGGAGTGCAAGGGAACTGTACAAGCAATGCACGTATGGATGGAGCTCCCTCACAGCACAGCAGCCCACACTGAACCCCAAATATTCATTTGAATGGCACCCAAAACACACCTCCTTCCCACAGTTTGATCGCATGCACCGGAACATGCAGTACCCTAATGCCGTGTGTTCCAGTGTGGTGCGACTTGGGTCACGACTTAATGGCCAAGGACAAATGTGGGTCCTGAGGTTATACAGGTTGAGAACCACTGCTCTAGGCGGACTTCTGGCTTACCTACACTGACTGCAGGTGCAGACTCCACAGGGTCCGTCCTTCCCCCACAATGATCCGATTTTAATTTAAAAAGCTGCACGTCCACAACGTCTTCATTTTTCCTTTTCTTTAAAAAAGCCCTTTTGCAACATGGAAAAGTTGTCAATGTCAAGTTCCAGCACATTGCCCTCCAGCAGACTCTGCACCTTCTCTGCTCCATAGAGCTCTATGATTAACCCCCAGCTGGGGCGAAACACTTCAGAAAAGAAACTGGGTCTGGCGGAGGGCATTGTGCTTGAATCTGACATTATAAACGTGTCCATGTTGCAGTAATGCTGGGTAGATGTGTGACTTTTTTCATTAAAATTTGTGCTGACAGGGAACATGGTTTCAGGAGAAGAGTATATAGACCGTGTCGACAGGCTTTGATGCAGCATGCTTTTGAGATCAGTGATGTTTCTGCCCCCGACTACATCTCCAACCTCATCTCAAAATATCACCCAAACCATCCTCTCCGCTCCTCTCAACACCTCCTGTTCTCTAGCTTTCTCATCACCTCCTCCCATGTTCGCCTCCAGAACTTCTCTAGTGTGTCTCCCATCCTCTGGAACTCCCTACCCCAATCTGTCAGATTATCTCCTATGCTGTCCACCTTTAGGCGATCCTTTAAAAACTTGTCTCTTCAGGGAAAAGTCTATCCCACCTCAATCTAACTGCCCATTTACTGCTTCCGCTAACTCAATCTAAACAATTATTACCCTTCTGTATCACTTGCCCCCTCCTATTAGATTGTAAGCTCTCATGAGCAGGGCCCTCCTTGCTCTATGGTACTGAAATTGTATTGTACCTATACTGTCTCCCCCATTTTGTAAAGTGCTGCCCAAACTGTTGGAGCTATATAAATCCTGTATTATAATAATAATAATGTTTCTGAGATCATTCACAATTCACTGCATTTGACTTGCTTCAGCTGCCTTTGCATTCCTATATTGGAAGCAAAGCCGTTCTGATAACAAAAATCAGCCAACACTGGCCCTAAGCAGAGTTCATGGCTTGTGAGTGTGCTCCTGCTCCTTCACTGTCTAATCATCACTGTTTAGAACTTTAACAGAGAAACTGGCTGTGCTGTCTGTGCACGCCATCGCACAAGTGACAGCACCGAATTAGACATTTTATGGCAGGGAAGACTGTTCCCATGTGTAAATTCACCGTCAATACATTTGTTGATGGACCATTATGTGCTTCGAGCACCATTGGTATATTTATAGGTATGGGGAAAAATAAATATAGAGATGTGCTATCCATTCACATTTCAGCTCTTAATCTAGTACAGATTAAGAAACAAAGGTCATCTCTTTGACTAAATCAGTATGTCTCTGTAATTCTTATTCCTTTGATGTGCATTTGGTAGGTGGTGAACATTTGCTGCCATCTATTGGGCATTTACAGTAACAGAAATGCAGTCAATGCCATGATTAAATGGGTAGCTCTAGCGTAACCATTTGAGTTTTGGATAGAGTGGGGAAGGGTTAGACTCTCTTTGATTTTTATTGCTGTGCCCCCACTGGGAAATGTTTCTTTTATTTCCCAATTCAGTGACCAGAGTATCTGGAATGGAAAATTTAGGGAAACCTCCCCAACACTTACATAGATAGCAATAGAAGCCTCAAAAGGTTCTAACCCTTCCTCATTCTAACCAACCATAAATAAAGTTTTGTCTGGGGTTCTACTTTAATACGAAGGAGAACTTTTTGAGTTCATTTTATTGAAAAGATTAACTGCGGTGGGTAAGTATGCTCATAATTGAATGTTAAGCGCCAGCTGATTTCTGTCTGGTATAACTTACATAAAAATCTATTGCACAAGGTTTCCCGAGAGTATGCAGATTTCCCAAAGTTAATCTACCCCGTGCATGCCACAGTGCAATGTTATGCAATGAGGGTGGAAAGTCTGAGTACTTACTTTTAGAAAAGTTGAAATTTGCACACTGGTTGCAATAGATTTTGTATCGCCTCATACCATATAGCAACCATATAGCAACTGTGCTGACAGCTGTTCTCTTATCTGGTATACCTCATTCCTGTAACCAATCACCAAGAAAGATAAATAAATGTGTGTGTGTGTATGTATATATATATATCTATCACACACATTAGAAGCTTTGATGTAAATACGAATACCAATGTTTGTTGATTAATTAAACTTAGGTTTGTCTCAATAATGATGTGTGTAAGGTAAACTTGCCTCTGGCTTTTATTAAGACAAGTGCTTACTAGATGTTACATAAGCAATATGTGCAGCACACCATATGTTTAAGAATCTGGATTTAATTTACACATTATTGTGAAACCATTGCAGTATGTAATCGGTTGCCACTTTTGTCCAGATGGCAGTGGTTTGCAAAACATACTTCCTATTCTTAGAAATAGTGTGTCGGCAGTTGTGTTTCATGAGGGGGGTACTATCTCTCTCTGATTCAGCACTTGGTACTTTGTAAGAACATTAATGGCTGTATGCAGTGCTGTAGGACAATATTGGGCAAATGTTCCTTTTATTTAAAGCCTCTGATATATACATTATTGTCTTTAACAGATCTGTGAGTGCTGGAAAGTTGTCAGACCAGACAGGTAAAGCTACTCTTGGTGGACAGCATTACCAGGGAAGCACAGACAGCCTGAATTCTGAGCGTCCGATGGATACAGGTACTAGTCCATTTAAGTGTGCTTGTGCTGTGTTATTACCCTGTTCTTTTCACAGTTTTTATCTATAATGCTTTCATGAAAAAAGCCAGTACATATTCCTGCCATGATTCTTGTATAGCAGCATGACATAATTATTGTAGACAATTTCTACTATTCAAATAGACACAGTATTACAGATTGCACTATGTGAGCTCTAAACGCAACAGATTCAACATAAAGAGGTCACATAAAAACTCAGTGTTCACATAAGTGTAATTGAGTATTCAAACGTGTCCACAGTGGAAACCAGTTGATTCTTCTGTTTCAATATTTTTATTAAAGTTTTGTAAGGAATACACATAGGAAAATGGTTCACATTGCTCCAATAAAATAGCATATTGTGAAAACAATACAATCATATCAAATGCAACAGTATATAAAGGAAGAATATATCGTATACCAAGAATGGGTCCCATCCATATCCATTGATTAAAAAACATCAACTTAACATCAGTTTTAGACAGGATAGCACAGGACAGGATAGACAGGAAGCAAAGATAGAGGGTAGAAAAAAACAAAAAGAAGGGTAATAGTATGAGTTATACTAATACTACTAGTTGGGTCCTATATCTAATCATCACTAGCTTATGTTACAATTAACAGAGGCTCCTCACTATCATCGCCCGGTCCACCAGTTGATTCTTTAGTGGTACATATTGCCTTAGGAAGCAATAAACATGAAATTAGTTATAGCACTGTGAGTCTGTCAAAACAAATAAATCCTTATACCCTAGTTGTAAGTTTGTAAGATACACGTGAATGGAACAGTGATAAATGATGTAGATATTGATTAATCATAAAGTGTTGTATGTTATGTGCATCTGCAATGTAGGTATTGATTACTCATTAAAGTGTTGTATGTTATGTGCTTCTGCAATGTAGATATTGATTACTCAATAAAGTGTTGTACGTTATGTACTTCTGTTTCAAATCAAAACAATATCTAATTTTCGCCAAACTCTTCAAGTTCCTTCAGGTGGTACAGGAAGTGTCCTGACTGTGCCCTCTGCCAGTACAAGAGCAGTGATGTTTACTGTTGGATCTCCCCCTAACAGTGCTACCCCTCCCACATGCACACATGTGATAATGAGGAAAAGGACCACCTCAGGCAAGTCCTGTATTATTTCCTATGATTGTGTAAGCAGTCTGTTTGCCTCATTTGCTGTGTGACCGCTTCCCTCTATTACAACCTCACACTAGAACAACAAAAAAGCTAATATGTATGCATTATTTTCCAAAGTTGAGTCAAATTTGACTCATGTTTGCTCCAAACACCAATCATTATGGCAAATAGCACATTCATTATAGCTTTTTGAACGAATGATAGGATTCTTATGATCGATTGTAATCTAAAATAACTTGCGCTAATGGAATTAATAAAAGTGAGTAGATAGGGTTACAATTTAAAATTAATATTAATATGACCATAAGGTTAAAATTCCATAAAATTTCACGGGATAAGAATATAGGCTTTCGATCATCAGGGATCTGGTGAGTGTATCCCCTATAGGGGATCTGCCTGTTTTTTCCTTCCTTTGGGGTTTTTCGTTGGAGACTTCACTGAACATTTTTTTTGTTTTGTTTTTTGTTTTTTAATATCTTTTATGTGTGTTTCTATTTTTATTTTTATTTTCATCATTTTTTGGGGCTTCTTGTGTTGAAGATCCGAGAACTCTAAGAAAGTCAAGAAACTTTAAGTACATCTCAAAAAAAAAATTGTTATAAGTTCGCATTTTTAATATCTTACGGAAGAAAACAACACTGACTGGTTTATAATGAGATAATTTTTATTTTTTTTCACATATGACACATGGTTTTTGTAGATTTCTATTTATTTATATAATAAGATAATTTATGACACGTTTTTATGACAACTGTTGACACAATTTATAACTTGTTACACAATTATTTATTACATACACACATTTTTTCATGATTGTTTGACACGGAGGTGACATCACTCTGATCCTTATCGTTATTGAACTTCCTGAAGGGCATTTAGCGCTGTACATTTCGTTACATTATTATTCTTATGATCGATTCCCTACACTAGCACAGATGAGCGTTTCCAGGTCCCATCAGTACGTCATATATCACAGATATGCACACACTTTGATAAATCTTAGACACTTATTCCTCCATCTGTGTATATGTGAAGTTACCTTTAAAAAGTTACCACTGTTGACTAGGGATGCACCGATATTTCGGCCGAAAATGGCACTTTTGGCCATATGCCAAAAGTGTAATGACGGCCCAAAATTCAGTATATCCCAGCTTTTCTCCTCCCCGCTGGGGTCCGGTCTGTGTGTCTTCTGATGCTGCGCCAGTGCCCAGCGGGGAGAAGAGAAGCTTTCAGGATGGAGAGCAGCGCTGCACAGTGACAGCTGTCATTGTTGCAGGAGGCCAAGCTCTCACCTCCCGGCTCGACAACCTGTGTCAGGATGGAGTGCGGTCTGGGGCGGTGACAGCTGTGATCTGTCACAGGAGGCGGAGTTCTCCTCCCGACTCCGCCTCCTGTGTCAGGATGGAGAGCAGTGATTGGAGGAGAGTGCTCTGATCTGTCACAGGAGGTGGAGCTCTCCTCTTTAAAAAAAAAATGTTTTAAAGATTAAAAGAAAAAGTCATTTCCGGTTTCAGGCTGAGAATTTTTTTTACTTTCGGTCTCAAAATTCAATTTCGGTACATCCCTACTGTTGATGAGACTTGTAGAACAATGACATAGAATATACAAAGTTCTTTATGTACATAGTAGATCCATCATTTGGAATCCTTTCTGAGTTTAAGTTTACATTTATTTATCCAATCTATATTTTTAGTCATCCTTTTTGTAAAGTGCTATGTTTAAACTATGTATTATTATACATCACTTTACACAACCAGTGCAGTCAAATGAATTCATGTGCCCTTTACCTTTTTTTTGTAGAAGATGGTAATAAAACATGTTTTATCATTTGCAGTTGGCTCAAACAGCTCAGGAGGCTCTCTTTGCTCCACTAGTGGTCGTGTGCATATGGGATCTCCTTCTGGTATTCATATGGGTTCATCTCCTCCTGGAGCTGATGCAGCCCCAAGCATGAAATATATGTCCTATGGTACATCCCCTCCCAGCCTGGAAGATTTCATCACGTTCGAAGCACCAGAACTACCTGAAGAAACTCTGATGGAGGTACGTTTTAATGAGATCCTGTTTCTTCTCATTACTTCTTCATCCTTCAGAATTAGAACTTTGTTCTTTTGATCAATCACTGTGAAATTACCATGAAGCTAGATATGTGTTGCCTGGCTACATTTCATATGTACCAAAGCAGGAAGCTTTCATATTGATTTTTATTTTTGACACAATGGGCCTTATTTATTAATTTCTTCTGTGATGAGAATAATTATTTTATTAAAGTTTCTGCCCAGCCAAAACATTTTCGTTAGCCCTGGATAGAGTTTGAAAGGATTCAATACCCTGCCAGATTTTTACAGTTATCCAGGACTCCCTGTCAGAGATTTCCCTTTACTTTCAGTCTTGATGGCAGCAGTCTCACAAGACAGGAAATGAGGGAAAATCTCCAACAGACATAAATAAATGCTTTTTTTAGTAGAGTACAGGAAGGCTAGAACACTCGTCAGCTTTTTATTTCTGAATCAATGTAGATACCAGCTGCAAACCATACAGCGTTGTGACCAGTAGTAAGTGAGATTGTGCACCCTGTGTCACCTTGAGAAAGGGATCCTGCTTGGCCTTCTGAAACGTTGGCTTGCTGCCCTATGTGACAGTAAAACAATCTATATTTGCACTTTGAATTGCTGAATACTGGTGACTTATCTTCAGATATCTGAGCTTTGTATTCCTGTCTGTGTCCGGTTTCAGATTTTCCCTCACCTCCTGTCAGTCAGATGACAGCAATTGAGGGTGGGAGGTGAATCGACCAAAATTTGATGCGTGGGTGCCGCTGTCGGCACCTTTCCAACCAGCATCCCTTGATCAGCTGATCGGAAAATGGTCACCCGTACAAAGCTAGCTGCCAATGAGCTGACAGCTCTGTGTTCGGAATTCTGACAGCGGCAACAGCAGGAGATCAACCGAAATACCTCACCCAAGTGCCTCACCCAAAACTGCAATAAAATAATAGCCTTTTAAAGCTCTCACATGCAAAATGCAAGCTTGTACTAACCACACGGCTGCATATATGCCACTCTGTGAATGCATGGTAAACCGCAGTCTGTCCGTCTATGCATTAATGGATACAAATAAAACATGTACTACTTTTATGTGCTCTGCATAGCCATATATAATAATGTGCATTGACACATTGTTGCCATAGAGGTACATTGATTACTATAAACCATTTACAGTACAGTTTGGTGTGTGTAGGTTTCTGGGGAACACAAGTTCTTTTTTCAGATTCTTCACCTTTTTTTAAGTATATTGCAGGGCACAATAATAAATACGCTGTATATCTTTGCAATACATATGCAAGTACAGAAAAATACCTGTTGATCTACCAGAAATGCACTCAGCTCTGAAGTCCTGGTGTGGGCTGAAAACGCACAGCATTTTTTGAGTAGTGTCAGACCTGCCCAGTTGTCTTTTGCTAAACTACTCAAACCCTCCCACTCCTATTTCTACAACATAGAGACTAATTGTTCTATGTGGTCTGAAACCATAGGAAGAGTGCACAGTAGGGCTGCAACAACTAATCGACATAATCGATTATAATCGATTATTGAAGGACAGCTCTGAATTTCTGATATGATCAATAGTTGTTTTTTTATGCCCTTATCAAACAGATAACACAATGCTTTCAATTGTTTATTTCATAGACCAATTTCTAGGGTTTACATAGACTTCAGTGTTACCTCACTGAAATGTTTTCCTTTCCCAATGCAGCGGGAGCACACAGAAACTCTCAGGCACCTCAATCTGATGCTGATGTTCACAGAGTGTGTAATAGACCTGACCGTGGCCCGTAGTGGGAGTTTGGATATGTGCACCTCTGGTGTGTCCCTCTATCAGATCCAGGAGAGCGTGGTAGTGGACCAGATAGGTCAGCTGAGCAAAGAATGGGGGTAAGTACAGGAGACTGAACAACCAATTGTTTTTAATTAAAAAGATTGAATGTTTTCTGGTACCTAGAAGCACTCTGAAGCCTGTCCAGTTCTCTGTATCAGGCCGACTTGATAATCGGCTTTCTTTGTTTTCATCAGCTTGAGCAATCCGTTAGTGCGAATAAGTAATCTCTGTTGGATTGCTTTGAGCGCTAGCATCTAGCTGTGACAACATGAACTGTATTTCCTGTTCAGACATTGAGGCCAGTGGTTGACCGTAGCTGCTTCTGTTATTTCCCCGCAGACAAGTGGAACAGCTGGTGCTGTACATGAAAGCAGCTCAGTTCCTGGCATCTTCCCTGCAACTTGCCAAATCGCAGATCAAATCTGGGAAGTTGACTCCTTCAAGTGCTGTAAAACAAGGTAAGCTTTGGCGGAAACAAATACTACAGTAATATTATCCTTACCTTTTGTAAAAATGGCAATTTTTGTATTGTAAGTATCTCTAATCCTTTATGGTGAATAATGTATCATCTTTGATGTTGCAGTGGTGAAAAGCATGAATGAGCGATATAAATTCTGCATCAGCATGTGCAAGAAGCTCACAGAGCAGCTCAACCGCTTTTTTTCAGACAAGCAGCGATTTGTGGATGAGATCAACAGTGTCACAGCAGAAAAGTTAATCTACAACTGTGCCGTGGAGATGGTAAGTAGAGAGCGGTTACTTCCCATTAATCACTAATCTTATGGAAGTTATATGGCTGGGACCAAAACATGGGCGATCACTGCCATTTTGTTTGTCTCTCTTGGACTTTGAAGAGAGTAGAAGATTATTGGCTTGTGACAGAGGGTATATTGGGCTTGCTTTCACTTCTGAGATCATTCAAAGTTCATTGACTGATGCATTTGAGCTCCTGACTTGTATTTGATATGCTTCTAAGCTGAACCAAATTGTTTTAAGCTGCTTTTGCATTCCCATTTACTTAAATGGAAAGAGAAGCAGTTGTGACGCAAACAAATGTGCACACAGGCCAAATTTTACATTTTGTTGCGTCTGTTAGCTATAGTACAGGGCATTGCTTCCATTGTAAGGGACAGGTTAATATACTAGACAGACGGAAGCATGAGGTAAAATAAGCTTCTGATTATGGACAGCAACCTTGAGGATCAACTTTAGCTTTAGTCTTTGGTTCATCCATTAGTCCTCCAGATGCTCATCAGAGACTGGCTGTAAATGATTATGGCTTCTACTGCTGTGTGTACTAGTAGGCAGAGGAGTATAATACAATTCTGGTTCACATAGCACTTTAGAAAGAGGCTGTGGATGCGTTCATATGAGGATATTTTTTTTTTTTTAAATCGGATGTTTTTTCATTTAATTTTAACAGTTGACAACATGCATCAAACGCACAAGCCAACAGACACACTTATGAGGATATTTAGTTACAATGGGCCATATTCTTAAAGGGAATTCTAAATTTCTTGTTTGCAAGGGGTTTATTGTGTAAAATAGACTTAACCCCTTCGTGACTGACGACGTACAGTGTACGTCGCCAGCATCGGGGCTGTTTAAACAGACTCCCGGCGACTTTTGCCGCCGGGACTCTGTTTAAACTTGTAGAGCCGACTGTCGGCTTTACAACAGAAGCGATCCTGGCGACTTACCTGTCGCCAGATTGCTTCTGCGTCCCGAAGAAGGGGCCGCCCCCCCCTGCCAGACACCCCGCCGTGCTTCCCGGGCTCCGTTGCCCCTCCTACGGGCCCGGGACCGGCGATCTTTGTGTCCGCGGGGAGCTGGGGAGGAGGTCGACGAACTTCCGTTCATCGATCCCCTCCCCGTTCTATGGGACCGGGAGCGATGCAGATTGCATCACTTCCGGTCCCTGGGCTGTCAGTTCTGGGCTCCTGCAGCCCAGCTATAAGCTATTGAAGTGCGATCTGCACTTCAATAGCTTATTTCCAGTGTAAAGGTGACACTGAGGGTCTTTTGGACCCCCAGCATCACCTTAAAGAGGACCTGTCACCACCATCTGCTATTACATGGGGGGGCTTGCAAGCCCCCCCATGTGATAGCAGTCAAAGTAAAGTAAAAAAAAAAAAAAAAACAGTTTTTAAAATTAAAATGAAATAAAATAAATCTAATAATAATAAAAAAAAAATTTAAAAGTACCCCGCCCCCGCGAGCACGCGCGTCGCCACGTAAACACGCGTCGGGTGCGCCTACGCATGAAAACGACGAACGCGCTACACATGTTGGGTATCGCCGCGCACGCCGGAGTGAGAGCAATAATTCTAGGGGCAGTATTTTGGGGTATCTCTAAATTGATGACCTGTGGGGGCTTTTAAAGTGTCTTTTATTGATTTTTTGGGGTACTGCAGTTTTTCGCCGTTTCACGGTCGCACGCAATCTGTAAACTGGGCATGTTGGGTATCGTTTTACTCGTTGTAACCTCATCTTTTATATTTCATTAAAAAAATGGGTAATTTGTTGTGTTTTGGGGCATTTAAATAAATTTGTCACTAAATTTTGGGGTTTAATAAGGAGTTGCGCTAATATTGCGCAACATAAAAATTTTCAACTACCACCATTTTATTCTATAGGGTCTTGGCATTCAGAAAATATATAATGTTGGGGGGTTTTACGTCATTTTCAGGCCTAAAATGTGGAATATAACATGGGTGCAAAAATGGAAAAAAGGGCCTCAGTCATGAAGGGGTTAAGGGATTTATTTGCGAATTAAGTCCTTACATGGTTTTAAATCTCTTCCCGTATACACTCCATTTTGTAAGGCATCTTCTAAGTTATATTATTTACCCATGTGGACCTTAGCCATACTCCACCCATCCAAAACAAACTTCATCCAAATACATTGGATGAAGTGGCCCCTTCAGCTCCCTGGCCACATTTCGGTGCAAGGGGACTTAAGCTGGCCATACAATTATCTATTTTTTCCGGTTAACCTGCGGGCTAAACGGGAAAAAAATAGACCCGATTCCTCCATCAACACTAATAGCGTGTTGATTGAGGAATCTCATTGTTCTCAGGAATCTACATTGTATTTTGACAGGTGCCCCCAGCTCCTGTCAGAATACCTGACCAGAGTGGGCAGATCGTTGGCTGCCGGCTCTTGTAACTATTGTGTATTATGCAAAGTAGATCAAATGGCTGCATATGATGTCTTGTTTTTTTGCAACTTAAAAAAAGTAAAAAATAAATCTGTTCCTATTTAACCCCTATTAAAACTTTGTTAACCCTAAACAGCTCTAATAATAGCCTTTGCAGAGATACTGTCATGTTGCCCTGCATTTGCATATGACATAGTTACATAGTTACATAGTATTTGAAGTTGAATAAAGACATTAGTCCATCAAGTCCAACCTATTAGGATCTCATTCTAGGAGTACCTGTACCCCTGTATATTACGGTCCCTTAAGAAATCGTCCAAAAGTTTCTTGAACAATTCCACATTATTTGCTGAAATCACCGCCTGTGGCAGTGAGTTCCAGACCCTAACCGCTCTAACTGTGAAGAACCCCCTTCGCCCCTTGTGCTGGAATTTTTTTTCCACCAATTTTAGGTGGTGGCCTCTAGTTTTTGTAATGGAGTTAATTTTAAACAGTTTATCGCTAATATTGCTGTCACCATTGAACATTTTGTACATGGAGATCATATCCCCCCTTAATCTCCTCACCTCCAATGTGAACATGTTTAAATTTAGTAGCCTTGTCTCGTAGCTCTGGTCCTCCATACCCCTAATTAGTTTGGTTGCCCTCCGCAACAGTCTCTCTTTAAATGGTTTCTGAATCCCAGAACAATTAGGGATGTCCCGATACCGGGGGAGGAGAGGAGAGAAGCTGTAAATCTTTCCTTCACACATAATGGACCTTCTCTTCTTTCATTGAGAGGGAAAACTTCTGTGTGGGTCTGGTGAGAGCATTATTAAACACATAAGGAGCATGCACAGCTGACACTGAGATATACCACCAAAAGCAAACAGTTTCATCAAGTGGAAAAGGAAGGGACCCTTGTAACAATAGCCAGCCTGCTACTGGATATTTTAAATCGCAATAGTCAATAGCAGGCTAGCTATTGTACCCGCCCACTACCTGCTGTCAATCAGCAGAGAAGACCTGATAGAGAACTTTGTCTTCAGTTCCCTCCTTTGCTGATTGACAGCAGGTAGTGGGCGGGTACAATAGCTAGCCTGCTATTGGCTATTGCGATTTAAAATATCCAGTAGCAGGCTGGCTATTGCTCCCAGCCACTGCCTGCTGTATTTACAGTCAGTGAATCCAGTGAAGTGGAAAGGTGACACTAGAGGTCTAAAAGACCCCTAATGTCACCTTAAAGAGAACCTGTCACCTCTAATGCACGCAGCCCTGGTGAGAAACTGCCGTAAAATCATTAGTCTGTATTGTTTTATAAAAAATGTCACATGTCCCTATTAGAAAAAGTATCGGTAATTGGTATCGGCAAGTACATGAGGGACAGTACTTGTACTTGGTCTTGAAAAAGTGGTATCGGGACATCCCTAAGAACAATTATACGTCAAGTGATGGCTGAACCCCTGATCAGTATTCTTATTCTTATTCTCTATATTTTTCTTAGCCCAGGTTTCCTTTATTACAATCGTTTTGTTGAGAAACATCTTTACTTTTCCTAAAACTAGGTCCAGTCAGCAGCACTAGATGAGATGTTCCAGCATGCAGAGGACATTGCTTATCGTTACCATAAAGCAGCACTACTGTTAGAAGGCTTAACCAAGATCCTGCAGAGTCCCGCAGACATTGAAAACGTCCACAAGTGTAAGTAGCCAGAAAGAGAAGTAAATCTGTAATGTATCTATCTTACCACTCTACTATATTAATCAGATTGCTTCAGTCAGATATTTTGAAATGCAGTTGATTCCGTGCATCACATTTAACATACATATGAATGACTTTCAATGACCTGTCATATCTGATCAGTCTTCTAAGCAAATTTACTGTATCCCCCTCTCCAATGCTTCCAAAATCAAGTTTGAAGGCAGCTGTTAGAAATTGTTATTTAGACTTGCACTGTACAGCACTGGGCCTCTTCCAGCATGTAGGTATGTTTGATATGTAATATTACAGTACATCTGTCTCCCTGCATTCCACCATTTCCAGTGGCGTAACCAGAGTTCTGGGCGCCCAGGGCAGAAATTTCTCCCCCCCCCACACCGGCCGCTCACAGCGCTCGTCCCGCAGCGCTCGGCCGGCTGTCATTTTCTCTCTGATTCCTTTCATCCCTGCTGGGCACTGCTCTGTGTCCCAGCGGGGATGAAAGGAATCACGGCCGCGCCGACAAAACGGCAGGAAAATGTCACTTTCGGCATTTAGCCGAAAGTGCCATTTTCGGCCGGCGCCCCCCCTTCACTTTTCGCCCAGGGCCCGCGCCCCTGCTGCACCCCCGGTTGTTACGCCACTGACCAGTACACAATCATTTGTGTAGGACAACATTTGTCCTTTGTCATTAAGTCGTGACCCGAATTGCACTGCATTGGAATACACAACATTGCGGTCCCTGTGTGTGTTGTAAAGTAGCCACCGCTTCAAGCTCGCTCCTGTGATGCTTTACAATCTGTTGTACAAATTAGAAAACTCAACGTGAGATTATAGTCCATCACAGTAGCGAGCTTGGAGTGGTGGCTACTTTACAACACACACAGGAACCATGGGGAACAAAAGTAGCCGCCCTCCAGAAGGAAGGACAGTGTCAGCACCAATTCAGAGATGATTTGTGGATCTACAGCTGAGTGATGCACAATAGTAAATGTTAATAGTTAAATCTTAAATCGCATTCAAGTAGCTTAACTCCTCAGTTTAATGTCACTTTAACTGGAAGTGGTGTCATCCAGCTGGCTCTGCTGTGTGAGAGGGCTGATGGACAGAAATTCAATTCCTGTGGCAGTGACATATTTCAACTATGTTTGCCTGGAGTTCAGATTTATTAATACTGATGTATTATGATGGGATCAGTTAAATACTTTGCCTTATTAATGCTCTTAGTTTATTGATCTCCTTTTTCTCTGTTCTCTTTTCCAGATAAAGCCAGTGTTGAAAGTAGACTGTCGGCACTTTGCTACGGAGCAGTGGCTGTGTATGAATAGTAACAGTATCCACTGAAACACACAAGCTAAACAAGGGACCATTATAGCTTAGTTCTTTGTACATGTTACTATGGATTTTACATCTGACGCTCAGAAAGAGAAACCAAAATCCCCCTTTGAAAGCTTTCAGAGAATAAGAACAATCCCATGACTGAACATTTAAGTATGCAGGAAGGCTGCCTTATTTTAAAGACACTCCTTGCAAAACATGCCTTTCAACATACACGTGACATGGAAGGAAATGTCTGCAAATTTTAACCTTGTGTATGTATTTCTAATATGTAATATTAATAATGGACTATGGTTGCTCCGATAATAAAGGTGGAGGTGTTGGAAAACAGTAGCAAGACCTTCAGGAATGATGGCTGCAAGTTAACAGCAAAGGGACTCCATGTTACTGATTTGGGAGTTTCCGTCATAAGGTCTGGACCGAAAACATCCATCTATCCATCCATTCATCTTTACAAAGATAAGCATAAGCAGAGCACTTTACACTGAGTAGGAACAGTAAAAACTATTCAAATCCAGCCATGTGGAGTCTTGATTGAGTTTATTATCCATTTTGATGTTGCTACTTGACGTTCTACTTTTAAACCAATTTATTTTGCACTAATTTCTTAAAACTGTAAATTACCTTATATGGAACTCTATCAATATTAAAAAGGCACAATTTACTGAGAAAAATTATCATTTCATTGTATGTAAAGAAAAAAAAAAGTTGAAATTGAATATGTAGCTTCCTAAAGACTTTACAAACTATACAAAACAATTTATTTGTGACCCTTTTGTATCTCTTTTGTCTAATACTTGATTACTAATATCTGTTTTCTTTCATGTTTTACTTGTTGGTATTTGCTTTCTATACAGATATTGTGTGCTGCATATAATGGTTGTGCATGTGATAACGTGCTTACTTACAGTTGTCCTACTTATTGGGTATTTTCCTAACAGACGTAAATATGTTTCACAGACAGTGTTAGAGAAGGGAGACTATGATGTAACATAGGTTGTTGTGCATGTGTGAGACTACTACTGTATTAGAGGTGTTAAACAGTAGTTTAGGTCAGTTAAATCCCAGTTACTGTAGCGTGGTCTTGTAAAGAGCAAAGGTTTTGTTCACATGGCTCAATAGTAGATGGAGCCGTGTAAGCCACGCTCAACAATGGCACCAAAGGTTTAGTAACTAAAGTTACCATGTGACTTATGTACGTCTAGGGTTTATGCTCTCTATAGAAGGCCAGTACTTGATGAGGAACATCAATTTAGACAACAGGTGCCACTCACTTGGTTTGTATTTTGCCATTTTCATTAATGTGAATCTTCCAATACAGTTACGGAAAAGCCTTTTATGTCATTTTTGCTTAACTGCCACAAAAAAAATGGTCACACTTCAAGGGGTGAGCCCAAGGTTATCCATACACCAGCTTACCCATTAACAACATTTTTATAGCTTTAACTTCATTCTAGCAATTCTTTTAAAAAGACATTTTAAGGGTGTTGCATTTTCATGCATTTTCATCTATTTATAATGTATGCTTTTAGACTTTATGAAAAATTTGGGCACACCCAATGATTGGTATATGATTTTTATTTACTAGGTTTTTTTTTAGAGCTGAACTGAAAGACAGTCATTACATTAGTCCCATATTATTCCTTGATACTGTCTCTGCGCTAAAAACAAAAAAGGGATATCTCTGAATTTGATTTTATAAAGTATTTCTCTAGATTTTTAATTGGCAGTTGTATGTATTTTCTCAAATATGGCAGATTTATGACAAAGTTTAAAGACACTCGCCTTGCTCATTCATTGTCTCCTGACAGGCCACCCTTCTAGCAAGTCATACTCATCTATCTGTGCTCCCTCATCCCCTTCCCGGTCCATCGGAGCCCTCGCTCCATTGCACTAATGGGGCAGGGCTTCCAAATGCTGGGGGAGCATGTGACCTCCCATGTGCTCGTGTATGAGTGGCCAATTACCAGTCAAGTGACGAGGTATTGATATCTTCCACCATAGTAAGCTCCATGACTGGGAAGGGAGCATGGATGGGTGGGTATACCTCGTTGAAGGGGTGGGCTATCATAAGGCACTGTCAATCTGCCCTGAATGGACAGAGCACCACGTTTCTTGAGACTCTTGCCCTAATGAAATGCTTTCTTTTTAGATGTATTTTGTAATTTATATTCATCTGTTAATGTTACTGTACTACCCACTATTAATGAGGTTTACAAGTTTCAGAGAAAAAAGTAGAACCCACATCTCCTTGCCCTTATTGCCCTTTCCAGCTATTTGACCTCTGTTGGCATTCTTCTCTTCCAAAAGCAGGGCTATTATTACAAACAATACAAGTGGTGGAGTCTACCTTAGCAGGCTTCAGTTGTAAGCCCTGAGAAGGACGACTCTTGTTACATCACATCACTCAGGTCTAGACATTATTTTATTTTTTTTAACTGAAACTGGAGAGCTCATTTAAGAGATAAAATGTAAGTATTGTGGGAAGTAATGCGACTTTCAGTTTGCCAGGATGAGTATTGGGAACAAAACCATGACATTCATTTAAGCAGTCTAATATTACATTTGCCCAGTAGATCTATAAGAATAAGCGGAGACTACCATTTAAGCTTGTCCAGCTCTTCCATGAGGTGGCATAATCTCCAGCAAATAGTACTTTTCTCCTGAAACTTTGATACTTGAACAGAAATTTTACATTTTTGCAAAAAAAACAAAAAACCTGACAACTTTCAATACTATTCCTAGTAATAGTAACAAGGCACTTCACACATCTGCAATATGTTAATATTATTTTACTGCGTGTTTTACTTGACAGCAGCATCTTTATTATTTATCTGAAATTCTGCCAATTCATTTTCAGTGTTTTTATTTATGTACTTGCTTGTGAAATATACAAATGCATTGTGTGTGCATTTCTAGGTCTTTAATACCGTGTTTCTACCTCTTGTTTGTAAACTGCATGCATTCAACTAAGGTAACAACTCACAGAACTGTTGCAAAAATAGCCTTTTTTATTATGGCTTGTATAAATGTATATGATGAATAAAACGGGAAAAAAAACAAATTTCCTTTTTTTTTTTCTGCATTCATGGATGAAAATCAGTTTGTATTCTAAGCAACCACATCCTAAATTTCTGCTTTTTAAAGGTTTATTGCCTACCATTTACACATTAACTCTTGCAGTGGGGCTGCCCTTACACTGCAGGGGTTAAGTGCTCGTTTTGGTCTAGGAAGAAAAAGAACAAAGTTATACTCACCTAATCCTAATACAACAGAGCTCCCTCCTGCATGTCTCCTACACTTCAGTAGTGGTATGTCCCCTGGCGTCCTCACATCCTATAGACAGTATATAGAACGTGATGACTCAAAGACCTTAGACTGCTGCAGGGGAAGCAAGGTTGGAAGGACCTATCTAAGAGCAAGCAGTCTCGGAGGATCAAGTGAGTATAACTTTATTTTCCTCCCTAGACCAAAACGAGCAGTTTACCCTTGCAGTGCAGGGGTAGCCTCACTGCACGGGTTAATAAAAGTTTTGCCCAGAGTAATTCTTTAACAGCTCAAACACTCCTGACAGTGTTGGGGACCATTCAGACCTGTCTGTTCTTGTGCGTTGGAGCTGCATTGCCTTGGTTCATTGGTCTGCCATTCAAAATTAATGCACTTGGTGAGATGAATGGTACTACTTTGCACCGGATAAAAAAAGTGTTTCACACAAAATTTCTTCCTGACCCCCTAAGGCAGGGATGGCCAAACTGTGACCCTCTAGCTGTGGTGGAACTACAAATCCCATGAGGCTTTGCAACATTCTCATAGCCACAGACATGACTCCCGGAGAGAGATGCTCCATGGGATTTGTAGTTTCACCACAGCTGGAGGGCCGGAGTTTGGCCATCCCTGCCCTAAGTTGATCGGAAATCTCCCTGAGTCAATCTTTCTGTATGTAGAGTTTAAATCTCTTTTCCTCCAGGTGTTATGGCTTTGTCCACAATCATCCTTCTACCCTAAGTTCATAATCCGGCTTCTTCCACGGGTTCCAGAAAGTTATTGCACTTATGGATAGAGCTACAGTAGATGCCCTCATTGTGCCTTCCACATTCCTCTCCCTTTGCTGCTTAAAAAGAAGAGAAGACAACAGGTGAACGTTTGTGTATAAGGCTTTTATCATTAAGAGAAACTGTTTCCTATAACAAATTATTTCTTATAAGAATAATTTCCTATAACAGGAACCACCTTTACCTGTGTGCAACATCTCTGAAGTGTAGGAATGGCATGCTGCACAGAATTTCTGCAGACAGGAATCTGATGGCTGTCATGCGGTGGAGGCCAAATAAATTGGAATAGGGTTCCCACTCATGTGCACCATTACATAGTAGATATGGTTCCGTATAGGAGACAAGAAGATACAAATGGTTATACAGACCGTGATTTCCCTGAGAGATTGTCCAAGAAGATTCAGTGCTTGGCTAGAGGTCTCTGAGGTTCTGAGAAGGGTCTGTTTTTATTGTAGAATTGTCAGTCTGATCTTCTGTCTCTTCCCTGTCTGTGTGCAAAGGGGATACCAAACCAACAAAAGCTTCATTTACAGGAAGAAGAAAATCCTCCAATAGCTACTGGTAAATCCTAGTATAGCTATAACCTCTGCACCCCCCTCCCTTGTCCACAGCTCTCACCTCTGCACCTAGCCTCCACCCTCATCCATACCTCTCACCTCTGCAATCCAGCCACAGCTCTCACCTCAGAGCTGTACCCCTCCTCCATCCACAGCTCTCTCCTCCATGATATCTAAATTTTAATTTTTAATAATATATTGCTCTCAAGAAAATAACCTTGTTAGGCTGCCTCGGCACCCAGGACACGATGCTGTCGTACATAGAACCAGCTTGCAGCACATGCATGTGCGTACTGGTTGTAAGCACCAATAGCGACAAATGAAGCTGTGCGGCTGAGCCACACAGTGTCATTAATTTCCTTGGTTTGGGTGGCCTGCTGCACACATCAAAGCAACCAGTGAAACTAATTTGCTGGGCGCCAGATCCAGCTGTCGCTGAAGTACAGCCATGCGGCAGCCAGGCTGGGAACTAGGTGCTAGGCTGAAGGAAAGGACCTCCACGGTAGTTTTCTCAGAGATACTACCGGTGCCAAGAGCCACTCCGGACAGACACTAGTGGGGAGGATGTGGAATCATTATGGCTGGAACTGGACATGACAGACGATCGTCGCAAACTAATTGTGGGTATTTGTTATAAACCACCAAATAAAGGGGAGGAGGGGGAGGCTTATCTACAGTCTGAAATAGAAATAGCTGGGAGGGCGGGCAATGTAGTCGTGATGGGCGACTTCAATTACCCGGACATAAATTGGGCCAATGGAACCTCAAGTTCAACAAAGGCGGGCCGATTTCTGAACATGTTGCGTGACAATTTCATGGACCAGATGGTGGAGGTCCCAACTAGGAAAAATGCCATCCTAGATTTAATCATTACTAAAAAAGCGGAGTTAATTGAGGATATTGTTATTGGGGAGACACTGGGAAATAGTGATCACAATGTGATTACTTTCTATATTGGATACAGGAAAGGGAAGCAGGCTGGTAGGACAAGAACCCTTAATTTCAGAAGGGCTGACTTTGATAAACTGCGCCACCTAGTGGGGAACATCAAGTGGGAAAATGTATTTCACCAACTGAACTCGGACCAAAAGTGGGAATGTTTTAAAAACACCTTACATATTGCCATTGCCAAATGCATACCGTTGGTTAATAAAAGTAAAAGATCACAAACAAAACCTGTATGGCTGAATAAAACTGTAAAGCATCACATAAAGGAAAAGCGAGTGGCATTTATAAATTATAAGATGGAGGCGACGGCATTGAACTTATGTCTTTATTCAACCTCAAATACTATGTTAACTATGTTAACTCATTTTTAAAATCAGAGATGCGTTTCAGTCGGGGACAGCCTACTCAAACTGTGGACTGTCCCAGGGAACAGGGTAAGGGGCATCTAGTCACCTTACCCTAAAGTAATCTGTTGCTTTGCACTTTATCAGCAGCATTTCCTATGCTTTTCCTATCCAAGCTAAGAACATTGTCAGTATAGGACTGCTGTGGACCCAAGCTTTTATAAAGAGGGGATAGGCTTATGTACATGCTCCATTTGTGGCCCTTTTAAACCATCTGACTCACGGGCAGGGCCCTCCTTACCATCTTGTCTTGAATTGTATTGTAATGTCTTCCATATATTGTAAAGCGCTGCACAAACTGTTGGCGCTATGTAAATCCTGAATAATAATAGTCAGGAGGTGTATTATTGTTATGGCCATGAATTTTTGTATTAGTTCGCCAAATTCCCTACACAGGAATGGGATCGGGTTTGCCTTGAACCCATGCTCTGCCTGAAACCAAACATCATCCCTGACAGCCATATTTTATTGCTATAAATCATGTATTACTAGGTCTCCACAGCTGTTATGTCTGTACAAAGTTGTCAGAAAAGAGAAGTTTGCAACTAGGGATGCACCGATACCGGAACTTCCGGTCAGAGAAAGATTTCCTCCGAACATGGAGCTGGCTTCCCAGCCAATCAGGAAGCAGGGTGGCGGGTAATGACTCGCTGCCTGGCCTCCTGATTGGCCGGGAAGCCAGCTCCATGCTGTTTGGCTGGTTCGATGCTGATTGGCTGGGATGCCGGCTTCCCAGCCCATTCAGCATCAAGCCAGCCAAACAGCATGGAGGCGGCTTCTCGGCCAATCAGGAAGCTGGACGGCAGATAATTACCCCGCCTCCTAGCTTTCTGATTGGCCGGGAAGCCAGCTTCCCAGCCTATCAGCATCGAGCGGGTAATGACCGGATTGGCTGGGAAGCCGGCTTCCTGGCCAATCAGCCAGCTCGATGCTGATTGGCAGGGAAGGCAGCTTCCCAGCCAATCAGCCTGGAGCGGGCTTTCCAGGCAATCAAGCCCGTCGCTCGGCTCCCTCATTGCCCGGGAAGCTGGCTCCATGCTAGCGGAAGTACCGGTATCGGTAGGTACCAAAAGATAAATATTGGTACTCGTAACCGAAAAACTGGCATCGGTGCATCCCTATTTGCAACCCACACAGGGAACTGTGCATTAATTTGTTCAGGACTTCAAGAAAAATGACTATAGTATTGCCAATTAATAGACATAGTAAGGTTCTATCATACTCAGATGCATCTTCACTGTGTCTAGGACTATAATGAGGTTTAGAAGTACAAAAGTGATAGAATGGGACTATTGCAGCAGGGTACCTAAATGTATCTAGCCACTGAAGCCGGGGTGCAGTTGATACCCGAAGTCCAATCTACTTTATAGCAGAAAGGATTGATTTACTCCAGTTTACCAGGAGGCCTCAAAATTCATTTTGAAATGCGTGTTTCAGGGAACAATCTGCAAACTTTTCAAACAATTCATCTCTCTATTTGTAGTGTTGACTCTTTTCATTGCTGTAGTTCAAGGCCTGTCAACTATGTTGGCTCGCTGTAGGTCAAGGCTTGTCGCCTATGTAGGTTTAATGAACTGATAACTTCTATTTACTATGTTAACGTACTGCCAGACTGTTCAATGTAGGTTTTCTTTTTTTTTTGCTGTGTTCACAAAGGCATAGCAGTTCTCATGTCATAACGTGAGTACAAAAGCTGAAAATGGACAGTAATACAAAACGTATACGCTTATACAACTGTGTTGATCCAGTGTGGTAAAATGCATGTGTGAATGGGCCCTTAGACCTTAACTAAAGTAAATTGCAAATTCCGAAATGCTTGTTCCCCTTTACAAAGGTCCAGACTCCTCAGGGGGAATGCTGCATCTGTTAATGCTAAGCGTCAAATTTCTCATAAGAAAAAGTATTCAGAGTGGCACATAGCATAAAACTATTCAAAACAGATTATTAAATAATAAATGACATATTTGCGTATGGTAAAAAATAATCCTATTGTAGTGTCAGATGCCTGTGTCCCCTGCTACACACTTTGGATCCATCCTCTGACCCCTATGTCACCACAGGACACAGCAGTGATGCAGGGGTTGGAAAGAGGAGAAAAAGCGCACAGCAGGGGCCACAGGCATCCAACATTCTCAGAAGCGTTAGATGCAGAAGAGGAGGGTTGCCAGCGCTCCATGTTTGCCAGCTCTGGATTCAGAACCCAAGTCCCAGTTCCACAGCTGCTCTAGAGCTCCAGCAGAAATAAATGCTCCAGCTCAAAAAAAAGATTCAGAGATGCTCTGCTCAGCTACAAAGAAGTACAAAGTACATGACCTTTTTCTTGTTTCTTCTAAAAATAATAAGGTTTTCATTAAAAAATTGTTTTATTTAAGACAAAAGAGTTTGCTTTCTTAAAGGGCCCCTTGAGGTATGGTGAAAGGAAGCCCTGGCTGATGGAAGCATGGCATGTATATAGGAGAGGCTTCCTATCCTTAACTACTTGCCGTCCATGGCAGTTCCTGAACGCCCGGACAGGAGCCTTATAGTAGCACGAGGGAGTCTCAGTACACAATCTCCCTTTGATCTCCTCTGCTGTCCCCGACTGCAGGAAGTGATGTATGTTACATCACTTCCGCATTCAGTGTCACTCTCCAGCAACAGATGCCGGTAAGAAGTTGCTGAAGCAGATCTCTGCTTCATCAGCTTCTCTGGGGGTCCCTAGGTGACATCAGGGGTCTTGGGGACCCCTGAGGTCTCCATAAAGATGACCTATCATATGAATTGGCTATCACATAGGGGGTTTCCTAGCACCGTATATAATAGCAATAAAGTTAAGTGTAAAAAAATAAAGAAGCTAAAAAAAAGTCACAAATTGTTTTTAAATAATTTCAAAAAATTGTTAAAGTCCCCCGCCCCCATACACATGCAAACGTGCGCCAACGTACGAAAATGATGATTCCCCCTATTGCGCTACACATGTCACATATCACTGTGAATGTCATAGCGAGAGCAATAATTATCGGGCCATTCATCACTGATAACACTAAACTGATGAGCGGTAAAAGCGTCACCTATGGCCAATTTTGAGTGCGGTCATTCTTTGCGATTTCGCAGGCGCACACAGTTTTAAGGCTTGACATGCTTGGTGTCTATTTACCCAACGTGACCCCGTCTTTTATATTTTACCAAAAAATTGGGGGGATAATAAATGTTTCATAACATTTCAAAGGGAAACAGGTTTTTTTTTCCCTTCAAAACTTAGGGTACTTTTTTTCATTATATAGTAAAAAATAAAACCCCAGTGGTAATTAAATACCACCAAAAGGAAAGCTCTGTGTCCCAAAAATGGTATAAAATTTATTTCAGTAGTGTTGCATAACGGAATAAATGTCAAAGTACCTCAGCGCCGAATATTGAGAAATGGCCTGGTCAGGAAGGGCCAGCTGCACCAAACTAGTCTTTTTATTAATTCTCCCCAAAGTGTGAACAAGCCCTGGAGTAGGTGACCATGGCAGGGCAGCTGTGGTGAAACTACAAATCCCATCATGTCTCTGCCTTTGGGAGTCATGCCTGTGGGTCTTGCAATGCCTCATGGGATTTGTGAGCATGCCTAACCCTGCCTGATAATTAAGTGCAGCGCCTGGCCCTTTACTCAATTCTGCAACTGTGTAGAGGTCTCCTACGTCCTTCTCACTACTTGTTACTTCACTGCCCTATGAACATTGCTCTTTGTATTGCCTGATCAGCTGCTGTCGATAGCCAGGGAACGTGTTCATGTTTAAACAAGATCCCAGAGACAGAACTGATATGAAAAATCTAACTTGAGCCCTGCAACCAGAAGATTAAAAAGCGACGTTTCAAAACAAAGCTCAACTTTCACCTCTATAGGATGTCAGGATAAGGGTGTGAGCGAGCTCCGTGCTATGTGATCACAGGGGGCGGGGCATTGGGATTCAGTGTATGGGGGCGAGCTCCGTGTCATGTGATCACAGGGGGCGGGGCACAGGATTGCTGTGGCTGAGAGCTGTGTACGGAGCGAGCTCCGTGTCATGTGATCACGGGGGGGGCGGGCATAGGAGTGCTTATTCTGAGGGAGCAGTGTGTGTGACAGTGTAGTGCTGCCTTCTTGTACGAGTCTTGTGGTCGGCTGCAGGTAAGGGGGCGGCTACTCACAGAGATGACAGCATGTCAGCGGGAGCGCTCTGTTTAATGGCCAGGCAGAGCACCGAGAAGAGTGCAGTCACACTGGTGTACTGAGGCTGTACTATGACACACTTCAACCACAGGGCTGAATTTACCATATTGGGCACTGGTGGGACAGCACCAACGTTTAGACTTTTCAGGTTCTAATAACCATTTCCTTATTTTGTTACAGCCTATCTCAGGGGAAAAAACTCCCCCTGCAGTCAGACTGCCCTGGCACTGCAAGGGTTAACAGCTCCTTTTAGGTCTAGGGTAACTGGATAAAGGACTTTCCCTTGTCCTTGTCTCCCCTCCACTCCAGCTTGTGGACTGCCCCTTGTATAAGGTAGGGCTATGGACCCAGCATTAAAGGTAATGACAACATCAGTGGGCCTCAGACCGCTGACCTTTAAGGGGAACCAGGCTGCAGGTACCCGTGTTCTGTCAAATCAGCCTGGTTCACCTTATAGGCCAGTGATGAGCGAACAGCTGAAAACCGGGTTACTGCACATGCACAAATTGTCTGATCTGGTAGAACAACGTCAGATTTGTCTACAGTGTACGGGAATAACAATCCGCTTTTACTATGGGCTGACATTACAGCTAACATTTGTAGCTGTCAGATGTTTTCCATAGGGCACAGTACCTATAGCAGTTCTTGTACAACAGGGCTGGGGTATGAGAGGAAGAAGCAGCACAAGATGCAAGTCAGTTCATGTGCTGACAAGAAGCTTCCTGATGGGAGGAAAACGCAAAGAGACAGAGAGATGAGCTCATCACTCTGCTACTTCTCCTTTCAATGTTCAAGTCATAGGCCGGGGTGGATAGGATGACCTGGGCTCAGAGGAAATGGGTTGAATGATGCTGGCCATCAGAGGCTATCTACTGGGAGAAAATGCTGCAGGGGAAGTTTCTGCATTGAAAGTGTATATTGCAGCAAAAGTTGGATTTGTTACTTTTATCCTTTATTGGGACAATTATTTCTGATCTTGTTATTTTTGGCTGGAATTCTGATTTAAAGGGACCCTGTCAGCCTTCAAATGGAATGTCCCTGCGAAAGAAGAGGTACTATACCCACCTTTCTAGTGGCCCATGTCTCCCGCCCCTCCTTTGTTTTCAGTATTGTAGCAGCAACACTGATGGAAGCCCTTTAGGACCCAGTCACACCATATCCAGTGCGCTCTGGCACGGTTCAAGCCTGGAACGCACTGGATCACATAGATCAGGCCAGGCAGCGTTCTGGGGCTGGCGAGGGCATATTGGTGCCATTCATGTCAATGCTACCGCAGACACGCCCCTCACCCGCACTCGAACGCAAGGTAGAGGAATGGCCTCCGTTCCGGTGCAGTGCGATCGGAAAAAAAAGTGCATGCAGCATTTCTTCCAATCAGGCAGCATTTTTTCCAATCGCACTGCACCGGAACGGAGGCCATTCCTGTACCTTGCGTTCCGGTGCGGGCGATCCAGTGCATGCCGGGCCCCGCACTGGATATGTTGTGATTGGGCCCTGAGGCCCCATTAACACCTGAGCATAGTACAAACGCGTTTTGTCTTTCCACATGTCCCTACTGATTTCAATGGGGCCCTGAACCTGTGACAAGCATGTGAACAGTAATGTATGTAGGAAAATCTGCCACTTTCTGTTTTTTCTCTGCGTTTTAATGCACGTAAGCGTTAAGGATAACTGTGCCTTTGCCCAGCTGTTAGGAGTGACTAACTGGTAAAAAAAGAGTTGTTGGTTTTTTGTTTTTTTAATACGTTTCCTAAACGCACTTCAAAGTGCCCAGTTTTTGCTCAAGTGTGAATGGGGCTTTACTGCGTACTATGGATTCTTCCTCCAACCGCTGCATCGGTACAGGACTTTACATTGATGTATTAGATGGAGGAGGGGACCACAGCACGTGGCAGCGGACACAGGTGTCTGACACTCCAGGATGTGTCGGATGTCCTAGAGGGGCAGATAGGATACACAGGCAAGGTGAGTGTAAAGATCGCACCAGCAGGTGCACAATATACTCTGTATAACATGCACCCACTGGCGTGTATTGATTAGAGGCAGTGTCATGCCTTATTATCATTCATCACACGATTTACTTTTTTTCGAACTTAATTGAAATGTCACATTTCATTCACCTCTATGCACTGCAGTATGTCGTAATGCTGCGTAGTGTGTTACAACAAGATGCCTAAAAAAGCAACCCATCCTACTTTTTTCAGAGCACACCAGCATGCTTCTTTTGCAGGGACCTTTGATCTGGATCTCTGTTGCAAGCTGACAGGGTCACTTTTATTCAGCAGGCGAATGTCCGGGGGAGAGTAAACATTGAGAGGAGTCAGAAGGCTCTTTACAGTTCAGGATAAATCCATCTCTCTTCTCCCTTGTATGGTGGCCAGTACAGTTATAAATACATTTTGCAGGTAAAGCAGACCTCATACTTTTTCCAGTTGCACATTTGAGCATTCATTTTTAGAGAAATAATCACATAACGTGCAGCTTGTGCAAAAGGGCGTCACACAGATGAGCCGAGGGTATTCTAAATGCAGCCCTGGACACAAGCCAGGAAATAACCATGGGGAAGAGTAGGCGTGCCTGGCAGAGAAAGTATGGCATGCATTCAATCTGTATTCTTAAAACACAATAAATAAACCAATCTGTATTTCTAGTCAGTGGGAGCCTGTTATGTAAGTATGTGATATAGAGATCTATATAATCCTATTGCACCACCTTAAAGCTTTAAAGTGGCAGTACTTTCTTTTTTCTTCTACGATCACTAGCCCTTTATTTGGTTTCTAATTGCTCTTTGAGCTGTGGATGGGCGGTGTTCTTTTGTTTTCAAGCAGTGCAATTCATAGGTTAGGGAGAGAAGACTCTGGAAACCTGAAAGGGAATTCTGTTCTTAAATCCACCAAGCCTATGTGCTTTTATTAAGTCCAAAGCTCTGATGTAAATCTTTAGGGAGGGAAGGGTATGGCTTTAAAAATGTGAATAAAGAGAAGAATACGTAACTAACAATTCCCGCAGGAGAGGTCAGTGGTGGCAGTTGTTATGTTTCTTTCATAACAGGTTTACTTCAAAGGTGCTGGGAGATGAACTTATTTACTGTAAGCTGGTGTTTTGTCGTGACAGTGATCACCTGGCAGACAGCAGTTCTGTAAAACCACTGCTCTGTCATAAGAATCTGCCTTTCTCCTCCTTCACTTATCTAAGGACCCTTTCACATCGGCAAAGTGCCTTCTGCTCAGCAGAGGATCCAAGAACAGAACCCCTGGGGAATCTGAGCCGAACTGGACATGTGTTCGTTCAGTTTTTATTCCACAGAGCTGAACAGACCCAGGTTAAGTCTACGAGCAGGCAGATGTAAACAGACGTGCGTCCATTTACATCCGCTTACCTCCAATCGGTCACGTTTAGATCCAGAAAAATGAAAATAGATGCAGACATTTTCTGTTCTTTATTTCAGACCTGAATGGACTCTGAGGTAATCGTTCTACATGCATCTCCCTGCCCGTAGACTAACATTGAGCTTCCATTTAGCTCGGCCTGAAAAAAGTGACCGGTGGATCTGAACGGAACGCCATGTAAAAAGGGCCTAACTATCAAGGAAACCAGTCAGAACCTCTGTCTCGCATAGAACCTGCCCTCAGCTGTTCTGGCTCTGCGACACACATAGTATTGTGTGTTGCCAGTGTTAAAGCGGAAGTAAAGTGAAAAAAGTAAATAACAGCTGGGAGGTTGGGATTTTTGGCAGAAGAGACATGCAAAGTCTTTTCTGCCAAAAATGTTTTTCCTCTCTCTGCCAGAGATTTTGTTTGTTTTATGTATGCTGTATGGCGCATCCACCGTGCAGTGTACACACATAGTCCATTTACAGCATCTTCTAAGAGTACTGGGAAAGATGTACCTCCTGTGCCCAGAAGTTACATCATCAGTGGCCACCCAATGGTCAAAGGGGACTTCTGAGAACCTGGAGGTGTTGGTGGTGATCCAGGACAGAGCTGAGGACCAAAGATGGATTTGACAGCGCTGGAGAAGGGCACACATGTAAAGTAAGTGTGCCTTTATGTGCAAAAACAAAAAAATTACGAAGCGGTTTGCTTCCGCTTTAAAGGAGAACTATGAGATTAGTGATTTCCACTCATCTCATAGTTCTAGCCGAGCTGTGACAATGAGACTGTCACAGGTCGGCTCAGTAGATCGGGAGGTTAGCGAACACATACCGGGTTCCCTCACCTCTCGATCCTGTCACAGCTCTCTGCAGTGACAGGGGGAGGGTCTGGATTCCCCTCTCCCCCCTCCGATCCTCCAGCACTGACTGGCGGAACGGACGGGGGAGGGGGCGGGTACAGCTGGCTCTGCCTCTAGATAGGCAGAGCCAGCTGTCACTCACGCAGCTGGGCGGATCCCGACGTCCAGGTCGGGATCCGCTCCGGCGTGTCAGCTCGCGGTATACTGAGCTTAGGGTAACGGGAGGACGCTAGTTTGTGTCCTCCCGTTACCCTAAGGAGAACTATGGGGAAAAACACTGACCCCATAGTTCTCCTTTTAAAGGGTTATTAAACCCTCCTTTTTTTTGGGCATATATCTACTGCTAGCGAGCAGTAGATATATGCAAAAAGTGTTTAAAAAAATGCTTTGAAAAGGGTTAATACTAACCTGTGTCATCCCCGCGCGCTCCCGTCCAAAAATGTGAAAATTCTCGGGCGGGTGCATGCACAGTTCACATTTTCAGCAGGGACGCGAGGAGAGACACAAGGTAAGTCTATGGACTTGTGCACCCGCATGCAGACACCGTGGGACAGGAAGTGCCAGCAAGGACAGAGGAGTCAGCGCTGGATCGGACACCCGCAGCAACGCTGGACGGACAGATGAAAACGACAGGAAAGAAGAAGAGGATCGGATTAAGAGACCTCATTTAAGGTAAGTGCTTTAACATTGGGGGGAGGGAAACAGATTTTTGACTTTAATGTCACTTTAAGATAATTTGCTGCGTTACATTTTTGTGAAGCCACTAACGAAGAACATTTTGGCTATTGGTCTGTTTTTATGGGAGCACTGCTGTGTGTTTAGGGTAGACCTCTTCTCAGAGAATATGGCTTGTTCAGCCTAAAAAATACCAATTGCCTGCCTGTCTTGCTGATTAAGTGGCTTTAAATCTTTCTGAGCCCTGGAAAAATGATGATTGTGAGTTCTAGCTTCAATTTGACTTTGTAAGTTAAATGCTTGTTCTGGGCCATTAGTCAGCCAGGCAGTCAGCAGTCCCATATTTCTCTCGATGTAAATCCATCTTTCAGCGAGCTGCAAGCCTGCTAACATCTTGTTGAAGATATAGCAAACACGCTCATCTGTAATCGGGACTCCTAGACTGGAGGTGAAAGTTTGTTTTTTGATATAATTACTTATATTGGCTTTAGTTTTTGTTGTTTTCAGGTCAGACCTTGCGTTAAGAGGAAAAGCAGTGCTGTTCATTTACTGTACACTACTACTCAGCAAGAAGCACAGCCTACATTATGTAAAGAGCAAATATGGTTACCTCTGTGTACATTTATATTTACAAACTATACAGCCAAACGAGGCTTTTTGACAGATAGTTGCTCATTGGTAATTATATTTGCTGGAAGGGTTTCCCTTTAATAACTCGTTGTCTTGTGAGTAAAGAGGTTTTCATTATACCACCATCATCACATTTGTCTTGAACTTTGGATAGTATATACAGTATAATGGATGATAAGGGTATCTTATCAGTTTTTAAGGTATGTGCTAAATCTGTGTCAAAGGTAAGAGCTGTGATGTAAGGGATGAGTAGACAAGTCAAAGATATTCTATCTTGTAGTGGAAAAAATAAATCATCCTTATATTACCGAGAATTCATAATGCTTTTTAATCCAGAAATAAACACAAGGTTAAATAAGTATCTGTAATGTATGGAAGCATGATGACAAGGTGTCCTGGATTCACCCTTCAAACCCTACATAACTAGAAACCATGACAAGCAGGGGTGATTTTTTTAGGGATGCACCGATACCGTTTTTTCGGTATCGAGTACCGAAATCGTTTTTTTTGGTACTCACCGGTGCAGTGTGCCCAGATTATCTGGAAGTCGGGTGGCAGATCATGCCCCGGCTTCCTGACTCACTGGGAAGCTGGTGTTCTATCGAAAGAATACCGGCTTCAGTTGCTGAGGCTGCCTGGCTTCCTGACCGATCAGGTAGACGGCTCATTACTTGCCTCCTGGCTTCCTGATTGGCTAGGAAGCCGTCTTCACTTGCTGCTAGGCAGCCTGGCTTCCTGACCAATCAGGAAGCCGGGAGGTGAGTCATGATGTGGCACTGGGCTTCCTGATTGGTTGGGACGCCAGGCTGCATGAGCGTTAAGAAAACTGGCGCATGGGGTGGAGGAAGGCTTGTGTAGAACAGTCATGTAGCAGGGTCTTATTATGTTGGACAGCCAGACATGTGTTTTTATTGACTTGTGTGATCACTTTGTTTAAAAAAAAAAATGGCACAGAACACTTTATGAACCTTTTAGTTTACTGGTAAAATTCTTCTTAAAGTGACTGTCACAATTTTTGCATTTGCCAGCAAAGCCATACCTGTAGAAGAAGACTTTTTAATTCTTACCTTTTCTGCTGCCCATGCCACTAAGCACCACCACATTTATGAGAATTCTTTGCTGAAGTACTGTGAGGAAAAAAAAATGACTCTGGGAGTGTTAGTCTCCTGGGTCCCTTGTTCTGACCCAATCTGTATTGATCTGGAGGTCAGCAGAAGCAACCAGTAAAAGCCCCGGAGAACCCAGGGGATCAACACCCCTGGAAGTGTAATTTTCCCTGTGGACTTCACTAGAAGATTCCTCCTGAACATTTGGTGTATATAAACTCTTTGCACGTATAGCTTTGCTGGCAGATTTTAGTGTAGCATTAGGGTTGACTTACATTTTTCTGTTCTGGCTGATGGTTGGCAAGCTTAATTGCATTGTGTCTGCCTGATTGCAGTACTTTGCACTACAGAGTGACCATAAAAGCTCCAGAGCCTGCACTTATAAGATTGAGGTATCAGTGGCATCTCCCAGATTAAGTCCTGGCAAATTCCTTCTACAGAAACAGAAGGTTTCATTGTAGCCGCGCGTGTAGGATCACAAAACCTGGATGGGTAATAGAGCATGTTGGTTAACGCAAATTAATTGTTATTGGGCCTCAGATCTGGAAAAGCACAAAATTGTGCACATATCTTTTTGTTGACTGTATTGGATTGACTCAAGCAAGCCGCACTAAATGCACAGCCTCTGGTGTGCGGTGCGAGAAACTAGCAGATATGCTGATGCCAGCTCATCTCATTGTTTCCTTTTTTTAATAGGACTTTATTGAATTCACAAATGACTTTTTATTCAGTTCTACAGCCACAGCGCAATGCGATACTATTGGACCACGTCGCGCCTCTATGCACTGAAAAAAGTACTGCGTGCACTGAACTGCGACCATTGAAAATAAAGCTATTGCCTTGTCAGTGTGTTAAAACTGTGCTGGAAAAGGTGGCCAGCTCAGCCCCAACTCATCTGGTGTGAATTAGACCTAAAGATGCCTTATTTATTTTTGAAATAATTTTCAAATCTCCCCACTTTAAGATTAATTGGTAAAATGTGGAAATCAATTAAGGGGTTATTGGATATTTCTGACTTTACAAAATACACTCCGATATGGGATAATGGGGTACTGTACGAGGTAAAAAAACTCCAGGGATCTGGAATATGGAAGGAAATGGGGATTGAATCATTGGCGCAAATCTATGATCAGGGTACTTTGTGCTCCTTTCAACAGTTACAGGCAAGCTTTTTGCTACCAAATGCTCAATTTTATACGGTAAACGGTACCTACACGGTACATCCAGGTGTGCGTGAGGTTTGTATTAATGTAAATGCAGTTATAGATACATTTTTTGATACAACTATGATGAGAGGTTTGATCTCAAAGATGTATGTGAATTTATTACCTGGGGTCCTGAATAAATCTCCTATGAAATGTAAATGGATTTGGGGCTTCTGGATGAAGCCCTTTGGGGGGAGGCGCTGCTTTCAATCCATCTAGTTTCACCATCTGCATTGCATAAATTAAGGCCGCTTTTTATCGTACATAGAACATACCAGACCCCTGAATTCCTACATAGGATAGGACTCGGGGTAAAATTCTAAATGTCCAAAGTGTGGGGGTTGAAACCTGGTTCGTGGATACATCTGCTGTGGCGATGCCCGAAGTTGAAACGTTCATTTAGCCATATAATATTTTACTAGTTTAGCATCCACTTGGCAAATATGATTGCAAACATGTTCTTTTCCAATTAAATGGGTCCTTCACCATTTAAATCTGCTACTCCTTTTAGCCTTACAGAACATCATGATGAAACAGATTGTGGACAGAGCAAGGAAGGCGTTTAACACCGGAAAAACGCGGTCATTGGATTTCCGTCTTCAGCAACTCCAGGCTGTGAAAAGAATGATCAATGAAAATGAGGCTGAGATAAAGAAAGCCTTGATAGCAGACTTGCACAAGGTATGTGGTTTATTTACTGTTCATTGTCACAATGCATAGAGGTCAAGACTATTGCCTAACAGTTTCATGTGATGTTAGTCTTTGGTAGTGTAATACATTTCAATTTTGCTTTCCTGTACTGTAAAAAGATGCCTGCAGATCTAAGGATTTTCCCAGCTCATTAACATTTCTACATTTATTCAATTGTGTAGTACTAAAAGAAATTCTGATTCTACACAACACTTCATCATTCTAGTTTGATGTAAAAATGATGAAAATGTAAGTCAAGTATTACCTTGATTGTTTGCTGTGCTTAGATCACCATCACACTCTTTGAAAGGTTCAAAGAATGATGTTCTATGCCCGCATCAGCCAATCAGATCGTTCAGTCATGTAGTCAGACAAGTCAAAAAATTATTCTGATCTTCAATAGAAGAGACAGGCGCAATATTCCAGCTAACACCTCTGTAGTAAATTGTACAAAATATGGCTTGGAAATAGAAGTGTGTAAATGGTAGTACAGTTTGCTTTGTGTTGCCTCTAGTGTTTTAGATAATGAGAAGTCATGGAAGTGTCATTTTCACTTCCTCAAACTTCAAAAAAATGAAATTCGGTACAATGAGCTAGTCCAACAGTTGACGAATATGGCAAAATTCCAACCAGAAAAATGTAATTGTCATCCAGCATTAATATACTGAAGAGCAAAGTGCTCACAGCTGTGGACTGCTATACAGGTTTGGCTAGCTGTGGGTGCATGCCCTCTCTCTGTATCAAACAGTCTACACCAGTGGTGGTCAACGTACTTGATATAGGGGGCTTCAAATGTGGCTAACATGCAACAACAGATGGTCGGACACTGCAAACATGCTTTAGGAGTAGTTGAAAGCTGGGGATATGCTTCAGGAGATGGTCAATGATTGTAGCACATGAGACTGCTAGAGATCACTTTGAGGGCTGGTGCAGACTTGAGCGATGCATCGCGTGATCGTGCAATCGTGTACGGTTGCACAAGGTGGTTGCCACATGGCCCCATTGATTTAATTGGGGGTTTTTTTAAACAATTGCTCAGGCGGAATCGTGGCGGGAAACCGCTCAATCTGCCTGGTGCGACTGGAGTGCCATTAGAAATTAATGGCATCGCCAGTGTGATCAGCGTTGGAGGGCAAAACGGTTTTGTGTACGATTGCCGCGTGGTCACGGATCGCCCGGGTGTGAACCTGGCCTGACTGCTCTTTCAAATTAGTGCATCTTCATTTGTGCTCTCTACAGCCCCCTTAAAAATGACTTGTGCCACAAACGATATTTCTCTCAGTGAGATCCATTATAAAATACAAGAGAAAAACAAAGAGATGGGCAGCAATATGTTTCCTTCACTGACCTGAGTAAGCACCAAAACATAGAATAGTGCCTGCAGGGATCCTGAAGGCTGCATGATAATGGCTAAAAGGGCCAGCGCTTGGGCATTAGGGGTCTACACCACTCAGGTGACCGATTTGGTTGCTAGGTAATTGGGCAATGCTTGTGATCGGTCACCTGACCCGGGTTCCTGACACTCATTGACTGACGGACGGCACAATGATCTTTGGTAATATATATGCGCAGACAACTCACTGCGCGTACACTGTGAGAGCCGGTCCCCTAGACATGAGCAGCCAGCAGGAAGCAACTCAGATCCATGGATGACACGGATCGGAAAAAAGCAGGTAGATCTCGGGCAATGCAAGATCACCACTACGGACAAGATATTTTACCAGCATGCATCTGTATCATGTGTTCAGCATATAGCTAATTGCACCTGGGCAGCATGGTGTGAATCACGTCATTAGGACGTCAGAGGAGGAGGTATTAACTGCATTGTGATTGGTGGTTTGATTTTGTTTCACCTGTATTTATTGTTTGATTTTGTTGCTTGACCCACTCTCTGTTTGCCTGAGGACGGGACCACAATGTCGCTAAGGAGATTTGTGTTATCTCAGTCAATAAACAGCATTGACTTTAATATCATGGAGTGCGAGTGACTACTTTTAATCTAGCTCACAAAATGAATCTCCTCACAAGCAGCTCCAGCCACACTCCCTCCTTGGTGAGCCAGGAGGAGAGAAATCACAGATCATATATTAGTGTGGGAGAGCTGAAGAAATCCCAGCTCCTTGCAGAGTCTACAAGGGAGGATGTGTGGGCGGAGACAGAAGACCCGCCCCCAGCATGTTGTAGTCCTTCACATGAACCAGCACAGAGGGTGGCTACCTTTCAACTGCCATAGGGACCATGGAGAAGAAAAGTAGCCATCCTCTGGCAGGAAGTTGTGGCTGGGGAAAAATAAAATGGATTTCGGAGCATTTAGAGCTGAACAATGACAAAATAAGGTACAAAGTAATTTAATATGCTATATTTATTTTTTAACTTCTGAGTTTAGTGTCGCTTTAAATCAGTGGAAGTCTCTTTTACTAAAACTTGGTGGAAAAACAGTTTTTTGTTTTTTTAACTTCCATTCCATTGTGTAGAGCATGCTCCTACTTATTTTTTTTTTTTTCAATGCAACAGAACAGAGTGGTGTGAACTGGTCCCATTCACACCCATTTATTTTTTGGGTTACCTTCCATTGACATCCATTGTGAAAAAACGATCACAATGGATCTGGTGTGACTAGGGGCCTCAATTTTTTTTTTTTTAAGAGTGGGAAATGGGTAAAACTTATGTGTTACTGCAGTCTGGGGTTGTGTAGGCGACATTTCCCATCACTTACTGCACTGAGTAGTGGGAGGCTGAAACGCCAGTCAGCTTTTTATTACTGTGTTTCCCTCTAGACTTTCCCTTACATTATGTCTGGTGAGACTGTGACCGCAAGTGAGGGTAAGTGTCTAAGGCCCAGACAGCAAGAGCCCAGCAGGTGTTTGAACCTATCCCCTCTTTTTCCAGAACTTAAAAAAAAAACAGTTTGGGCTGTAGCTCTAATAACACTCCTAACACATAACCTAGAGCAGTACACTGATGCTAATATTTACACTCTCACTTAAAGCTATGTACTCCTGTAATCAAAAATTCACCATAAGCATACAATTCAGTGTAATATACTGGGGGCGGGGTTGAGCTCTGTGCTGAGAAGAGATCCTGACAATACTGTCTGGATCCTCCTCTGCCATTGGGCGACAGCTTGTAGGAGCTGCTGTGCGTTCATGAGAACCCGTGCAGACGCTGAGCGCACATCCTATCAGAGTTTATTCACGTCAGGTGACAGGTCTATGGACACTTGCACATCCATCCTGCAGTTTGTCTTTCATTCCCCCTTTCCTCCTCACTATTGTCTCCGGACAATACACATATCACATCGGCACTAAGACCGCCAGTTCACTAAGCCCTCCTCCCCCCTGCTGTCTTGGGAGATACATAGGGAGAAGAAGAGCTAAAGACGAGTGAAGGAGAGGTGGGGCAAGAACAAAGCTGAACTGATGGGTCTTACTGCCGATGTGGTATGTGTATTGTCTGAAGAGAGCAGAAAGACAAACTGCAGGTTGGATGTGCAAGTGTTAATTCTGATAAAATTTACCCTGAGCTGCTGCGCTCTACAAGTTCTCATGAACACACAGCAGCTCCTACAAGCGGCTATCCTTCAATGGGAGAGGAGGATCCAGACAGTATTGTCGGGATCGCTTCTCAGCACAAAGCTTAGCCCCATCCATATTATATTACACTGAATTGTAAGCTTATGGTGCAATTTTGATTACAGGCGTACATTGCAAAATGTATTCCTGTATCATAAGAAAACTATTTTCTTATCTGCTATTTAAAATGCAAAAAAGGTGTACCCCATAGTTCCTTTTAATGTTAAAATACGTCCATACCCTAACTGAACCTTTTACCCTTATTCCTAACTAGGGATGCACCGATACTTTTTGAGTACCAGTGCCGATACTTGGCATTTTCATGAACTACCAGGGTTGCAGCTGGGACCTGGCTCTGGCGCTCCACCACTGTCCTGAATTCATTAGTCTGTATTGTTTTAGAAAAACTGTCACATGACAATAAACAAAAATGTATCAGTACCCGTACTTGTGAGTACTTGGGCAAGTACCAGTACCTGTACTCACAAAAATGGTATTGGTGCATCCCTGTAGTTATATTTATAAAAATAAACTTGTACATTAAAACAGAGATGTACAAATCCCAGGAGCTCCGTGTGCTCCTTTTTAAAAATGAAAGCTGCCTCCTAACTTTTACATTTTTCTCCAGTCTAGTCTTGGCGCTCAAAGTTGGCGCTCAAAGTATCGGTACTTGTACTTGCACCGCGTACTGTACTTGGTATCGGTGCATCCCTATTCCTAACACTTAAGTTTGCCCCTAAAGGGATGTACTTGCCTTATCAAGAAGTGGAAAGCGTTAGTGCTGTGCCAACTGTTGGACCTATATAGATTCTGTAAAATTAATATTTATAATCCAAAGGTGATGAAAGTAGGCAATGCTTTATATTGGCTCTGGTTTAAAGGAGGGATAATGCTGATATATGATATATAAATAATTAAGGCCTAATGTTCTAAGCAGTTTTTTTCTGTTTTCCAGAATGAATTAAGTGCTTACTCATATGAAATATTGGGGCTCTTGGGTGAAATTGAATTGACTATTGACAATCTCCACAATTGGGCAGCACCCCGACATGTTCAAAAGACTTTAATGACCATATCAGATGAAGCGTACATTAACTATGAGCCTCTTGGAGTTGTCCTGGTCATCGGAGCGTGGAATTACCCATTTGTGGTTTGCTTGCAGCCTGTAGTGGGCGCCATTGCAGCAGGTACAGAAATGTTGTTCGTATATTTCTATCTTAAATCTACCGTATTTGCCGGTGTATAAGACGACCCCCCCCCTACTTTTTGTGTTAAAATATAGGTGTTGGGCTATACTCGTCATATAAGACGAGTATAGTACCCGGTTTATAAGACGACCCCCTGTCTGAACTAAAATTGTTTTAACTGATTAACTTGATTCTCATGATCAATATTTATAGGAGGCAGATTCTTTGATCTAGGTTTCCGATCCCTCCTCTCCTCTCCTCCTTTTAATCACAGAATATCTTGTATTCTTTAGAAAAAAATTAGACCTTTTTGTGAATGTAGGATAAAGGAAAGGGGTGGGTGATGCAACCGGAGCTCTGTACTGCTTGGGAAGCATCATTTCCTCTCTTTAGTGTCCATAAGCTGTGTATTCTGTGCAAACAGTTCATCCCCACACAGCTACCTCCTAATGTATCACTTGTCCCTCCCTTTTGGATTGTAAGCCCTAAGAGGCAGGGCCCTCCTTACCATCTCGTCCTTAATTGTATTGTGATTGTAATGTCCTCCCTTGTATTGTAAAGCGCTGCGCAAACTGTTGGCGCTATAAAAATCCTGTATTATAATAATAATGCTGCAAGGTAATTTTTTTCTACTTTGCAGCAGCCCTCTGCATATAACACACAGCTTTATAAAAATGTACATACTCTGTACAGTGTGTAAATTATTATACTGCCGGGTGTGTGGCTTTAAATATGACTCATGGCACCACTAAATGGAGTTTCTGGGGCCTCCGTCTACCCAAAGCAGTTTTTCCCCAACACCAAACCCATGCACCACAGTTGGGCCACAGAGAAATTGTCAGTGGTTACCTTCTTAACACAGTTCTACACAAGGTTCATAGATTTGGGGATCAAACAGCAAATATCATATTTTAAAGTGAAGCTTTCCCCTAAAAAATTGCTAAATGGTAGTCTGTGTAGTCTCTTCTGCCATAAAAGCTCCTTTCTAATTTCAGCAATCATTTTTTTTTTCTGTATGCTGAGCCGTGCATGTGATGCTCGGTGCACAGACGAGATGAAGTAACTCCCATGCGCAGCAGTTGCATCATGCCGGCCAATCAAAAGGGCCAAAGACGCCGAATGTGGAAGAAGGGAGAAGATGGTAAAGCTCCCATAACATGCTAATATGCTGCACTTACTAGCATATTATGGCTAAAGGCTCCATGGGGCTTTTTTAAATTATTTTTTTATCAAACATGCCTTCACTTCTGCTTTGATTCTATAACTGTTACATTCATTTTGAAAAGCTTTTGTAAATGAAAGTGTTCTGCTGTGCCTCTGTGTGGATGTGTCCATGATACCGGGTGCTATTTATGTTTTGCTCCTCTTTATCTAAAAAGGTAACGCTGTGGTCATCAAACCTTCTGAAGTCAGCGAACACACAGCCAAAGTTTTGGAGAAAATTATTCCTCAGTACTTGGATAAGGTATATCTTGGTTTTTGAAAAGCTAATTGCACGACGGGTTTCCAGTTTGAAATTCTGCACAACTGTCTTGTGCAGTTACACATTGTCCCAGTCACAGCTGAATGCTAGGGTTGTGGTGAAGGGGATTGACACCAGTGGATATATAGCCCACAGCTTTATTTGAAAACAGTGAATACTGTTGTTTTACTCCATGTCTTTTTAGACCAAATCTGTAGCAGAGCTGCAAACGCAGTGCATTTTTTTGGTGCGCTTTTGACGTGTTTTGTTTTTTTGGGGGGTTTTTATGCTTAAAAAGGGCTTTCAGGTACAGTCCAGTGCGTTTACACGCATTTTGGTGCGTTCCAGACCAGAAAAAATAGTGCGTGCAGCATTTTTTTTCCCCGCACCGGAATGGACTGCACTGGTGTGAACAGAGCCCAGAGATGCCATTCAGGTGCAGACAAAAATTGTTCTGGTCCGGGTCTGGTCTGGACATGTGAACTTGCCCTTATCCTCATAAGAATGAATGGTAATGCACAACATCACATGCATTATTCATCTTTGTGCTCTTAAAAACACATCTAAATGATGGATCTGTCAATCACGCGTACAGTCTGCTTTCGGATTCATTTGACCGTGCGTCCAGGGAGAGTGAAACACTACTGCTTAGGTGTGAATCCGGTGTGTGCGTGTGTGTGTGTGTGAGTGTGTGTGTGTGTGAGTGTGTGTGTGTGTGAGTGTGTGTGTGTGTGAGTGTGTGTGTGTGTGAGTGTGTGTGTGTGTGAGTGTGTGTGTGTGTGAGTGTGTGTGTGTGTGAGTGTGTGTGTGTGTGAGTGTGTGTGTGTGTGAGTGTGTGTGTGTGTGAGTGTGTGTGTGTGTGAGTGTGTGTGTGTGTGAGTGTGTGTGTGTGTGTATATATATATATATGTATCTGAGAGAGTAGTATGTAGTATTCTACCTTTTTTGTTTGCTTTCAGTAAATATATTGGAAATTATCCACATGCTTACTGTTTTGTTTTTTCTTTTCTTGAAGGACCTGTACCCTGTGGTGAATGGTGGAGTGCCAGAAACAACAGAGCTACTTGAACAAAGATTTGATCACATTTTCTATACAGGCAATACTGCTGTTGGCAAAATAATCATGACCGCAGCTGCTAAAAATCTGACTCCGGTGACCCTTGAGCTCGGGGGGAAGAGTCCATGTTATATTGATAAGGACTGTGTTATTGATATTGCTGCCAGGTGAGTGAGTGCATTCTGTTGCTGAGAATAAAGATCAAAGGTAGGATAGCCTTGTGTACTCTATCCTTTCTACCTTTTTGCAAAATCTTCTTTTAATGAGCACATGCTGATGTGCTGCTCTTAGGGTCATAATCCACACATAGTTCAAAGGTACATCTAAAAAAATATGCAGTAAGGACCTGTGTCCAGTTTGCCAGAATTGTGCATTAAATGCATATGATTTCCTTTATCTAATTCACTAGTCTTTTTATTTCTGTGTGTGTCATCATCCTGACTATTTACACAACACTTTACATACTGTACAATGACATCAGTCACTGCCCTCTAAGGACCTTACAATCGAAGGTCTGTATCTCACATGCATGTGTATAACTACACACGTACCAGGGCCAATTTAGACCGTGGCCATGTAACCTTATCATTCCTTGATCTTATATTGTACTCACTGCCTGACTACCCCAAGGCCCAATGGTATTAGCAGGCTGCAGCTCTTGCCTTCTGTCTAGCCTACTTCATTCCCCATGTACAGTTTGAACACAGGCACCATCACCGTTTTAATAAAAGCACCGGCACAGGACTGGACTCCAAAGGAGGAAAGACTTGGAACAGTGATCTTTAAATCTTGAGGTCAGATACTCAGCCTTGATCCTGTGTAATAATGCACAAATCCCCATGACAATAGCCAACTTTTTCCAGGCTCTGGAATGTGCAACCAATGAGTCTAGTGGATTTTGTCCCTTTTTTGTGTTTTCTGCATTTTAACAACGGTTGAGTTGATATCAGCTATATAGGAGTGCATTGTTTTGAGTAAGTCAATCTGGGCTTACATTGTGGAAAGAAGCAGTAAAGCACACTCAGTGTATGACACTGCAAATCAGGAAGTAAAGCACAAGTATGTAATAGGCAAATATGGCTGCCCCCTGACCTGGCTGTGCTGTGTGGTAGGACGATGTATATCTTAGAAATGGATGGACATGAATAGAAACTCTTTGGCAAGTAAAAAATCTCTCCTATATTTCCACTGCGTATATAGCTGTTTGCGTTGGGTCCAGGTTTAATCCCTTCATGACTGAGTCCTTTTTTTAAAAAATTTTGCACCCATTTTATATTCCACATTTTAGGCCTGAAAATTACTTAAAATTCCCAAACAGTATATATTTTCTGAAAGCTGAGACCCTATAGAATAAAATGGTGGCAGTTGCAAATTTTTATGTTGCACGACATTAGCGCAACTCCTTCATCAAACCCCAAAATTTAGTGAAAAATGCCCCAAAACACAATAAAATACCCATTTGTTTATTACAATATAAAAGATGAGGTTACAACGAGTAAATGGATACCCAACATGCCCATGTTAAAAATTGTGTGCGTCCGTGGAACGGCGCCAAAAAGTCCATAGATGACACTTTAAAAGCCCCCACAGGTCATCAGTTTAGAGATGCCCAAAAATACTTGCCGTAGAATTATTGCTCTCACTCCGGCGTGTGCGGCAATTCCCAACATGTGTAGCGCGTTCGTCGTTATCATACGTAGGCACACCCGATGTGTGTTTACGTGAAGACGCGCATGCTCACGGGGGACTTTAAAAACAAAACATTTTTAATTATTTTTACATTTAATTTTAAAAACAGATATATATTTTATTATTTTTTAACTTTGCCATCACATGGGGGGCTTGCAAGCCCCCCATGTGATAGCAGATGGTGGTGACAGGTACTCTTTTTTAAGGTAATGCTGGGGGTCCCAAAGACCCCCAGTGTCACTTTTACACTCTCCATAAGCTATTGAAGTGCAAATCGCACTTCAATCGCTTATAGCTGGGCTTCAGGAGCCAAGCACTGACAGCTATGGTACTGGAAGTGATGCAATCTGGTTCGTCCATCTCCTCCCCAGCTTCCTGCTGACACCAAAGAAGCCGGTCCCAGGCCCTTCGGAGGGGCAACGGAGCCCGGGAAACACGTGGGGAGAGGGGACGACACACCCGTTCACCGGCCGCCCGTAGAAGCGATCTGGCGGCAGCTGAGCCGCCAGAATCGCTTCTGCTGTAAAGCCGACAGTCAAGCTTTTTCCGCCGGGAGTCTGTTTAAACAGCCCCAATGCCAGCGACGTACACTGTACCTCGCTGGTCATGAAGGGGTTAAAATATGCATGGATACCTTTTTATTTACAAGTATATCAAGGTTACACAGTATATCAACATTGGACTAAACTGGAGCTGCCACAGGTTCAAATTGTAAAACGTTCTAGACTTGAACCGGGTAAAAGGTTTTATAACTGTGCTGAAAGCCAAATCTTGCAGTCATATCCAGGCAAGCTCATGCGTGGCCTAGATTTTACTTTTCTATATAGTAATGCCTATGCTGTAATAGTGACACCCAGTTGTTACATCATAAAATATGCAGTTGATATAAAGCTTCTGGTTTCAGATTGCATTTTCATAGTTAATCTGTCACAAAGATTCCGTTCCATCAGAAACTTCTCATGGAAGCTGGCACGCCCAAACTCACAAGTTGCATCATTGTATGTGGCTTGTGGGTCTCAATGACTTCTTTCATCTCTGCTTTCAGAGCTGACTTTAATATGGTTTTATTTGTAGACGTGTGACCTGGGGAAAGTTTGTCAACTGTGGTCAGACATGTATTGCTCCCGATTATGTCCTGTGTGAGAAGTCCATCCAAGGGAAACTACTGGAGAAAATCAAGGACACGATAAAAGTAAGTAAATGTGGTCCACATTGGTATCATCCGGGTGTTGTAAAAGAACAAGACAGATCTATCAAAGTAGCTGGAAATGTGACTAGAAAGCTTGTTGTTCGCATTTAGTGTGTGCTTTACACTTCGTTACTTGTTTTAAAAATGGAGCTGGAAATACTCCTGTGTCAAGAAACAGGAGTGAGATTCCATGCCCTAAAATCCGATCTCTTCACCAGCACTCAGTTTGATGATCACAAAACATATTCCTTATCTGTGTAAGCCCCAGGATTAAATAAAAAGGTCTATACACATCATGTCTTTCTCTCCATCACTTCTTAACACTACTCTACCCCCCTCCATTAATTTACATTCCGCAGGCAGACCCCTACCCCCTTTTAGAAACTTTCAGTCCTCCCCAAATGTTTAGCACACGCCCATTCCACAGCCAGGCAACAAACCTGGTTTCTGTTTTTATTGTATAAAGCATTTTATTTTTTTATATTTTTTTAGTTGGTTGAAGTATCTCTAAAAACAAAACCTGTATTACAACTTGAAAAGAATCTGCTTGTGTTAATCCACGAATTAAGACATTGGTATCTGTTAGCTGGTTTCCCCTTCTCTGACTCTCAGATCTATTTTTGCCACAGCAGCAGCTTGAAAGTAGGGAAGCTTTACAGAGGTAGGCCTTGCAGAGGTCCACCTGCTGGCTGCAGTTGATAATAATAAATATGCCTTAGCAGTATCTTTTATATTTACCTCATTAAAAATTAACAACTTTAAAGAAGAACTCCGTGTAGAAGAAAACTTTACCCTTGCAGTGGGGCTACCCCCGCACTGTAAAGGTTAAGTGCTCGTTTTCGTCTAGAGCCTAAATTTTTAAAGATGCTCACCCGAACCTATGTCCCACCTAGCTGCTAGACCGGTCCCTGCGGCCTCTTTTCCTCTCCAGCGATGGAATGTCCCTTTGCTTCCTCATGTCCAATACACTGTATTGGTCCTGATGACTCACACAGGTTCTTAGACTGCTGGAACGAAGAGGGAGAGAGACTGTTAGGACTGGTCTAGCTGTCAGTTGGGAACGTGGTTCGGGCGGGTATATATTTGTTTTAGGTCCTAGACAAAACCGAGCACTTTACCTTTGCAGTGCAGGGTAGCCCCACTGCAAGGGTTAAGGTTTCTTCTGCCCGTATTTCTTCTTGAAAATTGTAACAATGTAATTTATTTTATTAGTACTAAAGATAATAAAGTATATCAAACACTTAAAGTTCCCCTAGCTTTGACATTATGGATTAGCAATACAGGAATTTTATGGAGTTTTTAATCTTAATTTAGTATGGCCGTTTTATTTTTGTTTAGGAATATTATGGAGAAAACCCCAAAGAATCTCCGGACTATGAGAGGATCGTTAACAAGCGCCATTTCAAGCGTGTCCTTGCCTTGTTAGAAGGAGAGAAGGTTGCTATTGGAGGGCAACATGAAGAAGATACCTGCTTTATAGGTATATAATACCGTAATAAAACAACTTGGTACACATGGTAATATTGTATGATTGAAATTTGGACGTATGCATAACTGTTCTATGAACTCTGTGTGTATGGTTGCTTTCATCAAGGAGAGTTGGTTATATCAGGAGGTTTCAAAGAGAGTCAGGCACAACCAAGAAAAGTGAGTGAACCACTAGTATGAGGATTTTGGAGGGTGGAATTTCAGCTACATCTGTTATGATAAAGTGGGTATATGCTGGTACCATCTCATTGAGAGAGAAGGAAGAGAGGTATATGTCATTTCCATCATCAACCATTTCATAAGCATCATGCCTCTCATCCTTTTTAAACTCAGGAGTTAAATCTTAACCACTTCAAGACCAGGTGTTTAGACCCCCTTCCTGGCCAGGCCATTTTTCAGTATTCAGCGCTGCAGTACTTTGACTGACATTTATTCCGTCATGCAACGCTGTACTGAAATTAATTTTATACCATTTAGTGGGGACAGATAGAGCTTTATTTTGGTGGTATTTAATCACCACTGGGGTTTTTATTTTTTACTATAATTAGGAAAAATTAATGAATTTTGAGAAAAATTTACATTATGTTAGGAAACACTTATTATTACCCAGTTAGTCCTTGTGTGTGGTGTAAAGTAGCCACTGCTCCGAGCTCACTCCTGTGATGGACTACAATCACAATACAAATTAGTAAACTAAACATGAGATTGTAGTCCATCACTGGAGTGATGGAGCAGTGACCACTTTAATCAAAAACTATGTAACCCCTAAACAAAGAAATCCCTTTCATGGAGCTGTCTAGTAACCAGGTAACACAGTTGATAAATTATGGTGTATATAAGGCAATATTTAATAGATAGAAAAAGTACACAAAACATTAAATCACCTACTACAAGACATCTAAAATCATTTAAAACGAAAGGACGACCTCCCCTGGATAACCCAATTAGAAATAATGTGGGTGATGCTCCGTGAACCACCTAAGTGGCAGATAGTCACTGATGCAAGCCCAAGTGCTGTGTTTCAAAAGTAGATACAAATGTATCGGAGATTACTCACTCTGTGTGTGGCTCAGATGAGGAGCAGTCCTTGTGTGGTTCCGTATTGAAAGTGGATAAACTGTTTCAATGAAACATGTCTTTATGTTGATTTGTAACTCCACAAGATCATCACGTTGGATCCAAAGGCTCATTGAGAGTCTCTCCCCCAGCTCATTTGTACTGACACTGACCCGCGGGATTCAAACAATTCCCGATCCGTGGAGGAATCGGGGAGTTTCCCCAGCAAGTTCGGCCACACAGCGAGATGGAACAGGGCAGAATCCCAGAGATGATGTGTCCGAGACACACTGGACCGGAAGACTGTATGGGTTCAGGCAGCATGAGCCAACAGGCTTTTCTCGGTCTCGGCTTAAAAATCACACGGATCTTGCTGCTGCTGTGATACGGCAGTGTCCAAACAGACTTGGCTTAGTCCTGTCAAGCAGCAGAACATCTTCATTCACCCGACAGCGTATGCATAGTAGATCTCGGGTGTCCAGGGAGGTCTGAAAACACGCTACCCCTAACACGTTTCCCCCCAAACAGATGGGGCTTCCTCAGAGGGGCGTGTAGTCAGTATCCTGTGTAGGTGTGCTATATAGCTCCCTAATGAAAGCTTAATGAGATTCAGATTTGACACAGTAGTTTGTGAGCCATTCTTTGATTGAAGCCGGCTCGTATCTCAGAAAATTGTTATAAAAGGCGCCTGTGAAGCCATAAACATACTCCCCAGGTCTATCGTCATTACTTACAAGTATCTAAAAAAACCTGACACATAAAATGATACTGATTCCCACAATGTTCGCCAGTGTACACCTCAAAAAGATCAGCACAATGGCTACTTTACAACACATACAGCAACCATGGGGAACAAAAGTAGCCACCCTCCAGAACGAAGGACAGCGTCGACACCAATTCAGAGATGATTTGAGGATGTACAGCTGAGTGATACGTAAATAAGATACATTTTTGTTAATAGTTAGGGCACTTCAATGTATTTTTAAGATTTAACTCGTTTAGTGTCACTTTAGGTGCTCATTAGGCAACAAACTAAACCCCTTTCAATTTCTAGCAATTATATTTTGTCCTCTACTTGGCAGAGAAGGTGGTGCATACAGTAAAATGGTATATGACTTTAGGTCTTGGTCAATACTAGACCTCCATGGAGTAAGAATATTTGTATTTCTGTCACAGAGCTAGGCAACCTCTAGCCATTAACCAAGTAGCTGGTCAGCCCTGATCACTGTGATTCAAGGAATGAATGTGCACATTCTGTACTGGTGGATGTGTACACAGAAGTTATATGCCAAATATCAGACACTTAGTACTTCAAAGTGTCCAGTCCACTAGATCCTTAGAACTAGGGGTGTACAGATACCAAGTCCCGTACTTTGTACAAGTACAGATACTTTTTCAGCTCCATTTGAAAGACTAGAAAAACTCAAAAGTTAGGAGGCGGCTGTCATTTTTTAAGGAGCATTGGCTTGGTTAGTCTACCAGATAACGGTCTTACTGCTGCTTATGGCACATGGGGGGGCTATGGTGAAACTTTTATTTACATAATGTTTGTGAAGAAAGTAATTTTATTGCTGGACAAGGATCAATGGGAGAATATACAATTTGCATGTTAACCATAAACAAAAAAAGTGCTCATTTCCTTTTTGTCTGTGGATTATAGCATTGCTGGATTTTTATTGTATGTATCTTTTTTTTATAAGTTCCAAAAAATGCCTGTTGAACCTGCCAGTACTTGGTCCTTTTTACTACTTCCTGTGTCAGGGTGACAACACTACCTACAGGCTCCTATTCCTGTGTTTTGCCATGTCATCCTCCATGTACACTCTCCCAGGCTGTATAATCCTGATGCCAGCCTTCGACAGACATCACAAGCATATACGCCTCCCACTGTATCTGAAAGTATTTGATAGTGGCTCCTTTTTTCTGGAGTCTTGAACTCAACACTTCAGAGAATGTGAGTGCATCATGTTGTCTGTGGGATCAGCACTAGCCATAGGCTGCGATTTAGACCCCTCCCATCGCCCTGACGCATGGCATGCAGAGAGAATTGTGGTTAAATGATCGCTGTAAAAAAAGAAATAAGTTATTTATTGGTTTTGATGTAAAAAAAAAAAAAGGTACATATGTTTACTGTTGGATTATGATATAATTGTGCAAACTGCTGTGACTTCATATATACTTTGACATCTACTTCACTTTTAACCTTGAATGAACTGGAAGGAACAAATATAACCACGTACATCCATGTTTTGGATCCATTCCTGTATATTTTCAAGTTTATGCAGAAATATAGATTGACATGTAATGTCTTTATTTTATTACAGCACCAACTGTCCTGACTGATGTTAAAGGCGACGCTAAGGTCATGCAGGAAGAAATTTTTGGCCCACTCCTTCCAATTATAACTGTTCAAAATGTAGACGATGCCATTCAGTTCATAAACCAGAAAGAAAAGCCTCTTGCACTGTATGCATTTGCAAATGACAAAAAGGTAAGAGTCCTCTAAGTTAAAGGAAAAACTGCTCTTCTTGTAGAAAATGATTAAATATATTTAATTGCAGAAGGCTGCCTTTCTGTACACAGTTGCTTAGGTTGTTTTAGACCAACTGTGCCTAAAACTGGGCATGTGTATACCTTGCATGGTTTTAAAGTCAACAGTTGCTGGATATGAGTTAGATGATGTGGCTCATTGACGTGTGTGTGTGTGTGTGTGTGTATATAGTCTTCTTGTGTCCATTCCTTTACCAAATTACTAGATCTTGTGCAGGCAATAAGTGCCAGTGGTCTGTATGCAACCAATTTCACTGTATCTGTAGTTGGCCTGATTCGCTACAGATCAGTCTGCCCAAGCCCGAGTCGGGTCAGGTGCCTTATCTGTGTATATGTGGGAACCATACGTTTTTATAAAGGTTTTTCTTCCATTCTTACAAAAACTTAAGTCTGCCACTGAAAGCCATGCTGAAATCCTTGATTGAAGTAAACTGTTACCACATACAGAAATGGTGATTACCAGAGGGATAAATAATTCAATGTCGTTTCTAGCTTTTTACATGGTGCATTTTGAGTTATGTCATAGTAATAAAAAAATCTAATTATATTTCTGCTTATGAGGAGGATAATATTATATCATGTGTTTCCATTATAGGGGAAATTAGTGCTGCTTTTAAAAATGGTTCTTTCTTAAGCCTTTTTGCTAAAATAATTTTATGTATTGTCTCTTGTGAAAATTAAAAAAAATGTTGCAGACCATAAAGTAGTTGATTTTTCGTTTTAAAGTGTTTGTCAAAACTTGTTTTCTTGATCGTACAGGGCACAGGGTGAATCAAGGCGACTGGTTTATAGCGATATCAGGTGACTGGACACTGGCCAGAGCTGTAGAAGCCTATATAACCCCTCCCACCACAGCAGATCCCAAGTTTTTTGATAGTCTCCTTAGATGATGGATCTGTTTTTTCGTTCTCTGAGAAAACATAATTAAATCTTGCCTTATGATGTCTTCAATCAAAATTCTTAGCTGCGTATGGCCATATTGACGATGGTTTAATTTTTCCATGTCTGTGTCCTGTTCTCTAACCTCTCCTAGTTGCCAGGGTCCCTTGCTTGCTGGCCTCCCTGGTGCGTCTATTGGCCCCTCTTTCCCCCCACCCTCCTCAGGCACGGTGCAGTGGCCTTCCCTGGAGGATGGAGCTCTTGGTGTCCCCCTGGATTCTCCCCCATCTAGAAGGGGGTCGGATCCTTCTCTGCAGTAGGCTCTGCCGGAGATCTTGCCAGAGTCCTTTTTTCTTCTGCAGGGACTCGCGCATGCGCAGTGGGGACTCTGATGGCCATCTTGTAGCAGGGCAGGGTTGCAGATGAGTGAGGAGGGACAGGGAAGAGGGAAATTTTGGGCGGTGCAGGCTGCTGTGGAGAGAGACCCTGCTCTTGGCTTATGGTCGCTTGGAGGAACAAAGCTTTTTTTTACTTCAAGCTACTGTGGAGAGGTGGCTGAGGCACTGGTTAGAGAACCACTTACTGTGAGTACCCTTGGGGCTGCTCACTATGTTGGTATTGAGACATAAGAGGACAGGGTGAAAGGGGAACTGGTACAGCAACCGTTAGTGGTCGTGTTGGGTTACTGAAGGTTCCCCCAAAGACATGTCTGTGCACCTTTTAATCCCTTACCCTCTATTGCATCTACTTCATAGTCGGCTGGACCTCATTCCTCCTCTTTAAGTAAAGGATGATTATGAAGCTTCTATGTCAGTTTTCATGGGTCAGGTTTCTGCCATGATTGAGGTGTCAGGCCGCAGAGGACGTAAACTAAGTCCCCCTTATCCTGCCCATTCTGACTCTCTCTTTTCTGAGCAGGATGAGGATGGTGAGGAGCTGGAGGGAAGTTCTATTTCCTATTCTGCAATGCTGTCCCAAAATCTTGTAACACCATATCGGTCTTCACCCCTTCGTGACAGGAGACGTACACTGTACGTCCCGCCACAAAGGGACCAAATGACTTGTCACGTACACTGTACGTGATGAGTTATTTGCTGCACTAGAAGGCTGGTAACCGCTGAGAATCAGCGGTTATCATTCATTAATGGATGCCTTAAGTTTAGAGGCATCCATTAATGAAAGGGTTAACTTTTTTTCAGACACCTGATACCTGAAGATCGGGTGTCTGAGAGTCACAGCAGCGCCGGCAAACATGCTGGCTTTTGCCGGCATTCTGACAGCTCGTATAGATCGAGAGATATCTCTCTCAAGCTATACTGGCTTTTTTTTTTTCTTTCAGGAATAGATACATAATGTATCTATTCCTGAAAGAAGAATGTTTCAGTTTGCTGATCGTTGTTGTAACAATCAGAAAACTAGTGACAGCTGAATCCTGAACTGCTGCAGGATCAGTGTCACTAACTTATTATCGGCTGTTCTGAAGTTTGAAGCAGCCTGATAATAACCAAAAATGTATTAATTTATCAAGCAGTAATAGTGAGATTAATTCACAATGACTGTTTTGATATAATTAAATAAATAAAATAACATTTTTAAGTTTTAAAAATAAAAAGTGAAAAGTGTAAAAACAAAACTAAGTGTAAAAAAAAAAGATTAAGGGACAAATAAATGAATGTATTTATTGAATTTTTTTTTTATAGCTGTGCTGGTTTTGTAAAAAAAATACTACAAATCAAAACTGGGAAAAAATTGTTTTTTTAAGGTTTTTTCCTCCTTTTTTTTATATTTTATTTGTCCTAAGTGAGGCGTTAGACACACATATATGTGATATAAATATGTAGCCCTATCTGTCCTCTAAAAAACAATATATAATATGTGTGGGTGCACTTTGTAAGAAAGTATATTACTGACGTGGAAGAATCACACAGCAAAAATGTCAAAAGTGTGTCAGTCATTTACGAACAGAAACGAAAAACAAGCTGTCATGAAGGGGTTAATCGATGAGGTGAGGGAATGCTTGTGACTGCCAAGGTCACAAGTATGGGTTCCTAAATAAATAAAGGTCTCAAAGACTTTTCCAGTATAATCTCTGGTAGACATGCTGATTTTCCAACATTCATAAAAATCGTTTTACCTCAGCAGAATAGTTTGTCAAAAAATGTATTGTTCCAGAGGTAGATCCAGCTATTTCCTGCCTTAATAGATCTCTTACAATACTGGTGGAAGATGTTCGTACATTTTAAGGATGTGGTGGTCGAACGCCTGGAAGGCCAATTCAAAGCCTCATTCTCCCTTGTAGAGCCTACTCTCCAGCCTGTGGTTGCTGCAATAGAAGTGTATCAGACTCTAGTGGTATGGGCTAGGCTCATAGTATGGGACCCTGGGTCAGTGCCTTCAGATCAGGAAGTATTGAGGAAGCTAGAATTGCTTCTGGAGGCTTTGCTTTATTGCTTGGATGCTCTTGTTTATACATTGCATCAATCATCCAAACAAGGCCTGCTGTCAGTCCAGATGTGTAGACTTTTGTGGCTCAAGTACTGGTATGTTGAACATGCATCATATTCTAGATCTAAAGAGCTTAAACAAATTCCTGAATGTTTGCACGTTTTGGATGGAATCTGTCCGTTCTGTTATTGCTTCCCTGCAGAAGGGTGATTTTCTGGCATCAGTAGACATGAAAGATGTCTTATTTGCCTTTTACCAGTATTTCCTCCTCATCAGCACTTTGTGCATTTTGCTATAGGGTAAGAACACTTTCAGTGTGTTGCCCTTCCTTTTGGCCTGTCTACAGCTCTTTGGGTGTTCACAAAAGTGTTGGCACTTATACTAGCCCGTCTGCATTCTCAGGGAATACATGTAGTGGGTTATCTGGAAGATCTCCTTCTGAAGGCTTAATCCGAGTTGATTTTGAGAATAGACCTTCGCTGGACACTTTATGCGTTTTACAGTTCTTTGGTTGGATAATAAACCATCAGAAATCAGCCTTGATTCCAACCCATCACTTGGAGTATCTAGGGCTCATGTTAGACCCAGTCAGAGCCAGGGTATTTCTTACCCCAAACAAGCTTTGGTCTTTACAGGGTCTGGTTCACTCCCTTTTGGGTGCAAACATGCCAATCAGTTAGGCTTTGCATGAGGGTCCTGGGCATGATGGTTTTCTTCTTCGAGGCAGTTCCATTTGTCCAGGCTCACTGAAAGCCGCCATAACTGAGCATTTTGACATTGTGAGACTAACGGTCTCTATCACTGGAACGCCCTATGCACCAAATTCAAGACTTTTGCTGAGGTAGTGGCTATCTAGTCCAGCTCTTGAAGTAGGAAGATCAATTCGTCCAATTCATTGGAAAATCCTGATTTTATGGATGGCAGTCTTTCCGGCTGGGGAGGTGTCATTGGTCACCTGTCAGTTCAAGGGACATGGAGCCCACAGGAATCAGCCTTTTGTCCGTTAGTCCATTCTGCTGGAACTGAGGGGAATTCACCCCATTCTGCTGGAACTGAGAGGGGGTGGGGGGGAAACAAGGAGCTATACAGCCCAAAAGGGAGCGGAAAGTATTATGTTCATGTACTGGTTCTGTCAGCTGTATATGTTTCCACGGGGAACATTACCAGAGCCAGGGATCCAAGAGCTTTTTCAATGGATGCCCTGGTAGCATCATGGGATTAGTTCAATCTAATCTACACCTTTCCTCCATTTGAAGATTCTGCCTCACCTACACAGGATAGCTGTGAAGGGTATTCCTGTGATCCTGGTGGCTCCCAGTTGGCCCAGGAGAGTGTGGTGCACGGACATCCTTCATCTGTCTTCAAATTCTCCATGGAGATTACCGAATCGGCTGGATCTTTTCTCTCCCGGGGCCCAGTAATGTTGAAGCCATGCCTATGTTACAGGCCCATAAAGCCACATTACCGTACATAGAAGGTGTAGTTTGCTTGGTGCAAAAAGATTGCAGCTCTGTCCTGTTAGGTAATGCTTAGACATAAGAATTCCTTCCTACCAAAGGTGGTATCCTTTCATCATTTCCTTTCATCTTAATCCGGACATTGTTTTTTGCCTTCATTTTTTGCTGACCCAGAAGATCCTAGGGAAGCAACACTACTTTGTTTGGATGTCGTACAGGTGTTACGGCGCTGTCTTAACACCACTTCTTCTTTCAGGCAATCGGATCCTTCTGGAAGAATAAAACAGAGGGTCTAACAGGGGGTTATCCTGCTTCTCAATCCACTATATCTCTTTGGGTTAGGCAGGTCATTCTTCAGGCCTACTCTAGTAAGGACATGACTCTGCCCTTCCTAGTAAGGGCTCACTCTACTAGGTCTGTGAGTGCTTCTTGGACTTTTTGTCGTCTGGCATTTGCCTTGCAGCTACCTGGTCCCCAGTTCATACTTTCACTAGGTGTTATAAGGGGGATGTACAGGCATCAGTTGATGCTAATTTTGGCCAATTAGGTTGATCCTGTACCGTACAGTTTGGTGGTTGAGGTTGGCCCCCACCCCTCTGTTTATTGCTTTTTGGATGTCCCAGTCATCTTGATTTGCCGTGTCCTGTACTGTAGTATCAACAACATAGGATTAATTTACCTGTAAAGTCCTTTTCTTGGCATACAGTAAAGGACACAGGACCCTCCCCTCTGTATCCTCTATTGCTTGAAAAATAACTGAGGATCTGCTGCGGTGGGAGGTGTTTATGTAGGGTCCTACAGCTCTGGCCAGTGTCCAGTCGCCTGACACCGCTATATACCAGTCATCTTGATTCGCCCTTTGTGCTGTACTGTATTGCAAGAAAATTATTTTACAGGTCAGTCAATCATATGGGGTGTTTTTTTTTTTTTTTTTTTTTTTTACATTTTGGATAGAGTAGGGAAATATTAAACCCATGCTAAGTTTTTATTGCTCGTGTGTCTCCTATAGATAGACAGATTTACTCTCTATTTGGCCTGGTAACCATTGTCACAGAGATAGGAAGTCCCAAAGTTTACACGGGTCACTAAGCCAAATGGTGATAGTAAATCTTCCATTGGGGGAACACTTGTTCCAGTGACAACTGTGTAAGAGGGGAATTCCCTGCAATTTGTTGAGATTTCCTTTTTCCTTCCCTGGTAAAGGAATTTAAAGGAAATCTCCCCAAAGGGGCAGAGACCGTAAAAAAAAAAAAAAAAATAGACAAATGGGTTTTAACCCTTCCCTACTCTACTCCAAAACTTTTAAAAAATGGTTTGCCTCTACATATGCTTTAACAAATTAATATCTTGATATTTCAGATCATTAAAAAGATTATCTCTCAGACATCAAGTGGTGGAGTAACTGGCAATGATGTCATTATGCATTTTACAGTTACTGAGTTGCCTTTCGGAGGTGTTGGTAAGTAGTTGCTATAATTTGTATTGCTAATATATTGGATTAAAGCTGATAGTAAAGTCTTAGACTGTATGCACAGCAGCTTGCAAAAGTATAATTTAGTGCTGCAACCAACTAATTGATTAATGAGAATAGTTGTCATCTATTCTCATTATCGATTTTAGTTTGTTGGATCCCCTAGTTCTCTCCTCCACTCTGGGAGAAGGGCACACTGAGCAGTGAGTGGGTGCAATAGCCAGCCTGCTGTTGGCTATTGCAATTTTAAATGGCCAACAGCAGACTGTCTGATGAACCTGCCCACTATCTGCAGAATCTTGCCACTGGCAGCTGTCATTCCCTGGCTTAAGCTATTCCAGCACCACCTGCTTACAATACAATTATTAACAAAAAAATAAAAGGTGGGGGAAAAAAATAATTTTCAGTTTCGGCCTGACAAATTCTGCTGCGGGAGGTGCTTTGCGGTGCCATTCATTTCAATGGCACCCCAAAGGCGCCTCCTACCCACAGTGTGATTGCCTGCACTGGAACGCACGGTGCCACAATGCCGTGCGTTCCAGTGCAGTGCGATTGCAAAAAATTGTATTTACAATTCCCAGGCCATGGTCAATCTGCCAGTGAAACCCTGTCCCCCCAAGTAGTGTGCCCACCTAGAGGCCAAAAACCGGATTGGGCTTGTACCTTTAAAATGGCGGCGACACCTCTATGGATCCCTGAGAGGTGGATTTGTGACATTGCTGTGACTTTTCGGCATTAGGCCGAATCAGCTGCCTCTGTAAATGTGGCACCATTTTTTTTTTCTTCCTCTTTACTTGCCATCTTAGGGGTTGCTACTGTGCCTGTATCCTCCCTCATTGGTACTGTACTGCGTATGTGCCGGCCATTTTCCTCTCCTACCAACGTGCATTTTGGGCTGTCCACATGCTGCTGCAGCAACTCTGCACAGATATGAAAAACTGCACCAATGTTATTATATGTTCCCTTTTATGTTTTAGGACATAGTGGCATGGGTGCCTATCATGGCAAGCACACATTTGAAACCTTTTCCCATAAGCGAGCATGCCTTATCAAGTCTCTAGGTATGGAAGGTGCAAACAAGATCCGGTATCCTCCTTATACTCAGAAGAAATTGGATTGGGCCAAATTTATTCTAGCAACCAAGTTCAGCAAGAAAAAACTGGGCCTTATTCTCCTCCCACTGGTGGCTGTGATAGTAGCTGTCATTTTAAAGGTAAGATTTAGACTTCTATGGTAAAGGGGTAACAGCACTTTTATAATATACGTCATATTTACACATTGTCTTTGCAGTTTCTCTTGTTTGTAGCCTAGCTGTTCTTACAGTTGATATTTCTAAGCTTCCATCCACATGGCCTGCAGTCTGCCAGCACTATCTTTTAAAGAGTATGTAAACCCTGAGAACTTCCTTATTTGTTCCTTTTTTGGTCTGTGAATTATAATTTTGTTTTTTTTAAATATCTGTAAGTAAGTTTTAAAAAAAAATGCCTATTGATCATGCCGACAATCTTGTCAGCAAATCAACTTCCTGTGCTCACTTCCTGCTCAATGTGTGTGCTGCATTCTTATCACTTACCATTTGACTGTTGGCACAACATCCCCCGGGTATATTTATGATCCAATGCCTCTTGCAGTCATACACTAGATTTTACACTAACTTTGTATTTAGCTGGTGATCATTATTTATTTCCATTGTTGATACCACATTAGAATTTGAATTGAATTAATGGAACATGCATGTATGACATATATTTTGAGATGTATTTGGTGTCTATGTCTTTTGGTGTGGTACATTTCACTTCTGCTTGCTTTCCTTTGTCTCCTTGATCAAGCCTATCCTAGGGTAAAAAAGGAGATCCCAGGAGGGACTTCGAGCTGCAGAATAATAGTTTTATTAAAAGTTGAAATCATTGGTGTGTGGCCGGTCTTTCGTTGCGGATCTGTACAAGGGAGTGTGGATGAGAGCTGTCTAATCCATGCACCCGAGTGTCCTGACATCAGAGCCACTGGAGAGGCTTACAAGCAAAGATCCCTCTGATCTAGTCATACATGTGGTTGAATTTTTAAATAGCTAGGAGTCATATTTCCTCCTGGAAAGGTTTGAGCTATTTGTAGTAGGGCAGGTACAACATGGCTTTCATTGTCTTACACTGATTTCAGGGTGGGGGGAACACTAACAATAAATGGTGAGTGCTTGGTTTAGGAGATCCGTTAATAGATACAAAACAGCAGTCCTCCAAGCTTCAGAAGATGAAACCAAGTTTTCCATAGGTTATATTTACAGAAATGGCTCTGCATCTAGAAACTGTAAGTATGGTGTTCTTTAGACTGTAGTTCTAGAACTAATTGCAGTGAGTTTTTGAATGCCTCTCATCCACGAGTCAATGGTGGTCTGCTCAGAAACTATTGCACAAGCACAATCGCAGAAGCACAATCGCAGTATCTAAAATCGGCTTCAATCCAAAAGAAATGCACACCAGGGGAATGACCGTAACAGGCCTGCCACCCGGATATGTCCAGCTTTGGCTATTATCAGGGTTGATTTTGTCTTTTAATAAGTCTTATCATTTGCATTTTAATGCACAAATGTATATATTTTTTACATTTCTGTTGCCATTTTGGGTTTTCTCAGAAATATCAAGGGGAGCTGGCAAGCACTGGAATACAGCTTGTGCTGGCATTTCGGAGGCTGTTTTAAACAAGATTGGTAGCAGATATCAGAGAGCGGCATCCACTGATACACCAAGGTATGCAGTCCCCAATAAGTGGGAGCATGCCTAGAATTTATGCGGTTTCTGTGCTACAGGTTCTGTGCCCTGAAACTCCCCCTCTGTAACTTTAGTGACTTTAGTAACTTTTAGTTCCTTCTGCATCAGAAGACAGCGTTAGTCTTTGAATTAGCATAGAGCGCATGTAATATATTAAGTACCTCCCTCTGTCTAATTTATTTTTTAGAAAAGTTAAGTGATAAGGATGTTGTGTTCCCTGGGTCATGAACGGAAAAATCAATTAGTATGCATCTTGGTAACTTCCTGCCACTGAAGTTGCTTTGCTGCATGCATCTATCTGAGAATTCCAGTTCTCGGTCACTATATACAGTTATTCTCGCCAAGAACAAGCAGATCATGTGTAGAATGCCAGCAGCAATTCTCAGTAGCTGTAGCGTTACTTCTTCTTTAGTATGTGAGATTCTTGACCATACTATCTGATTTAGGGATGCACTGATATATCGTATGCGTGGTATGTTACTATATCCTCAATTATGAATGAATGGGAGTGATCTACATCACCTCCTGTTCATTCATGATTGTGGTTGTAGTAAGCACACAATGTCTTCATGTTTATGAATGAACAGGAACACTCAGAATCAGGGCCGGCCTTAGGCCTTTAGGCGCCCTGTGTGAGAAAGCTTTACAGCGCCCCTCATTGGCCACACCCCCGTAACCACACCCCCCCCTTAACCACACCCATTTTCCCCAATATCCGCACCATTTAAAGACTCCTATTTTGTTAAGCCGCAAAGAAACATATTAAAAAGTATGATAAAAATAAAACTTTTATTCAAAGGTATTAAACTTGTAGGCACAATATAAGTATTCTTATCAAATAAAACAACAGAAGGTAAACAATAAATGTCAAACTACAATAGAGTCTATAAAAATAAAGTGTCAGGATGTCATGCAGAATTTTCTCTGCTGTAAAGTAAAGGTGTGCTGAAACTCTACTCTTGCTCAGAGCTCCGTGCAACAACACTTCTAAATGTGTGTGGCATAGCTTGACCCCACATTGGTTTCTCCTTGCAACCCTACAGTGACATAGATGTCAGTGATACTGCAACAGCCAGAGGGGGGGATACACAAGGTTATTCATAAAAAGGTGAAGAGCTTGGAGAAGGCAGGAGAAGTAAACAGTCTAGGACAAGCTGAACTGGAAAGTGAGCTGAATTGGAGAATTTTCCCAGTTCAGCTATGTTGTCCTAGACTGTTCACTTCTCCTGCCTTCTCCAAGCTCTTCACCCTTTTATTAATAACCCTGACAGAATTCAACACACCAAAAGTATTGGATAATATAGACGCGGATTTTGCATGTGTACACTATTTTGCTTTTTGCACCATATTATACTTGGATGAATTTTCTGGGAATATTGCTGTAGTTTAATAGTTGTCACTAGACAAAAATGTGTTTCCGTGTCCGCTACTAGGAATTTAGGATGTTTATCGTGCAAATGGATATGCGATCTCCAACCTGCTATGTAAGATCTGCATGATATGTACGATTACTGTGATACCTATTAAATCACTGTTGTCATCTATGATTGACCTCTCTCTTAATAAAAAATGATTGTTCAAAAAAAAAAAAGAAAAATTGTTTCCGACTAAATGAATGAAAAGAAAAAAACCTTTTCATTCGTCTGATGAAGTGAATCATTATGCTGCTTCGGATTCTGATGCAACGAACCTCAGAATCCGGAAGCGCACATTTAAAAAAAAAAACCCGGCGTGCGGCGGCCATATTGGCCACTGGTGACTTCTGCGCGCTGCCATCTTGGAGGCAGGAGCATGACATCACCTGACGTCGTGTAACGTCATACGCATGTAGGGGCCTTGGACGTAGCAAGATGGCAGTGCCCATACAAAATGAATTACTATATGCCCAATACATTTTTCGTATATTCGGGTATATAATTCATTATTTCAGATTCGGACAAACTGCCAAATCAACAGTATTTTGTTATTCAGCAAGTTCGCCTGAATTTGAATGCACATGTCTAGTTGTCATGGCAACAGTGAAGTCATGGAAAGTTTAGAATCGATCAAGTTCATTTACAGTATTTAAACAAAGTGCTTTATTTTGCAGGTTCTCTAAAAGAGGAACCTGGATATGAATTTCCAAGACCTATATTCCTGCTTCTTTCCAGTTAATCTATGCAATTTACTGAAATATTTGGGTTCTTTTACATGAATATTGTTTCCTGCAGTACAAACCTCCTTGCCTTCCTATACTCTGGTGTAATATGTGTTTTGTTGTTTTTTTTGTACTACCCTATGGTGCATCTCAAACTTTTCAGTTCTTCTTTGTAGTCTTAGTCCTCCTCTTGCATCTTACATTATTAAAGTCTAAGAGGGACAGTTAGACCTTGGCCTTTATAGGTGCCCAGGCCTAGCAACTCAAGGTTAGAGATCTTGCTGCTGGAACCTTTGATAGCTCAACCAAGCCAGTGGGTTATTCAGTTTAGCAGCAGTATCCATTACTGAAACAGCTTGAGGAGGCCTATCCCTTTTAAGGAAGTTCTACATGTAAGGAAGGACTTGAGTCCCCATTTTTTTTGTAAAAATGGTTGAATTGTATTCATGTTCAATGCTTCCTTTGCTATTTTGTTCCCTCATTTTTTCTTTTGGCGTTATGTTAATTCATTTGATTAGAGGGCCTCCTGAAATGTGATAACTTGCTACAGAATAATGTTAAACGGACATTAAGAGGGGGACCTATAAGCTGATGATTGTGAACTGATGTTGGTTCTTTGTTTGTACTTTAAACTTGCACTGCTCAATAAAAAACAAGAATAAAAAAAAAAAAAGAGGGTAATTTATCAACACCAGAGCAGACAAAATCTGGAGCAGCAGTGCATGGCAACCAATCAGCTTCTCTCTTCAGTTTGTTCCGTTAACGTTTGAAAATGAAAGATAGAAGCTGAATGGTTTCCGAGCACAACTGCTTCACATTTTGTCTGCTCCAGTTTTGATTCCCCTCGATGATCATTGCTGTTTTGTAATAGACTGTCTCACCCAATCTTGCTAATTGCCAGTTTAAAAACTAGCGGAGCAGATCGATGTATTAAGGATATAATTGTCAAATGACAACCTCCCACTTGCGAATTTATCTGCAAAGCAGACCTATCTTTCAGTCAGTGGAAGACTAAGTTATTCATAAAAACGCTCATATTGGCGCACCTTAGCTAGATTCTTAACTGGCATTTGTTTTTTGGTTTGTAAAGCCACTAAAAACTGTATTTTTTTTGTGGAAGGTAAAAAAAATGGTATACCTACTTTTCCGTTTTGTTTTAATATAATACTATAACTGATTCAAAAACACTCAGCATGTTTTGTTCACCTTTTTTTTCATGTTTAAATGTTGTGTTCATGGCTTTGTTCAGTCAATACGGATATTTTGTTTTATTAATAAAGACTGATGGGTTGAAAAATTAGCCTGCCTTGCCACATGTTGCGGGGGACTCTGCTGGTAAAACCTTCCATGTGTTTAGCTGTGCCCTCCAGTCATGGAGCTTCTGTTCTCTTTCAGCAAGATGACTGCAATCTTTATAATGTAACATGAATGAGAAATCCAAGCAGGGATTGCAAAATGGCAAAGGCAGGAAACTTGCCGATGAGATCTCTCTGAGGTCCCAAGAGAAAAATGTCTGTGAAACCTCATTTTACCACATTTACTTGGCACCTAAAACCGTTTTGTTTCTAGTTTTAGTCAATGTTATGGTGTATTTCAGAGAATCGGGCTTGGGGGTTCATGTATTAAATGGAAGTGAGCCAAGTATCAGTTGAATTTTCATTTAACCATTAGAAGTATTCCTTCCACCCTCAGCCTTCTATAAATGCAAGGAGTTTAATTAATCATTTTTGTACTTTCTGACAAAATAACATTCCGGCCTGTCATTGAACTTCATGTAATGCAAAATTGAATAGCCTTAATTGAATGTAAATTTATTTTAACCTCTACACACAGAGTATGCTTTACTATAATGTAATATCAACTGATAAGAGTATTTTAATGATTGTTGTTTATAAAAGTTAACTACAAATAAAGTTTGTCACAACTGTAGTCTGGTGTTTTTCATGTGTGAAGGAAGTTTTTTTTATATTGCTAAACAAATAAAATGCAGGGGGATAATGGGAATGCATCACCTCAACTGCCACACTTCATTTACACTAGGCTATATATCTAATATATTTTACCTATTGTTTATATGCTTTGATTCAGTTGTCACTTGTCTTGGTGTAATATAAGAATATGGAAAAACAATCTGCTCGTCTCATCTGGTTGTGGTATGATTCTCTCGGTAGCATTCAAATCTGGGAGTTTTTTGTTTGTTTTGTTTTTTACTTAAAGCATTCTGTGCATTAAGTTAAAAACCGCCCAGTACCTTTTTTTTCTCTCCCCTGTCGTCAAAGAAGATTTATGCAAAGGTGGAAATATAAAAAAAATGAAACTTTAAGAAAAATGACCACCGCTACTGGAAGTAACTGCCTTCTGGTCAATGTGCAGACCAGCTGTTATTACCTGCAGTTGCTAAATTGTGTGGCTAGCTTCTGAATTTCTACCCAACTATCTTTCTCACCCCTTATTGACACAAAAAGAGGTGGGGTGTGTCTCCAGGGTCAAGGCCTTTTGTAACTACATTTGTACAAAAGCCAAGCAAATGTTTAGTACAAATGGTCTCTGACCTAAATAAAGCATAGTTCAGTGTAAGTAGTTTCTCCATCTCCAGAAATCAATAAGGGCACATTCACATCTCTGCATTTTACATACATGTCCAGTCATCTCTATGGAACACACACTTGCTGGAAACTGCAATAATGATACAGAAAGCAGATTTTTATTTTTTTAAAGCACAGGAATAAAGTGCACAAGTGTAAAAAGACTCTTCCTGTAGTACTACATGCATAACTGCAGTACACCATTAATGCTGCTCGGTCTGCAGCTAGTGCCGTTTAACAGTGAATTTTATAATAAGTCCAATAAGCAAAGTTGAAATAACTGCAAGTGCCTCTAAACTCCGTCGGATAATGAGCCATTTTAAAGCTTGCCTGTCCTCTTTTGACACCTCTGGAGTATCCATTTGTTGGAGTTCGCTTTCACTGCTACTGGTATGTAGGGCAGCATAGTTGGTCAGTTCCCTGTCATCTGTCAGGAATAATGGAGACAATCTGCCATTACTAAAAATGATATAATTATCGTACTGAAGAATAAACAGAAGGCAGAATTACATACTTTTTATATTTTCCGTATTATTGAAACTAAACTGAAAACCAGTATTCCAAAGCTTGACAATAATGTAAAATGTTATATTTTGGATCTTTGCCCCTAATCTATGAAGATATGTCCAGATTGGTTGCAAAATCACACCCCAAAGGCAGCCTTCAATACTGAAATGGAACAATACGTTGTTTATTTAGTGGATTTATTTTAAAGGAACCATGTGTGTATTTTAAGTGGGTTAACATTTTGAATAATTAAGGCCAGACTCTGAGTTGGGCACAGCTCCCACTGCCCAGTATGACATTTTTGAAATTTTTAAGATGGCTACTTTTTTTCAAGGTATCTTGAGTCCACTCATGTGACATGCAAGGTATTTTTCCCACGTCTTCCCTCCAAAGGTGGGTGGCCGGCCATTACTCCAGCTCAGAACGCGCACACACGTGACAATGTGTGAGCACTGTGTATCAGAACCAGGCTGGTGTGTTAGGAAAGCATAGACTCCTAGAAAAGATGTTTAATGATGCTGGGTGGAGGACTGGATTTATGTTAAATGTAAAAGAACTGATCCTACCTGAGGTTTCATTAAGTGGTGTTCTTATAGGTTCCAGTAATGAAAATCAAGCACTGGCTGGGTGCCATTTATCTGGAAAGAGAAGTGGTGCTGAATCTGGGAGCAGTGAGTTTACAGGAAACTGCACCAGAGAGTAAATATTGTAGGGAATACTGCATTTGTATCCCTGCTGGGGTATTGTTTTTATAATCCTGGAGTTGGGCTTTAAGTGTACCTGAAAGTAATTTTTAATAATCTACCATGTATCATATATACAAATGTGAGTTCTTCTAATGCAGCGGTTCTCAACCTTTCTAGTGCCGCAACACTTTGATAAAATTGCCCAAGTTGTGGCGACCCCTAACAGTAAAATTATTTTCGTTCCTTCATCGCTGTAATTTTGCTACCGTTAGATAGCAGCTCCCGACCACCCCGCGAGAGAAACGCTTTCTCCCGGAAGGGTTTACTCTGCAGAGTAAAACATTCCCTGCTCTGGTTTTTTTTTTTTTGACAACAGAGCC